GTCCTGGCAGGGAGCTGCTCCTGCCCCGGGGATGCCGCTTCGTCGCTGCTGCTCCTGCCCGCAGTGGTGCTGGGGCGGGCAGGGTCTGGGGCTGAGCCCTGGGAGGGGTTGTGTTTTTATCACCTCAAAATCCTGTTATTTTTCACAAAAGGAAATAAAACTACAGCTGCAGCTCACGGTGTGAGTGTGGTCTGTGTGGGAAGCGCTCGCTACTTCTCCTCTGCCACCTTCCTGGGAAATACCTCGGGACGGAGCTCCAGTCCTGCTCCTGGGCTCCAGCACCCCCTGAACACCTCCTTTGATGGGCTCAGGGGGATTTCGGGGTGTCCACCCACAGTGGACAGCTTGCTGGAGTTATCCAGGCATCAGGACATGAGGGGTTGGGTGAACCAGTGCCCGAGAAGCTGGGGAATGGGAGGTACTGGTGTGTACTGGGTCCTCTGGGGCTGCTTCTTCCAAACCAGGGATGGAAAAGGACCAGCAGAAAACCAACTCGATGGATTTTAAACCCACTTGGAGTCCTCAGTCAGTTCAATACTCGGGTGTATCAGGACTCTTCCCACTCCTTGTGTTTTAGCAGAAAAAACCTCTGTTTTCCCCCTGGAACTTACAATTTTGTCTCTGTTGCAGACTGACTTGGAGCTGCACCTGCCTGGAGCTAATTTAAGGGGTTCACAGTCCTGTTCCGTTCCCCTCTGGAACTTCCTGCCCTGCTCCTGTCTCCCAGGCCCACCTGGCTGCTCTACCTGCACCCCACCTGCGCTTTGGGGACCCTGGTTCCCAGGCGTGGTGGTGGGTAAGGCCATCCCGTAGCTGCTGGGTCTGGTGGGACTTTGGTGCATTTGGGGGGATCAGGGACACTTTTTCCTCCTGTTGTGACATTTCTCTTCTCCTTTCCAGTGCTGAGAAGCCACCAGGGAAGTATTTTTAAGGAAGTAGAGCAGCAGCAGGCACCTGTTTGCAGGTAGAGGGGAAAGGGAACTTCACGGTGACTGAGGAGGATCTGTCTGTGTTTTCCAGATATTGGCATCCATATCTGCAGCAGAGGAGACCTGGATTTGAGGATTTTCACATCAGAGCTGGGCAGAACAACAAAAACTCACGCCTGAACCAGGCCCCAGCTACTTGAGCCCTTGGCTGAGCCCTGGGGTCACACCTGGGGCCAGCGCCAGCTCCAAAACCTTGTGAAAGCTCCTGATGCCTTTGCAAGCAGCAGTGGGGCCTCCAGCAGGAACGTGGCTACTTTATCCAGCTCAGGACCATCATGTGGACAGCTGGAATTGCCAGCTTGGAGCATCCCAGAGCTGCCAGAGTCAAGCTGAGAGTCAGCTCAGGCAGCTGCTGGGTGCCAAAATCCTCCGAGTGCCCCGAGCATCCTTACTGTTGTCACACCCAAATCTGGGACATGCTTCCACTCCACATTATTTAAATGTCTTGCTTTCAGAGAGAAAAACCTGTAAATTCTGGAGTGGAGCACAGTAACTCCTCGGGAGGAGCAGCCACGTGTCGCGCGGCCGTGCGAGCACCGGGGCGGAGGGGATTAGGGTGTCACCCAAAACGTGCGTGGCTGTCGCTCGAAAAGAGGCAAAACGGAGCTTTTTGGAGAGAAGCTGCTCCAAGAAGCTGGTTTTGGTGAGGAGCACCCAGGGCTGCGGACAAGCAGCTCCTTGAATTGGATTTCATGGGACATTAGAGGCATGGAGAGACCTGTCACAAGGATTAAACCCGAGCCAGAGCCAGACAGCTTCAAACAGATGTTGGGCTTCAGCAGGAGAATATTCCTTTGTTTGACTCTGTGTTTTCCCATACGGAAAAGGAACATCTGTTCCAAAGCTTTCGTGGTGCTCCGGAGCTGGGACGGGATGGGATTATCCCTGCCAGGAGCAATCGGTCACCAAGCCCGGCTCCTGGGGGAGAAGGTGACACCAGGGGTGCTCCAGCCCTGGGTGGACCCCCTGGAACAGATCACAGGATCAATAGACCCCTCACGCCTGCAGCTGGATAAAAATTCCGGGCTCAGAGTGGTTCTCTGCGGAAAATGGGTCCTGCTGGATTTTATTTGTCCTCTGGAGCACTTCTACAGGAGGTGTGTCTGACCAAGGGAGAGCACTGCAGCAAGGTGCTCCTTAAGGTCCCTTCCCACCTAAACCATTCCATGGCTGTAGAAGAGGAAAAACTCTGGGGTTTGTGTTCAAAAACCTGGATATCCAGCGTATTTCCATTTGGGATGATGTGACCAGAAGGTCTGGTGGCTCCTCTCCTCCATTTTGGACAAGTTTGAGGTGCTGTTAGATGAATGTCTGGGATGTGGGAGGCCTGGGACACTCCCCAGCAGTGTTTGGCTCCTGGATGTGCCTAAAGGGGATCCAGGAGAGCTGGAGAGGGGCTGGGGACAAGGGATGGAGGGACAGGACACAGGGAATGGAGGGACAGGACACAGGGAATGGCTCCCACTGCCAGGGGCAGGGATGGGTGGGAGATTGGACATTAGGAATTGTTCCCTGACAGGGTGGGCAGGCCCTGGCACAGGTGCCCAGAGCAGCTGTGGCTGCCCCTGGATCCCTGGCAGTGCCCAAGGCCAGGCTGGACAGGGCTGGGAGCAGATGGGGACAGGGGAAGGTGTCCCTGCCATGGCGGGGGGTGGAATGAGGTGACCTTTATGATTCCATCCAGCCCAAACCATCCCCTGGCTGCACAAAAAGCTCAGAAACCTTCTGCAGCTGGCCCGGGACCCCTCAGCCACAGCCCCATGATGGGGTTCCTGGCCAGGGGCTGGTGGGGAGCACCTGGAGCCAGCTCGGAGCTTTCCCGGCGCTTTCTGGGCGCTCCTGTTACCTCCGCCCCAGCCCTGAAGTGCAGCCCCCCCTCCTTGGCTGGCCAGGCACTAATTGAAAAGCCTAATGAGGTCCCAGGGGTCTCCTGCAGAGATGGAGCTAATTAGGGGCTCCAGCGTGAGCACTGAGGTTTCTTCAAGCCCCTTTTTTTCGGGGGCTGGAGGGGAGGGCGCAGCAGATGTCCCGTTACCCCGCGGTACGGTGGCTGCTCCGCGTCCTCCGGGCTCCTGCCAAAGCAGCTGGTGCAGAGGCAGTGGCTACACTTAATACATTTTAATTAGCATCATTAAATTCTTCCATTTGCTAATTGTTTCTCCTTTTGATCCTTTATCCTGACCAGATTAGCCCTCGGGGGGGAAGGGGCGGGATGGGGGGCGCAGACATGTCGGAGGAGGTGAGGACTTTATTATCCTGACACCAGACCTTGGGACACCGCATTAAAACACCCCAATTAGTGTTAATTAAAGCCAGATTTGTGCGTCCAGCCTGCTCTCGGTGGCTACTCTCGGAAAGAGCCATCCCCAAAAAGCGAATCCGCAGGGATTGGTGAGGGCAGCTCTGCTCAGGTGACAACGTGCTCAGGTGTTGGGGTGGCCCGAGACCCCCTGAGACCCCCTGAGACCCTCCTGGGGTGGCCTGAGCCAGGAGCTGCACCCCATGGTCCTTGTGGGTCCCTCCCAGCCTGGGGCCTCCCCTCAATCCATGAGTGGTCCCGGACTGCTGGAAATGCAGGTGAGCTCAGTGGGAAGAAATGATATTGTCTGACTCCAGCTCAGAAGGCTGAATGATTTCTTTATTATAACTGTGCTATAATACATTAATATGCCATTTAAAGGATATACTATAATATATTACATTAATTATATAATTACTATATTACTATCATACATTAATATACTATTTAAAGGATATACTATAATTATATTAATATACTATTAATATACTATTTAATTTACTATTTAAACTACAAACGTACTTCTAACTACCCTAACTCACACCTCCTGACCTTCTTTTTGAGAGTCCAGCCACAGGTGGATCTGATTGTCCATCAGGCTCAAATAATCCTCACCAGAATTCAACCAGGCACTCACCCCAGGTAAACAATTCTCCAAACACTTTCGACAGGAGAAAAACAAGGAGCAGAAATAGAAATTGTTTTATCTTTTTTTCCTCTCTGCTGCTCTGTGGAAAATCCTGGAGGAAGAAGAATGTGCCTGCCACACCAGACCAGCAGCTCCATCACCAGCGAGGTGAGGGGAGGTCACCGGTCCTCTTTATCCTCTTTGATCCCCGCAGAAGTGTCGGATCCTGGTGCCAGCCACCGGGCTCTGGGCTGGTGCCAGCCTCATCCGCGGGATTCCGGGCAGAATTCCATTCTCAGAGGCATTGTTGTAAATCCAGAGGAACTTGGCCTCTGCTCAGTCGCTCTTGACTTCCAGGGGGCGAGTGAAAGCTGAGCATGAGAAACAGCCTCAGTTCTCTGTGTAAACCCCAAAAAGCGTTGGGCCAGCTCTTCTGGTCTCCTTGGAAAAGGCTGGCACTGGCGGAGCTGAGCAGCAGGGATTGCTGGGATGTGTTGAATTGGACTGAGATTCCCCAGAGATTGGGAAAAAGAAACCACGAGGGAAGAAAATCAGGAGAGAGAAGAAAGGCAGGATCGTTCCTCAGTTATTCCCCAGGCACCGTGTGGGACCTGGCTGCTTTCCATGGGATTTTCCTGGTTTAGGGTCAAATGGAGCAGGCCATGGACACATGGAAGGTTGTGATTCCTGCTGGGGACAGGTTTCTGGATATTTAGCCCAGAGAAGGAAGATTTAGCAGACTAAAGCAGATAAACTGACAGAGGTGAGCAGTCTTGGGTGCCTGCTGATAGGCACAGCCGATTTCCTGCTCCGCTGGGAACCACTGCTGTCAAATGGGACGTTTGACTCAAACCGGCGGGGTTTACCCCAAAATGCGGTGGCTTTTACCGAAACCGGCGGGTTTTACCCCAAAATGCGGTGGCTTTTACCGAAACCGGCGGGTTTTACCCCAAAATGCGGCTGCGCCCGCCAGAGGGCGCCAACCGCCCCCCGAAGGGGCTCCCCAAGCCCCGCCCCCAGCCGCAACAGGCCACGCCCACAACCCCGCCCCGCCCCCCCCGAGGCCCCGCCCCCCGCGCCGCTCTCGCGCCTCCCGTCTCGCGAGAGCTGCGCCCGGAAGCGGCGCTGAGGGCGCGTCCGCCATGGCGGCCCCGCGGGTGCGGCCGCTGCTCCCGGTGCTGCTCCCGGTGCTGCTGCTGCTGCTGCTGGGGCTCTGCGCCGCCGGTACGCCGGGACGGGGGCTGGGGCAGGGGCGGGAGGCGGCAGCGAAGCCCTTGGGGGGGGTGGCTCAGGCTCCGCGCTTGGTTTGGGGATCTCCTCCGCCCGTGCGTTCGGTCACCCGGGGCTCCCCGCCGCCCTCGGTAACCCCCGGTTCCCCCCGGCTCCTGCGGCGTGTTCCCCCTTCCGCAGGGGTTCCCCTCTGCCCCCAGCCCTCAGTGCCGACTGACGGGGCTCCCCGTTATCGCTGCAGAGCCCGTGCAAACCGAGACCAACGGGGACCGAACGGACACCGAAGGGAGATCTTCCACCGTGCCCGAGGGAACCGGAGCGGCTGGCAGCACGTTCCCAGGGAACGGGAACCAGCAGGACAGCAATGACTCCAACGGCAGCGACCCCAAAACTGACACGAACAGCACGACCAGCGTGGATGAGAAAGGCAGCGAGCAGCAGAACAACAGCGTCACTGGAAACGGCGGCGACGACAAGGGGAAGAAGGAAAAGGATTCAGAGAAAGGCAGCAGCGCGGGGTCTGGCCAGGACGGCAATGGTGCAGGTGGCAGTGGTGGAAACAGCGGTGCAGGAGGGGGGGGACAAGGAGATAAAAGCCAGACAAGCAGCAGTGGTGGCCCAGGCAACACGGGCAGTGGTGGCCAGGACAGCACTGGAGACAACGGCAACTCAAACAGTGGCACTGGTGGCAGCCAGAACAGCAACAACAATGATCAGAGCAGTGTCAGCCAGAACGGCCAGGGTGGCGACCAGCCAGGGGCCACCGAGAACGGGGACAGCGATGGCGAGGAGGGCAACGGCACAAGTGGCAGCAACAACCAGGGCAGCACCAACCAGAACCAGAGCAACAACCAGAACCAGGGCACCAACCAGAACCAGGGCACCAACCAGAACCAGGGCAGCACCAACCAGGGCAGCAAGGACAAGGACGGCAAGGAGAGTGACAGCACAAATGGCAGCAACACCCCAGACAACACCAACCAGGACCAGGGCAGCACCAAGGAGGGCAGCAATAGCAAGGACAGCAAGAGCACAAATGCCAACGACACCCCAGACAACACCAGCAAGGACCAGAGCAACAACCAGGCCCAGGGCAGCACCCAGAGCGGCACCGAGCAGGGCAGCAGTGACAGGGACAGCCACGGGCACACCAGCGGGGCCACCAGCCAAGGCAGCAGCGGTGGGCAGCAGGCCCAGGCTGAGAGCCAGGGCAGTGCTGCTGAGCAGCAGCCTGACAGCCAGGACAGCCCCAAGAACTCGCAGGAGGAGCAGAGCCCTGTGTCACACGCAGCTCCCTCGGACGACAGCTTTGTGGAAAACGAAGAGAACGCCGAGGAGGATGTGGCCAAGGCTGAGGAGGGCAGTGACAGCTCCTTGGAGCAGGACAGGGAGAGGAATGCTCCCTCCCTGCCCAGGGCCCGCTCGGAGAGCAGCCACTTCTTTGCCTACCTGGTGACCACGGCGGTCGTGGTGGCAGCCCTGTACGTGGCCTACCACAACAAGCGCAAGGTGAGCAGTCCTGTCCAGCCCCGGGCCTGGGGAGGGACCTGCTCGGCCCTTTCCCCTCGTCCTGACTGGCTTCTCACCAGTATCTCCCAGTCTGCGCTGCGTGCATGTGGTCCCAGGGCACTGGGAGGGTTGGATCTGGTGGGAGCTGGGTGTTCTCAGCCCTGCTTCTGATTTCACCTGGGAGGTGTGAGATCCCTCCATCTCATCTCTGACAGATTCCTGCTCACAGTCTTCTGTACACCAACACAAAGTCGGGGTTGTTTTCCCTCACATAAAGCTGGTTTTGATGGAGGACAAAAAAAATTAATTCTTACTGTTTTCTGCTTGTTGAGCAAACCTCATTATCCATCTTAGTAATGGGTGAGTGTTGGCATTTACGTGTTTGAAGTGCTTGGTCACAGGAAAAGGGTTGTGGGAGCAGGTGAATGAAAAATCAGAGGTGAGCCTGTGTTGGAAGCTGCTGTTCCACTCACTCTGTCTCCATTTTTCTCTCTCCAAAGATCATTGCTTTTGCTCTGGAAGGAAAAAGGTCAAAAACCGGTCGACGGCCCAAATCTGGTGATTATCAGAGACTGGACCAAAAGGTGAGACCCAGCCCAGAGTGGGGGTTGGCGTGCCTGGTGTGTGCTGGAAATACAAAATATTTCACCAGGCTGCTTTGCATTAGGAAGGGTCCCAAAGCCCAGCTGAGGCAGTTTGGACAGCACAGTTTGGTGTGGAAACAGGGTTTTGCCAGGAAATGGAGACAGCAAGAGTGACAAGTGCTGGCAGAGCACAGATGGGACAGTCTCCAGCTGGGCTGTGCTGAATGACTTTGTCACCGATCCAAACGACTTGTCAGAGAGCATTTTAGTGGCAGAGGGTAGGATTTGTGGAGAAATCCCTTTCTTCTCTCCCTAAAAACTTTGCTCTCCCTCTTGCCACTCAGGGCAGATGTGCCTGTAATTGTTTTCTGCCATAGGAAGAGGAAAGTTAGGAAAAAAAGGCAAAAGCTCATGTTTGCTTTGGGAGCTTCTCAGCCCACTCAGGTCTGGACAGAGCAGCAGAGCAATTCTGAGCTTTCAGGTGGTTCCAACCTTTCCTTTTGCCTTTCCAGATCTAGATTCCTCCTCCTCAGATGGTGACGGGGATGCAGTGCTGCCACAGCTGGATTCCAGTCCATGGGAAGGAGGGGAAACGCTTTTTGTTTTGCACCTGCACCTTGATAAAACCTCTCACTTCCCTAAATTGCTCCTTTCCCAGCTGCCTTGTTTTCCCCCGGGTGTCTGGCTGCTGGAAGAGCCAGACCCAGGATTTCTGTGTCCCAGTGCAATGGAATTTGCCATCTGCTGGACTGACCCCTCCTTTTGGGGGGGAATTAAGGATCTGCTGCACAATGAGCCACGGGACTGTCCCTTGCCCGGGAACGAAGCTGCCTTGGCCTCCTCCTGCCCCTCCTTGTCCATCTGCTGGGTTGGGATGCTCAGGTTGGGAGCAAGTGAGTTCTCTTGCGCTTGTTTGGAACTGACCCAGCACGGATTTGGATTTGAGTTTTTTCTCCCTGATCAGTTTTCCAGTTTCACACCCAGATTCCCTTTTTCACACACGCCTTTGGCCATGCTGAAGCAGTTTTTGTAGCTCAAACCCCTCGTGCTCCATGCAGGTCTTTTCCCTCCCAGTCCTCCCAGTCTGCACAGGGCGTGTTGGTGGTGGTGTGGAGGAGGGGGTCAGGCTGGGGGAGCTCCATGCCCTGTTGGGGTCAGGGATTCGGATGGGAAGATTGCTTCCTCCCCTTGTCAGGAAGGAAGGAATGTAAATCCCTGAGGAGTTTGGGATGAGGGAAGCTCCCAGTCCCTCCAGTTGTGCTGGACTGGCACTGGTCAGACCAAGGGGTTGGTGCCCCATTACACCTGTGAGGTGGTTTTTCATTCCTGCAGTTCTACTCCCCAGAGGTTTCTAAAGGCTGGGATGTTTCTGGAGAGGGCACAGAGTACCTGCTTGGCTCCTGCTTTGGATTTTTTCCAGAAAAAAAAAGGATTCGAGGGACCCAGAGCTCCTCACGAGGGCACCCAGCTGTGCCAGGCCTGTGCCAGTCCTGCACTCACCAACTGACTGCACGGGAAGAGTCCCAGGATGGTTAAATTCCCTCCTGGGGGCTTTTTCCTGGCATTCCCAGGCTTGGGAGCAATCAGCTTCTTGCCCTGTGGTCACCTTGGACACGGGCAGAGCCATTCCCTGTCACTGTGAAAGCTCAGCTCTGGTTTTGGTTTCCTAACGGTTCATTCCGAGAGGGGAGGGAGGGCTTGGCCTTCTCCAAACCCTAAAGCCATCCTTTCCCTTTTTGCTGGCTCTTGGCAAGCGTGAGAGTCCCTCCTGGCTTTAAAGAGTCCTCAGAGTTTCCTTAGGAAACATCTAGGATGCTAAAAGGACTTCCAGGAGTTGTTCTGGAGAGCAGGAGGGTGGAGGGAAGGGAAATAGGGCCGGGAAAAAGGGTGGGAAGCTCCTGCACCAAACCACCCTGCTCCCTGTGGGATCAGCCAGGCTGGGGGGCTGCTTTAGGCTTGGGGAGGGGGACACTGGCTTTTTGGACTCGGCAGGGAGACAAAGCCTATCCCAGTGTGTGGAATTCCGTGTGCTCCTGGGCTGCTCTGGTCAGGGTTTTTGGAGTGCGTGTGCTTTTTGGAGTGTGAGTGCTCTACGCTTGCTTTGTCCTGGTTTGTGGGGTTTTATAAATGAATAATAATTGAGAAAGGCTTTTTATTTTTTCACCATCTACTTACTTTTCTGTCCTGGGAGCTGTTTCAAGCCCTCTCTTGCTGCAGGCTGTGGGAATCCCGCCCTGCTGCCAGCAGGGGAGGGAATATTTTGGACCTCAAACAGCTGGATCCCAGGCTGAGCCAAGCATTCCTTTGGGTGAGGAGGACACACCTCTCGGGTCTGGGGAGAGGCAGCTCTCACAGCAGGCTGAATTGCAGGGTTTTCACCCCAATTCTCCCCACCAGCACTTCCCGAGGCTGGTGTGTTCTGCCAACAGTCTGGGCTGCCCCAAACCTCGGGGGATTGCTCCCAGTTCATTGAGATTTATGGTGGTTTTGCAACGTGTTCCCAAGGGATCAAGGTGCACAGAACCTTTTCCCTTTGGACACGTGTTTTCCATGGATGGTGTCTGTTGGTACAGAGGGTTTTTTGCCAAATATTCCTATTTTTTAGGCTTGAATCAGCACATGATTTGTTTTCTGCTGCAGTGAAATGCACCTTGCTTGGAAGGATCAGAATTTTTTACAGTTCTTTATACTGGTTTTTTTTTTTTTTATTTTCTGTGTGGTGAAATCAGTAAATGGATTAAAAATAACACAAAAGGTTGAGTTTTCACTTCTCTCTTAGTTTTGTTTTCTTCACGTTCTTTGCATGGTTTTGGTCGACACCTGGCACCAAAGGTGCAGGGTGGCTCCTCTTTATGCAAAAGCCCTTTTTGCTGAAAACCCCGGTTCAGTGGAGCTGCCGGTGCTCAGAGCTCCGTGTGCAGGCGGAAGGAGCCCAGACAGGCCCAGGCCAGAGCGGATTTGAAGTTTCCAGTCTGCTTTCCAGGGCCCAGTCAGCCCAGCGAGGTCAGGGCCCAAGAGGAGATTAAACTCTTCTGCACAGAGCTTAGTCCTGAGCTCTCCTGGATTTCTTCTTTCCCCTGCAGAGAGCACCAGGGGCAATCCCAGGATGTCCCAGCTCCTCCCAGCTTGGGAGGGAGGAGAAGGTGCTGCGGGAGCTCTGGGGAGTGTTTCCTGCCGGGAATGGAAGAAAGTCCCTCCTTTCCCTGCCTCCTTTCCCTCGCAGGAGGAAATGCCGCCTTCCTCTCCTCCAGTCCCGTCACAGGGTGTGCCCCTGCAGATGGGGCTCCTGACAGCTTGCAGGCGGAAAAAAGGGTGAAAATGGGAGCTCAGAGGCAGATTCCCATGGGGATGTGGGGTTGGAAGAGACCTTACAGATCCCCCTTGCTGCACGGGGCTCAGAGCTCCGCTCTGCTCTGTGTCCTTAGGGTGACTTCCCAAAAAAACCCACGCCTTGTGCTCCAAGAGCTCACCCTGGTCTGGGAGAGCCCCAGAGCACTCTGGCAGGCAGGGCAGGTGCGGTGGGGCAGGAACAGCCCCTCGGGTCCTGTCCTGTCCTGCAGTGGGGGCATCCCCGGGCTGGGAGTGCCCCTGGGGTCATGTGGGGGTGACTGCCCAGGAGTCGAAGTCCCTGAGTGGAAATAATGTCAAATAAAATCAGAAATGCTTTGCCAGCCGGGTTGGGCTCTGCTCATCGGGGCAGGATTGAGACATTCTGATAGAGGCAGTTAGCAGAAAGGCCCTGAGGGTGGAGGAGGCTTCATGCATGAGAAACTGGGCGAAACTGGGCGAAACTGGGCGAAACCGGGCGAAACTGGGCGAAACTGGGCACGGGGCTAGGGCTGTGCCCTTCAACCCTCCTGCTCCTGCGCTGGAGAGTGCAGCAGATGGGGGCTGGGCTCTGCTAACAGGGTGAGAGGGAACAGCTCAAGCTGTGCCAGGAGAGGTTCAGGTTGGATTTTGGAAGATTCCTCCATGGAAACAGCAGTCCAGGCCCTGAGCAGGGGTGCAGACCCCATCCCTGGGGGAGGGTTTAGCAGCTGGTGGCCTTGGCAGTTGGACTTGGTGGTCTCGGGGCTTTTCCAACCCAGGTGATCCCATGGGTCTGTGAAATGCTGCTACCCCGGTGAGCCCAGCCTGCAAACCCCGATAACCACCCCGGGTGTTTTTTATCTCATCTTCTCTTGAAAGCTTTGGGTCTTGCACAGCCTCCTGAGCAAACAGGTGAACCTGAGCTGATCTCACAGCAGGTATTTTCCTTTTGGGCAGGGCACCAGCCAAGCAAACACATCAGCTTTGCCTCTGCATGACACATTCCAGGGCCTGGGACTGTTTGGATTAAAAAGCCACCAGAGTGACTGAGATGGCATTTGCAAGATTGGAGCTCTTTGGGGTGAGAAAAGCAGGAGGAGAGGCAGGTTTGGGTCTCCTGGGAGCTGCTGGGGGGAAGGTTGGGAGTCACTGTTCTGGGCCTAAATCAGATGTTTCTGCTCTGCAGAGGGTCCCTGGGAAGAGGACCTGGCTGGTTAAACCCTCCCCCCAGCATCTCTGGTGCCTCCAGGTTGAGCCCCTCGCCTTCCCAGAGGAGTTCTTGGTTGGTTTTCCTGTAACTTGTCCCTTGCTCTCCATGTGTGGCAGGGAAGGAGCTGCTGCTGGTTTTGCCCCTCAGGTTTTGCCCCTCTGTCCTGGGGAGAGCAGATGCCTGCAGCAGGCTGGGAGTGAGGCAGGGCCTCGTCCCCACCCTCCAGGAGCCTGCAGGGCTGAGAAGGGGTGCACAGCCTGCAGGGTGAGAGGAAGGACAGGAACATTGGCCCTGCTTTGTCCTGTTTGGGCATGGCTTGGGAGAGACCTTACAGACCAGCCCATCCCACCCCAGCCATGGCAGGGACACCTCCCACCCTCCCAGGTGCTCCCAGCCCTGCCCAGCCTGGCCTTGGGCACTGCCAGGGATCCAGGGGCAGCCACAGCTGCTCTGGGCACCTGTGCCAGGGCTGCCCACCCTCAGGGAACAATTCCTTCCCAATATCCCATCCATCCCTGCCCTCTGGCACTGGGAGCCATTCCCTGTGTCCTGTCCCTCCATCCCTTGTCTCCAGTCCCTCTGCAGCTCTCCTGGAGCTCTGAGCTCTCCCTGGAACTTCTCCTCTCCAGGTGAGCACCCCCATTTTTCCCAGCCTGGCTCCATGGCCTCCTTTGGATTCACTCCATACGCTCCACATCCCTCTGGTGCTGGAGCCGGAGGAAGCTCTGCAGGAGCAGGTGGGGTCTCACCTGGGCTGAAGGTGCCCAGAGCAGCCTCCCCAGCTCACTGCTGTGCCCCAGGGCTCCTCAAGGGGCTGACTCTGGGTGATCTCTCCTGGCAGAGCTCACCTTCTCTGCAAATTCCATCCCATCACTGAATTATCTCTCTGCTCAGTGATCTAATCCTCTTTGCCAGATCATCCTTCAAGCCTCTTTCCAGGGCTCCTTTCCAGCACGGTCACACTATTCCCTGCCCAGGAACCAGCTCTGGGCTTTGTTTTCCTCCTGCTCCAGCAGCAGCTTCCCCTTCCCGTTCCACCTTCCATTCTGCTTTCCCTTCCCCTTCTTTTCTCCCACGCAACCCCCAGCCCCACTGACCCATCACGAGGCACAAATTCCAGGATCATGATCGTTATTTTATTACTTCCAGTCTCATGTGCTTCCCTTCCCATCTGGAGAGGACTTTCATCCTGTTCCCGAGCTTTTACCAGCAGACAGAAGGACTTTGTTGCTGCTGCAGGAGTGTGAGCTTGTGCCATGGATGCCTTGGGGCAGTGGGGGAGAGCAGCACCCAGACACTGGGAATACTGGGAGGCTGGGGTCCTGCTGCTCCCAGGAATGACTCTGGAAGCACTGGAGGGCCTGCTGCTCTCAGACAGCTCTGGGGCTGCAGGTGGAGGTGGGCTTTGGCGGGGGTCAGTGGTCCTGAGGGGATCAAGCAGCCATGGGAGCTGCTGGTACCATGGGAGCTGCTGGTGCCGCCTGTTTTGGGGTTATCTTGACTTCTCTCCCGGCCACACCAGCTCTTGGGGACTCCCTTCATGGCCAGGGACCAGCACTGGACACGATGGTGGAAGGGGATGCATTTTTTTGGTGGGGGTGAGGTCCAGCACAATCTGGGAGTGGGAACGGCGTCGTCCTGGATGAAATCCCCCAGCCTGGCGTAGAGACGGGTCTGCTACAGGTGTGTGACAGCTGAGAGCGAGGTGGGGGTGATGTGCTGGGGAGCAGGGGTCCCTGCTGGTGGCATGGCAGGCTTTAGTCTCCCTTCTTGGAGCTGGTGGCCTGCAGGCGCATCTTCAGCCACGCCACGTCCGCGTAGAGGTTGCGCTTGAGGATGGTGCTGGCGCAGATGATGGCTCCTTGCAGGGCTCCCATGAAACCCCCCAGGCACAAATCCTGCCCTGAAAGGAGGGAGCAGCAGATGAGCAGCCCTGTGAGCAGCCCTCACTCCCCACTCCACCCCAGCCAACCATCAGTGGTGGTTTGGGCATCGCCTCCCAGCTGCCCCTACACCATCCCTGGGTCTGCACCCACATTCCCTGCCCTGTCTGACCTTCCCTTGTCTCCAGCAGGAACTCCTCATCCTGCCCCACCTTCCCCAGATGGGAACTCTCCATCCTGCACTGGGCAAGGAGACAACCTCCCAGCGCTGGGGGAGCACAGCCCTCCTCTCCTCCCCTGGGACCACGGAATGCTGCTTTTCCAGGCGTTATCCCACTGCCCCCAGCGGCTCTTCCCTTATTCCGCTTCAGGACTGGAGGTTTTCTCTGCCCACACCCCGCTCCTGGTGGCCCTGTCACCTGTCAGGTAGAGGCTGGGCACGGCCGTGTCTGCCCGCACGGTGGCAATGGCCTCGGCCCGCAGGCGGGCGATGCCGTGGTCGGTGCCGTAGAGCTCCCCGTGGGGACTGGCGATGTAGTGCTGGTTGGTGAGGGGAGTGCCGCCCGAGAGGTACTCGATCTGCGGGGGACAGGGACAGGGGGGCTGCAGGGGCAGCAGCACGGGGGGCTGCTGCAGGAACCTGGCTGTGGGGCACGGTCTGGGACGGGTCTCCTGGCAGACGCTGGTGTGGTGGTTCTGGCCAGTTTCGTCCCAGGATGGTTCTGGAGGATCATCCTGGGATGGGCATGCAGGTCTGCCCACGCTGGATGGGGATTGGAGCAGCCTGGTCTGGTGGAAGGTGTCCCTGCTCACGATGGGGTGGAGCTGATGAGCTTTTCCAACCCAAACCATTCCATGACTCCATTGGGTAGGTGGAGGGAGCTGGAGGAGCCCTGAACCCCGAGCTTAGGACCCCTGAACCCTGTGTTTTCTCACCCGGCCCTCGATGCGAGGGTAGAGCTTGGAGACAGTCTGCATGATGGCATCCACAAAAGTCTTCTTCAGGTCCTCATAGTCATCCCCCCGCTTGTGGACCTGCTTGTCCTTCCACTCCTCGAACCACTCGTACCTGGCGAAGGTGACGATGGCCAGTGTGGATTTACCTGCAGGAGGACAAGGCTGGGGTGCTTGTCCCTGTGCCCACCCTCATCCCACCCTGTCGCTGCCCCAAACCCCAACTTGGGGTTCCATGTCCTTCATCCAGGTATCCCACAGAGTGCATTCCATGAGCCCCATGCTCAGCAGCTTTGAGCAGGGATAGCTGAGTAGAAACTCCTTGTTTGGGATCACCAAACCCCAACAAGAGCTTTGAAGCCCCTCACAAGGTGCCAGCCTCACCTGGGTGCCTCATTTCCCAGGTGGGGTCCTTGGCTGATGGCGAGGTGACAAAGAGCAAAGGGATGTTGTTGGCAGCTTCTTCTCTGGATGAGGCCAGGTAGCGCTTCATCCTGCACGAGAGGGAAGGGCTGAGCTGGGCTTCAGGGCACCCCTCCCCCTGAAAACCCTTACGACCAAACCCCCATTTCCTGAGTCACTGCCCAGGAATTCATCTCCTTACGCTCAGCGAAGCGCATCCAAGGTGAAGCCAAACCTACATTCCATCCAGGTCGTTCCCTGGGAACATGAAGTAGTTGGTGGGCTCCAGCCCCAGCTCTTCCCTCGAGCCGCTGAGGCCGACGAAGACGGTGAACCCCCCCTCACCATGGCTCACCATGCGGAGCTGGGCCTGGATCTCTGCAGCGTGGAGGGGAGAAGGGGAATTAGTCTGTTCTGGGGGAAATTGGGCTTTTCTAGGATCCTCGGCTACAAAGAAGTAATTTCTCCAATCCTGGTCCTTTCCCACCAAACCTGACCCTTCCCACCCACACAACCCATCCCCTTTCCGCCTGACTGTGCTCCTTCCCCCCATCCTTGCCCCTTCCAGAAGGTTTTCTGGCAATCCAACTTTAAGCAGAATTTCCACCAACTCCCACGAATTTTGGGGCCTTGCGCTGTGTATTTTAGGGAATCCTTGCACCAAACCAGGACTTTGCAAACTGCAGCCAATTTGGGCCAATTGATTTAACCTGAATAAAACCCCCCCGTGAAGAAATGAGCGGCCCAGGGCTGGGTTTTGAGGGCCATGGCACTGCAGCGACAGGGCGTTTGCCGGTGTTAATTGGCAAATCGGCTTTTAATTGGGATTAATCCGTAATCCCGCCGGAGCCCGGCGCTGACGCCGCACCCGGCAGAGCCCGCGCCTCCGCCGGCAGCAGCCTCTCGTAGGTGTTGAAGATCCCGGCGTCCGAAATGATCACGGGAGCCAAGATATCCACCGAATCTTGGCCTTTTTTGACGCTCACACCTGGGAGGGGAAACGCAGAGGGGGGAGAATGAGGTGCTGGTGAAAGGAACCCCGCTTTGGGAGCAGCCCCTCGGCCCAGGTGCTCACCGCAGGCCCTGCCCTGCGCGTCCAGCAGGATCCTCTGCACCGGCGCCTTCCCAAAGACGTCGCCTCCAGCCTTGCGGATCACCGGGATGGTGTGGAAGGCGATTTCCCCCGCCCCGCCCTTGGGGTACCAGGCGCCGTGGAGGAAGTGGTTCACCAGGATGCTGTGCATGGAGAAGCTGGCCTTGGAGGGGAGCACACCTGGGAAAAGGGGCAGCCGAGGAGGGTGTGGGCAAATCATGAGTTTGGAGCTTATCCTAAATATTTTAGCGTGAGGAACACCCTGGGTGTGATACTGAGAGGAAGGTGAGGAACCTGGAGGAGCAGGAGGACATCAAGTGTGGGTGTCCCCATGGCAAAGGCTGTGGTCACCAACCTGACTAAGGCATGGGGCGCTCAGGAGAGGGGGCAGAGGGAAGGGGGAGCTCTGGAACATTCCCTTGTACAGGAATTATGTCACCCCATGGGGAAGGTGAAGAACACAGGGGGAAAGAGATGGAGACGAGCAATGGGGACACGTCACCTGCCAGTGACTTGGGGACGAGGATGCTGGCGAAGCATCCCTGCAATGAACATCCCTGCAAACCTTCCGAAAACACGCAAAAAAGGGGGTTCTTACCTTTTTTCTGTTTCTAAAGGGTTTAACGTCATCCCAGGGCCTCCTGGTCACCTACCATAGGTGGGGAAGATGTAGCTGAGGACAGCCCGGAGCTCAGGGTTGGGGGTGAGACCATCCACCACGTCCTTGAGGCTGCGTGAGGCCAGCTGGCAGAAGGAGCAGAGGTGTGGGAGCAGCCTGGAGCGGATCAGGAGCCCGGCCAGGAACCTCGGGAGCATCTTCAGGATCCCCAGCAGCACAACCCCACGGCGGGTGCTCTGCAGGGAGAGCTGGGCGTCAGACACATCCCAGAGATGCTCCAAAGTGTTTTTTCCCCTTAAATTCACTGCTAGGCAGCCTGGGGAGCCGTGGGCAAGGGGAGTATTGGCTCCCTCAAAATCCTTCCCTCAAAAACTTCCTTTAAGAAAAGCTTCTGCGAAAAAAGCTTCCTCAGAAAGGTCCTCCAGAAAGGTCCACCAAAAAAACTTCCCCAAAAAGTTACCCCCAAAAAAATGGTTCTTCAGAAAAATTTCCTTCAAGAACTCTGCCCCAACTCCTTAAAGAACTTCTTCTTTAAAGAAATCTCCCCCAAAACATCCGTGACACTGCATTTTGGAGGCAGAAAGGGGCGATTTTGCACGTGTTTCCCAACGCTTTTGGGGTGATGCCATTATTCCCTGGGGGTGCCCAGCATCCAGGTGCCGGGGGGCTCCCCTGGCTGTGCAACCCCCCAGATCCAAACTGCCCTGGTGTTATCCCACCTTCAGCAGCTGCTGGAACTCATCGATGGCCGCCGCCTCCCCTGGGAACTGCTCCTTCAGCCTCTGGAAATATTCCCTCTTCCCAGAATGGATGTGGAAGGTCCTGCCAGCACCATGGGGGTCCCCCAAAACCACGGCGTCGTAGATGGCCGGGAGCGGGGCCCACTCCAGCTGCCCATCCGTCAGCTGGTCCACCAGGAACCGCATCAGGGAGCCCTCCTGCATCTGCCCCACATAGTGGATCCCTAAAACAGACATTTTTTCCTCTATTTTCCTCTTTTTCCCCTTATTTTCACTTTTTTCCTTTATTTGCATTTTCCCATCCCAGGATGCACAAACCCACCTCTTATTTATCCATCCCCACCCTAACAGCTCCACGTGGAAGGGAAAATGTGGGATACACCTGCCTCCCAGCTGGGGTGAATGGCACTGCCCACAGTATTTTTAGCTGGTAATTTTGGAGTTTTGTTACACTTTGCTGTCCATCTCTGCTGTAAATAATCAATCCTGGAGATTCGGGGACACACAGAGCCGGACTCTGCCTTGACACAAGATGTGTCCTGAGGTGACATCCCCCATGCTGGGAATTACACAGGGCTGGATATGGGGAATTTGGGGGTTTGGTATCCTACACCCGGAGGGTTTTGGGGTGAAGAGCAGGAAAATGGTTTGTGTAGCACGAGGTGTGTGCAGGGGAGCCCTGACTGTGACTCCCACCCCGAGGGTATCCCAGGCCCATCCCTCGGATCCAGGGGGAGTTGGGGGTCCCGAATCTCACCGGTGTCAAACTCGAAGCCCTTCTCGGTGAAGGTGTGGCAGCAGCCCCCCAGTTTGCCGTGCTGCTCCAGCACCAGCACGCGCCAGCCGGCCTTGGCCAGCAGCGCCGCGGCCGCCAGGCCACCGATGCCGCTGCCCACCACGATGGCATCGAGCCCAGGGGGCACCTTCTCCGCCGAGAACACTGCGGGGAAACGGGGGCGTCACCGGGGGGGCACCCCACAGCATGGGGCACCCCCCGAAACCGCGGTGAGCCACAGGTGGCACCGCGGGGGTGACACTGGGGGGGACAATGCCACCCTGGGGGGGGCTGTGACAGCCCGGGGGGATGCCAGCCCGGGGAGTTGATGCCAGCCCGGGGAGCTGATGCCAGCCCGAGGCGGTGCTGTCCCGGGGAGCTGATGCCAGCCCGGGGAGCTGATGCCAGCCCGAGGCGGTGCTGTCCCGGGGGATGCTGCACCCTGCGGTGATGCTGTCCTGGGGCCATGGCACGCTGAGCTGGCCATGCCACCCCGGCTCTAACCCCGCCGCGGGGTTGGTGGCCCCGGGGGTCCCGTACCTGTCTTAACGACGGTCCTGCGCACAGCCTTGTCGGTGACCAGCGGGGCGGGCGGGCGGCGGCTGTCGGTGGCGAAGGGGTTGCGGCTGCCCGAGACCCGCGGGAGCATGCGGGAGAGGAGGAGGAGGAGGAGGAGGAGGAGGAGGAGGAGGAGGAGGAGAAGGGGGACGAGGAAGAACAGCGCCTGCAGCCACATGGTGCTGCGGGAGCCCCGCTCTGCCCCGCGGAACCGGGAACAGCGGCGGGGACGGCAGGAACGGGAACAGCGGGCACGGGGCGGGCGGACCGCGGGGAGGAGTGGGGGCGGGCACTGGGAGCTGGGACTGGGAAGTGGCATTGGGCACTGGGAGCTGGGACTGGGCACTGGGAGCTGGGACTGGGAGTTTGGTACTGGGAAGTGGCACTGGGCACTGGGAGCTGGGACTGGGCACTGGGAGTTGGGACGGGGAGCTGGGACTGGGAAGCGGCACTGGGCACTGGCAGCTGGTCCAGGGCACTGGGAGCTGGGACTGGGAAGTGAGAGCTGACACTGGGCACCATGAGCTGGCACTGGGAGCTGGCGACACCGGGAGGCGGCACTGGGATACTGGGGGCTGGCACTGGGATACTGGGGGCTGGGACTGGCATACTGGGGGCTGGCAGCGGGCCCCGCTCGCCAGCACTGCTCGCCCGCTGCAGACCCCGGACGCGCCGAGTCCCGCTCCGGGCACCGGTCCCGTTCCAGCTCCGCCGCTTCGGCCCCGCCCCGCCCCACCGGGCCCCGCCCCGCCCCACCGGGCCCCGCCCCGCCCCACCGGGCCCCGCCCCGCCCCGCCGGGCCCCGCCCCGCCCCACCGGGCCCCGCCTCCTCCTCCGCGCGCCGCCGTTTCCGCGTCGCGCGGTGCACGCTGGGAATTGTAGTCCCCCTCCGCGCGCCCCTCCCCAGCGGGTGGAGGTGCGGACTACAGCTCCCGGCGTGCGGCGCGGCCGCGCATGGGCAGTGCGGCGGCCTCGGGCTGGGGGGAGCTGAGGGGTCGGAGGGGTCTGAGGGGCTGAGCGGGGGCTGGAACGGGCTCCTGAGGGGCTGAACGGGCTCCTGAGGCGCTGGGAGCACCGAGGGCAGCAGGCGGCTCCCGAGGGGCCGGGGGGGTTGTGGGGGTTCCGCACACCCCCATTCCCACCGCCGCCCCCCGTCTCTCCGCAGGCCGTGAGCGGCGCCGGGGGCTCGGAGCGGCCGGCGGAGCGGCAGCGCCTTGTCCCTCCGGCAAGTTCCTCTGCGGCCCAGCCGAGACCCGCCGAGCCTCCCCACCTCAGGGTCCGGGACCCCGCTCCCCCTCATCGCTCCGTTCCCGCCGTTACAGCCACATAAAATCGTGCGGAGGGCACAGACCCTCCCTGAAGGGGCTGAGCCGCCTTCCCGGGGGCATAGGGGCTGTTGCCTGGGGGAGAAGCTTGGATTTTCGGCTGGTGTTTGAGGGTGACGCTGTGTTCGCTCTGTCCCCCTCAGATGGCAGCTCTGGGGCAGGGAGGTGTCCTGCAGGAGCTGGTGCTCGGAGCGGGGCAGCCCCCAGACCCTGGTGAGCTTTCCCTGCTTCCCTTGGATTAATCCTGGCCTTTCCTGCTGGATCCGTCACCTGCGAGCCCCCAGGGATCAAGCAGGGGGGGATGTCTCTGACAAATCCGTCCAGTCCCAGATCGTTCCCCAAACTCACCCGAGATAAACCTTGTGGTGCCCGGGGTGGCTGCGGTTGGGATTTCCCTTGGCAAAGAGGGAACACAGCCCCAGGGTGTCCTGAGCGGGGCTGGGGGAAGGGAGGAAAGCCCCACTCCATGTCTGCCCCCAGATCTGACTGCTGTACCCCTTCCCTCGGGCAGGGCTCAGCGAGGAGCAGCGCCAGGCCCGGCAGGAGTGGGAGGCTCTGGAAGAGATCCAGTCAGGTACCGGGGCTAGCAGGGAGCGGGGCAGGTCCGGGAAGGAGCTGGGGGGCAGAGGGGTGCGGGAGGAGCTGCGGGCGTTATGTGCGGTGCGGGGTGGGCGCTTCCCTCTCCCCCGCGTTCCCCACGCCTTCACTCTGCTGGAAGCGGGGATCATTGCGGGGGCGGTCGGGGCTCCGTGAGGGTCTGACCCGCTCCCTGCCTCCCCTGCAGGCTTGGGGGGCACCTCAGGGGCGGCCCCCCCCCCGATTTCCTTCAGCGAGGCGCTGCAGCACTTCCAGAGCGCGGAGCTCCCCGCCAGCCGGGTACGCCGGGCTCCGTGCCCCGCTGCCTGCCAGCCGGGCGGGGGGCACAGCCCCTGCCCCGCCGGGGGCCGCAGCCCCTGCCCCGCCGGGGCCGCGCTGCTGAGCCTGTTTGTCCTGCAGGGCAAGGTGCGGGCCCCGGGGCGCCGCGGGATGCTGGCTGCCCTGCTCCGCTGCCTCCGCGGGCCGCCCCGGCTGCGCCCGCAGCTCCGCGGGGAGCAGGAGCTGGCGCTGGCCATGGCACAGTGTGAGTGGGACCCCCTGCGCCCTGCTGGATCGCATCCCTGAGGCCGGGGCAATGGGATGAGAATCGCCCGCTCCTTTGGCATGAGGGGGTTGCACACACATGGAAACCCTGGGCCTGTGGGTCTGGGGGCCGAGTGGTGTGTTCTGGGCACTGAGGGGGTTTTTTAGGTGCCCAGCTGTGCTTTTGAGGTGCTGTGAGGGCATTTTTGGAGGCTGTGGGTTTGGTTTTGGGGCACTGAGGGACATTTTCTGGGCACTGTGGGTTTTTTAGGGTGTTGAGGGGTGAGTCTGGGGTCTTTTGAGCACCGAGAGGCATCTTTTGGGTGCTGAGGGGTGTTTTTGAGAAACGGGGCGGGGATTTTTAGGGTGCCATGGGGCATGGGTTTGGCTGCTGAGGGTTTTATGGTGCCAGGGGCATTTTTAGGTAACAAGGAGGAGGGTTTTGGAGGACGTGAGGTGCTTTTTTAGGCACCAAGGAATGGTTTTGGGGATTTCAGTTCCTGGGGCACCCAGGGATGTTTTTCAGATGTCAGGAGTGTTTTGAGGCAGCTGGGTGCTGGCTCCCTCCCTGCAGGTGCTCTGGATGACTCAGAGTGGGTGCACATGCGGATCCTGCAGACCATCTACCGGCAGCTGACGTGCTCCAGGCTGGGCTGCCCGCGCTACGGGGCACACTGGGAGGAGCTGGGCTTCCAGGGTAGGACAGGGAGCAGCCCTCTGCCTGGGGAGATCCCCAAAATCCATCCAAACCTCCCCTGGAACCTCCCCGTTCTATCTCAGCTCCCTCAGCTGCTCCCTGTGCTCCAGACCCAGCTCCACTGGGCCTCCCTTGGACAGGCTCCAGCACCTCAATGTCCTTCTTGGACCCCAAAACTGATCCCAGGCTTTGATCCCCCCAGTCCTCCCATTCCTCTCCACACCCCTACAAAATTCCCAGGGGCGCTCTCAGTCCCTCTGTCCATAGAAGAATTAAACCAAACTGGCCCAGTACACCATCTGGACTGGTTGGCTGGGTCTTCCCATATTCCTAAAAAAGCTGGTAATTCCTGGAAAGGTGTGGGCATGGGAGTGGTGGGGTGGAGCAGGGGCTGGTTAAAGCACAGATGAGTGAGGTGATGGCCCCATTAGGGAGCTGGCCTGAAAGCTTTCCCTCAGGAAAGGGGATCCCCGTGGTTGTTGGGCAGAGACAGGGACTGCAGGGAGCAAACAGCCCATGGGAGTGGGAAGGTGGCAGGGAGTGGCTCCCCACTGTCCTTCCCAGGTGTGGATCCCGGGACTGACCTGCGTGGGACGGGAATGCTGGGGCTGATGCAGATCCTCTTCTTTGTCCTGGATTCCCGGACGCTGCCGCTGGCACGGGAGATTTTCCAGCTCTCCCAGCATGAAACCCAGGCATGACCTTCCCCCTCCTTCCTGCCAGGGAGTCTCCCTTGGAATTCCCAATGCTCTGGGAGAGGGAAGAACAAAAAGCTTCTCTTCTGAGTTTTTTTGGGACGCTGAACCACCTTGTAGTCATGAGGAGAAGAAAGCGGTGCCCAAGGGCCCCGATCCGGGCTGGAGCAGAGCTCCAAGTGCTGTATTTATGCTGGGAATGGGATTTTAGAGATCTGCTACTGGCTTGGAGTGGGATAAACAGGCTGGAGAGTGGGAAAATGGGAATGCCTAGGGACATTTTAGTCCGGGTTTAAGCCTGGGTACAAGATAGGCTCAACCCTCAGCATCCATCCAAGCCTGGATCTGTAGGGCTGTTATCCCAGTGCGTGGATCCCATGGATCCATCCCGTGGATTTGTGGCTGCATGGATGCAGTGTCAAGGGGCCAGAGGTGCCAGAGGGGAGGAGGGTTTTCCAGCTGAGCTTCCTTAATGCTGGAATTCTGGTTGTTTGACAGAACTTTCCCTTCTGCATCATGTCCGTGAACATCACCCGGATCGTCATCCAGGCGCTGCAGGAGGAGCGGCTCTCCCGGTGAGTGGGGATGGTTCTGGGCTCTCAAGCTGCACCCCGGGTTGTTCCCCTTCCCAGAAGGGGGCTGAATAATCAGATGGGACTCAGTTTCTTCATGCAGAAAAGCCAATTCTTTATTCACATAATTCGTTTTATACAGTTTTCACAGACCTCGTGTGTAACTCCAAGTGGCTGGTAGTTTTCTTGCTCATCAATTCATTGGTTAAAAAGTGCCTGTGTGTGTAAGAATCTCTCCATCTACAAATGTTTATGTATTTCCTTAGTGGATTCTCACGGGACAGATTTATTGCTTCTGGAAGTGCAGATTTCTATTTCTGTCCAAGAACAGGCGTCCATGTTAGCAGACTTCCCATTTCAACCCCAAGATTGTTCCTCGTGGGAACTTGCCACCTATTGCTCGCTTAGCTAGACTAGCAGGGCCTAAAGCACATTTGTGAAGACTTTTATAATCCTGGAGTTGTCTGTAGTGTCTCTGTCCCCTCCGCAGGGAGTGCAACCGGCGGCAGCAGGTGATCGGGGTGCTGAACGACCTGTACGCCGCCGCCTTCCTGCGCCTCTCCCGCCTCTGGGAGCAGCAGCACGGCACCGTGGCTGACGCCGGCTTCTTCCTCAAGGGTTTGTCTTCCCGGCTTCCCCAGCCCAATGACACGGGCTGTAATGCCCAGGGACTCCAAACATTCCCGGTTTAATCCCCGCACTGAGGTTTTTTCCCTGTCCCAGGGGTGGTTTTCCTCCCGTTTTCCACGCCAGGGGGATGCTGGACGTGTGGGGACATTCCTGCTCCATGTTAAGCCATGGCTTAACCCCTGTCCATGAATTACTCCAGAGAGGAATGCTGTCAGTGGGACTAGTGTATCCCTGAGGTATCGGGATCCAGCTGGCACTGCTGGGCTCCAGCTTCACCCCATCTTCCCTGCATTCCATTTTTAGGGTGCTCAGGCTGGCACTGTGCTCCCTGCTCCCAAGGAAAGCACGAGCACGTCCTTTCCCAAGGGAAAATGTCGGGACACCGGATTGACAGGATTGGCAGCATTCCAGGCCTGCTCCCCTCAACCTTTTCCCCCTCTGACCTTTCCAGAGCTGGAATTATCCACCAAAAAGAAGCCGAAGCAGCTGCTGAAATCCCTGGAAGCCTACCTGAGCCGTGGCCTTCAGCCTCCCTCCCTTCCCTCCTCTCAGATCCACTTCACCAACATCTGTGACCCTGGGGTGGAGCTGGAGGGAGATTCCTGACTGGTCTGACACGGAGTGGGACACTGCACAGGGAATTCTGCTGGTGGATCAGCCCTTGGAGGGAGACACACCAGTGTTCCTCCTGGTTTGGGGGAGCAGGAAGGGCTGGGAGAGGTCATGGAGATGGGATTTTGCCTGCTTCAGGTGGAATTTTCTGGAAGCAAAGGAGGAGGAGGAGGTAGAGCAGGGGATTCCATGAGCCAGCCAGCCTGGTGCTGGGATAGTCACTCTCCCCACCGCAAATCTGGGTCCTTACCCTCCCCAGGTGGAGCTGGAAGGTGGTGCTGGGTTCCTGGATCCCATCCCAGCCTCAGCAGCGCCTGGAATGGGAATCCCCCCACTTTGGGGGGCTGTGTCAGAGCCCCCAGGGTCACTGTGGGCTGTCAGCACCCAAAAAAGTTACTAAAGGAGGGAGATGAGGGAAAGAGAGTTTTGGATTTGCCACTGGACTCTGTATCTGGGGGCAGGAAAGGTGAACTGGGGTGCCCTGAGTCCACTTTGGGGTGAAAAAGGAGCTGTGGAGAGCTCCAAGGAGGAGGGGAAGGGTTATTCCCTCTGGGAGCAGCTCGGGGCCAGTGCTTGGGAATGCCAGGACCCTAAAAATGGGGAAAAGCAGCCCCCAAAGCCCAAATCTGGAGAGAAATTAGGGGTTTGGAGAAGTAGGAGCTGGGGGAAGAATGGAATGTTGTGGCCCCAGCCCCCTTGAGAGGGCGATGATTCCTGGGGGCTGGGAATGCTCCTGGATGGAAAAAAAAATAAATAAATTGGAGAAAAAGGAGCCTGGAGTTGGGGTTTGCTCTCCTGATCTTGGGTTATTGTGGAAATGAAGGGAGAATCCTTTTCAGGTGTTTTGAAGGAACAAAGATGTTGTGGGGGGTCAGGGCAGTCTTGCACACGTAGGAGCACATTTGGGAGTGGTATCTGAGATACTGGGGGGAGATAGACAAGAAAAAAGGGGAAAAGGATGGTATAAAAGGAGAATAGAAGCAAAGAGACAATAAAAAACTGAGGGAAAAACAAGACAAAATAGGACAAGGAAAAGAGGAGTAGGAAAAAGATGAGGAAAAAAGAGACAAAAAGAAAGGGAAGAGGCTCAACTACCCTTTTCCTAGTTTGTTTGTTTGCCTTTTTCCTCCTCTTCTCCTTTCCCCTCTCTCTTTTTTTCCCCCCTTTTCCAGGGGTGGGCCCGGAGGTGCGAGGCCTCCGCCCCTCCCCACGTGAACCGGGGCCTTTCCGGCCTTTCCGGCCGCTGCAGCCCCGCGGGTCCGGAGGTGGGACGGGCCGGGCCGGGGGGACGGGGACAGGGGCCCGGCGGGACCCTCCGGGGCTGTCCCGGGCCGGTGCCGCCGGGGCCGGGCCGGTGCCGGGGCGGAGCGGGGCCGGGCCGAGCGCGGGGCCTGCGGGGCCGGGCCCGGAGGGGTTGGGGCCGAGTCCCCCGGGCCCGGCGGGGCGTGGGGCCGGGCCGAGGGTCCCGGGGCCGTGCGGGGCCGTGCGGGGCCGTGCGGGGCTGTGCGGGGCTGCTGCCAACACAGCGGGGCCCGGCGGGCCGGGGGAGTGCGGGGCAAGGCCGCGAGTGCTGGGGGAGTGTGGGTGTGGGGTCAGTGTGGGGTGTGGGACCCCCCAAACCCTGTGGGGATGTGGGGTGTGTAACCCCCCCAAATCCCATAGGGGATGTGGGGTGTGAGGGGTCAGTGTGGGGTGTGGGACCCCCCAAACCCTGTGGGGATGTGGGGTGTGTAACCCCCCCCAAATCCCATAGGGGATGTGGGGTGTGTGGGGTCAGTGTGGGGTCTGTAACCCCCCAAACCCTGTGGGGATGTGGGGTGTGAGGGGTCAGTGTGGGGTGTGGGACCCCCCAAACCCTGTGGGGATGTGGGGTGTGAGGGGTCAGTGTGGGGTCTGTAACCCCCCAAACCCTGTGGGGATGTGGGGTGTGTAACCCCCCCAAACCCTGTGGGGATGTGGGGTGTGAGGGGTCAGTGTGGGGTGTGGGACCCCCCAAACCCTGTGGGGATGTGGGGTGCGAGGGATCAGTGTGGGTGTTGAACCCCCTCAACCACCCCCAGTCCCATAGGAATTTGTTTTGTCTGCAGGATTTTTCCCAGGACCCTCGAGCACCAGTGCCTCTTCTCTCCGGTTTGGGGGTGTCCCCTCAGCCATGGCACCCCCCATGGTATGTGACACCACAGGGACCCTCTGTGCCACCAGCCTGCCCCTCCAGAATCCCCTCCAAATCATGCTGGGGTCTCTTCACTTTCCCCCTTCTTTTTCTCTCCCCCAGCTACATTTTAAACCAAATTTGCTTTTGTTCTCCCCTTCTTTTTTTAGGAAATAGAATTTCTAAGCCCCACCCCTCAGAAAGGGAAGAGGGAATCCCAGTTTGAGGGCCAAGGAATTGGCATCCCAGTGTTCCAGGGTACCCCCTGACTCTGGAGGTGGGGATGGAAGGGGCTAATAAAGGGTCTTGGGTCTCCTCAGATCCCACTGAGCCCCCTCAGCCCCATATTTCCCAACTGATCCCACTGGATCTGGGTTAATCCCACTGGATCTGTGTCTTTGAGGGAGGGAAACCCCAGTGCCAGGGTGCTGATCCCCCAGGACCAGGTTAATTCTCCTGCATCCAGGTTGATCCAGGTCCACACAGTCACCAAAACGTGCCACCAGCTTGTCCCAGCTAAAATTCCTTCATTCCTTGCTGTTACTGAAACCCCCCACCCCAGAAGCGTGTTTTGGGGTGTATCCACCCACATTTGGCATTCCCAGATGCTCCTTCCCATTTTTCTTTCTCCCCGCAGATTCAGTCGTGGATCAGCCACTCGGGGCCGAAGCTGGAAGTTTTCGTCCCGTTCCTGGGCAAATACCACCGGCCGGTTTCGGGGCGCTGCTGCCAGGCCTGCACCCCCAGGAGCTGGGTAGGAGAGCGGGGGATCCCGGGGGGCCGGGGCTCCGCACGGGCACGGCTCAGTCCCGTTTGTCCTGCCAGGATGGATTCTACCCCGAGGACCTCGCCGCGCTCGGGTTCCGCGACGCCAGCCGCGTGACGGAGGCGGACACGCGGTGAGAGGGACGGGCTCTGTGCACAGCACGCCTGCAAAACCGCTTCCCTCCCCCACATTTCACCTGTGGGAGCCCCTCTCCATCCTCCCCGCTTCCTCCTCACCGCAATCCGAGCTCGTCAATCCATTCTGGGAGGCTGGAAGTGGCGTCTCTGGGGGTCCAGTCATGGGACTGGGGGTTTGGGGTCATGCCTTTATCTGGAATCTTGGTGGGAAGAACGGGGAGGTGGAGGGTTGTTCTTCTCTCTGGCTCGCAGGGAAAAGGGAAAACAGCCACTTCCCCTTAGAAGGAAAAATACCAGGAAAGGTGAAATTGTGGTTATCACCTCTTTTCATCTGGGCAGGAGCTGCCACAGAGCCATTTCCAGATATTTTCATTTTTGAAGTGCCAGATCACTTTAGCTCCACTCCCCTTTAGGGAGCAACAGGGGATAGATTGGGAAGTTTCCGTGATTTGGGAATCCCAGTTTTCCTTCCTGCTGGGCAGCCTGAAGCATCAATTCACTGGTGCCTCAACATTTCCAGCTGTGAAATGGGAGAAATGTCCCGAATCTGGCAGAGAGGCAGGCTGGGGGGGCTGTGGTCCTGGTGGAAAAGCCTCCCCAGCCAGGACGTCACTGTGTGTCCCCTGCAGGTTCCGGGGCTGGCTGGTGCGGAGGGTTTGTGGATTCCTGGCAGCCTGGGAGTGGAAAATTCCAGCAGAGAGCCCCGGGGAGCTCCTGGTGCGGATCTGCAGCAACAGGAGGTGGGTGGCATGGCTGGGGCCGTCCCAGGATCGCCCTCCCCCAGGAGGCTCCCAGTCCTGGGGATCCATTTGGTCCAGGTGGGATCCTGGAGCCCCGCGAGGCTCCCTGCACCCCAGCACGTGGATGTTGGGTGCTCCCCCCTGCCCTGCTCTCCCCAGGGTGCAGAGTGCTGCCTCCGGCCGGGAGCCTGGCTCCAGAGGGGATGAGGGATCCCAGCGGCGCTGGAAGGAGGAGATCTGCCAGATCCTGGGGGAAATCCAGGCCCCGCTCTCCCCTCTGCTGCTGAGGTGGCGGATCTTCCCGGGAAATATTCTGGGGGATGGCTACAGATCCCTTTTGGGATTTTGGGGGGATGCATATGGATCCATGGGGTGTTTCCTGGGATGCTTTTGGGGAATGTGCTGGCATATTTTGGGAGATATTTTAGGATCCTTTGGCTGGCTGCCCTCGGGGTCCTCTATAGCTCCTTGGGCCATTCCCTCAGTTCCTTCTGAGGAGATGGAGTGGGAAAATCCAAACCCTGCAGGAGGGAGGGAAGCAGAGAAAACTTTCCATTTCCTTTTCCCTTTCCCATCCCGTCACTGACACTGGGAATCCAGGGCTTCATTGCTTGTCTGATCCAGTGGGAATAAAGAGTGCTTTTGGGCCGTTCACGGGAAGGTATTCCCCTGGGAACAAGAAATTCCCCATGCAATAAGAACATTTGGGGATCTCAGAGTGGGGCAGGAAGATGGAGGGAATGCAGGATTCCTGATGGCAGCTCTGGTTGCCAGTGGAAAAGGAGGATGTCTCATCACACGCGATGTGTGATGAAAGTGGGAATTTTGAGCAGGGATGGGTTGGGGAAACTGAGGCAGGGATGGGTTTGGGGAAGCCTCATTCCCAGTTTTCCCACAGGCTGTGCCACTGGCTGCTGCCCAAGCTCCTGACCCGTCTGTTCCTGGGCGTGCAGCTGCACCAGGGGCAGCTGGAGATGGTGCTGCGAGCTGCCAGGACGGTAGGGAGCCCAGCCGGGCACTCCCCGCCCCTGGAATGCCGGGAACTGAGCCCAGGATCCCTCGCTTGCAGCCCGAGGTGCCGCTGGTGTTCCTGTGCAGCCACCAGTCCGCGGTGGATGGGCCGCTGCTGTCCTTCGTGCTCCTGTCCCAGCGCATCGGGCTGCCCAGGGTGGCCGTGGGCGCCGGGACCAGCCCCCGCCTGCGGTGAGGCAGCGCCCTGGCATGCTCCCAGAGCACCCAGGGGTGCAGGGGTTGCCCACGGTGTCCTTCCCTCGCCAGATCCCTGCTCCAACGCCTGGGAGGGATTTTCCTGCCTTCAGGAGTGGCGCCGACCTGGAGTGACGTGGATGAGGGGCTCCCGGGGGCTGTGCTGGACGCGGTAGGTGCAGCTTGGGCTGCAAACTCCCTCTGGGGCGCTCGGCGTGGCGCTGGCAGCTCCCAGTACTCCCAGTCTCTCCCCAGTATGTGCAGGAGGTGCTGCGGAGCCGCCAGCCCCTGGTCCTGTTCCTGGAGGAGCCCTCGGCCGCCCTGCGGCTGGCGGCCCCCGCCCGGCGCTGGCTGCTGCGCCTGCTGCGGGCGCTGCGGGACGGAGCCGTGCCCGACGTGCTGCTGGTCCCGGTGGGCATCGCCTACGACGTGGCTCCTGGCGGCGTGGAGCAGGACGGGGCGGTGAGAGGGGCTCTGGGGCTCAGCGGGGCTCCCCAGATCGCTGGCACTGGGCATCAGCGCTCCCCAAAACCGCTGGGAAGCACTGATCCCCTCCGTCTCTGGGAAGATGCCTGGGGAGAGGCATCCCCCAGATCTGCGTTAACCCCTCCGTGCCATGTCCTGGCAGCCCCCTCAGCCCCTGGGGATCGGCTCGTGTCTCCGGGCAGCGTTCCGGGCCCTGCGCTGCCGGCACCGCGGCTGTGCCCAGGTGGACTTCTCCCAGCCCTTCTCCTTACGGGTACGGCAGTGCGCATCCCCTGGATCCCTCCCGGCACTGGGAGGCTCTTCCCGGGATCTGGTGGGGTTTGAGCTGCCTGGGCGGATCTAGAATCCATGCTGGGGAAAATCGTGCTCCTCCCAGCCCTGGGGATGCAGGGATGGAGAGAGCTCCTGGCGCTGAAGGCTGTGAGCACCCACAGGCTCCTTCTTCCTCATTCCCAGGAATTTGTGGACAACAACCTCGTCGGGCCAGTCCTCACAGGGAATCATCCAGAGCAGCTGCTGCTTCCCGCCATCCTGGGCAGGAGGTGAGGAGCTGAGCCCCAGGCAGCGTTCCCTTGGATCTCTGCTCCCCTTCTCCTCCTGCCTTCCCACCCTCTCCTCCTGCCTTCCCAGCCCGCTGGATGTGGGGAGCGTGGGGACTCCGAGGCCCAGTTTGGGGACGGAAGAGGAGATTTTGGTGACGGCGCTGGGGCTGCATGCCCTGAGCGGTGAGGGGGCCGGGGGGTCCCTGCATCCCTTGGGATGGCATTCCCTGCTCTGGAGCGGGGTGGAGGTGGGTGCCCCCCGGAAAACGAGTGCCTCTCCCCCGCTGCAGATTCCAGCGCCTGCTCCGCCGTCACGGCTGTGGGAATCACCGCGGCGCTGCTGCTCCACAGGCACCGGGAGGTGGGAGAAGGGTCCCACCCCTCCCTTCCCTCAGAGCAGCATTCCCAGCAGGAATCCCCCTTCCTTCCCTCAGAGCAGCATTCCCAGCAGGAATCCCCCTCAGAGCAGCATTCCCAGCCGGGAATCACCCCTCCTTCCCTCAGAGCAGCATTCCCAGCGGGAATCACCCTCAGAGCAGCATTCCCAGCAGGAATCCCCCTCCCTTCCCTCGGAGCACCGTTCCCAGCGGGAATGCCCCCCAGAACCCCGCTCTGTTCCCCCAGCTCGTGCTGCTGCCCCGGCTGATGAGGGATTTCTCGGAGCTGCTGGAGCAGCTCCTGCTGCGGGGCCGGGCCGTGGGCTTCTCGGGGCAGCTGCGGGCGCTGGTGGAGCACAGCCTGCGGCTGCTGCAGCCCCCCCCGGGCCCCCCAAGCCCTCCGGGGCCCCCCAAAGCCTCGGCCCGGGCACGGCTGGGGCGGCTGGCGGCGGGGATCCGGCACCACCTGGCCAGGGAGGCCGTGGGCGGTGAGTGGGGACGCTGGGAGCGGGGACAGGGTGGCACTGGTGGCACCGAGGAGCAGGGCTGCCCCGGGAATCGGTGACACCGGGAACGGATGATGGCTGCACTTTGGGGAGCACCAGGGGTGTTGTTGGCATCGTGGGGGTCGATGGCATCGGGATTTGGGACACCAGGGGTCGGTGATGCCAGAGAGGTCAGTGATACTGGGGAGATTGGGGGTGCAGGGGATTTGGACACTGGGGGATGGGGGGATTGGGCATGCCAAAGGTCAGGGACTCTGGGGGAGTGGGGGATGCTGGGCTCTTTGGTGACTCTAGGACTGGTGACACCCCTGTCCTGTCAGCCTGTGCCATCCGTGCCCTGCTGCTGGAGCTGCTGCCTGTCCTGGGGCCGCCCTCCAGCCTCACCAGGATCGTGCTGAGCCGGGACGAGCTGCTCCGCAAGATCCTGCAGTTGCTGCAGCTGCTGCGCCCGACCCTGCTGGGGCTCCAGGTGGGGACACGGGGCTGGGCTGTCACCCCCTGCCCTGCTGGGGCTCCAGGTGGGGACACGGGGCTGGGCTGTCACACCGGGCTGGCCTGTCACCCCTCTCCTGTGTCCCCAGCCCTGCCAGCCTCCCGACTGCCACAGCCTGGACATCCTGGACAAGCTCATCCTCAGGGGGCTGCTGGAGGAGGAGGTGGTAGGTGACACCCCAAGGGCTCTCCTGGGGCACAGGGACAGGGTGGCTTTGCACTGAGGTGACAGTGCCTTGTCCCCTAGGCGGAGGGTGAGCGCAGGGGCTGTGACGTGGCTCCCCGGCGCTTCTGGCAGGGACATTCCTTGGGCTTCTTCACCGACGACAGCGACAGTGACAGCGAGCAGGGGCTCCCCAAGCAGTGCTACAAGGTACTGGGGGGTTCCCCCACTGCCCCCCGGGCTGGTGGGAGCGTGGTTTTCCCCCACATCTGGCCGTGTATCCCCCACAGCTCCGCGAGCCCCAGGGCTTCCCTGGCTTCCTCCTCTTCCTCTGCCGCCTGCTGAGCCCCGTGCTGCAGACCTACGGCCGGGCGGTGCAGTTCCTGCAGCGAGCCCCCTGGCCCCAGCCCGGTAGGACCCCCGAAGTGGGGAACCCCTGGGGACTCCCTGGGGCCACTGAGGCACAGCTGCAGCCCCCAGGGGTGGGATCTGACGCCCCTCCCCACTGCAGAGGAAGACTACGTGGAGGCACTGCTGGAATTCCTGGCTGAGGATGAGGATGGTGAGTCAAGGGGGGGCAGGTCTTGCTTTAGTGACCCCCCGAGCCAGGCTGAGGGTCCTGGAGGGGTGACATTTGGGGGTTCCCTGGGGATCTCTCTGCCCACAGGCTATCCTGACAGGAGCCTGGCCCTGAGCTCCCTGCAGAGTTTCAAGGACATGGGGGTAAGCACAGCTCCCCCAGCCCCCCAACATTCTGCTGCCCCCCCTCTGACCTCCCTGTGCCCCCCCAGGTGCTGGAGGAGCTGCAGACCCCCACAGGACGCGCCCTGCAGCTCTCCCAGCCTTTCCAGTCTGCGTCCAGCCGGGAGAAGCTGGCAGCCTTCATCCAGCAGTTCACCCAGCTGTAGCCCCCAGACCCATAAAGGGGCGCGGTGACCCAGTGGCTCGTGGATTTATTGACCCGAGGGGGCGGTGGGGCCGGGGACGCCTCTTGCCATCAGACCACGCGGTTGCAGATGGTGCCCAGCTCCTGGATCTCACACCGCACCTCATCGCCGCGCTGCCAGGGGGGCACACAGTGGCAGCCGTGCCCGGTGGGGTCCCCCCCGCCCCACCTGAGCCCCCGTTCCCCCTCACCTTGAGGAAAACGGGCGGTTTCCGGAAGACCCCCACTCCCGCGGGGGTCCCCGTCAGCAGGATGTCCCCGGGGACCAGCGTCACGAACCTGGGGGCGCAGGGGGCGTCAGCCACGGCCCCCTGGCCGTGGGGGTCCCCAGGCCCCCCTTCCTACCGGGACACCCAGGCGACGAGGGCGGGCACCCCGAAGATGAGGTGGCGGGTGTTGCTGTCCTGCATGCGCTGCCCGTTGACGCTGCAGCGGATCCACAGGTTGTGCACGTCTGTGGGAGGTGACACGGGGGGGACATGGGGACAGTGCCACCGTGACCCCTCTGTGGGGAAAACATGGGGGCCGTGATGGCAGCAGCGGCAGCTGAGGAAGAGCCGCCATCCCCTCAGTGTGACACCGTCCGTGTCCCATCCCTGTCGCACCTGGCACCGCCTCCCTGGTGACAATGGCCGGCCCCAGGGGACAGAAGGTGTCGAAGGTTTTGCCCAGCAGCCACTGCCGCCCGTTGCGCCGCATCTGCCAGTCCCGGGCGCTCACGTCGTTGGCCACCGTGAAACCCAACACGTGCTGCAGTGCTGCTGCCTCCTGGGGACAGCGGGGACGGCTCGGGGACACGGCACCGAGCCCCGGGGGACACTGCACCGAGCCCCCGGGGGACACTGCACCGAGCCCCGGGGGGACACTGCACCGAGCCCCCGGTGACAGCCCCCGGGGGACACTGCACCGAGCCCCCGGGCCGGGCAGGGGTACCTCGATGTGCCGTCCCCTCTTCCCGATGACAGCAGCCAGCTCCACCTCCCAGTCCAGCTCCTGCGGGGACAGAAGGGCTGGGAGCGCCGTCCCGGGCGCTGCCCCGGGGCCGGTACCGGGTACCCACGCTGGTGTCCTGCGGGTGCACGATGTCATCGAAGGGCCCGGTGATGGCGCTGGGGAACTTGCTGAAGATGAGGGGCTCCTTGGGGACCTTCACGGCCTGCTCCTGGCAGTGGTCGTGGTAGTTGAGCCCCACGCAGATCACCTTCTGGGGGTCCCCCAGGGGCGCCAGCAGCTGCGCGGCCGCCCGGGGCACGCGGTGCTGCCCCGACTGCAGCGCTCTGTGGGGACAGGGACACCCCGGGCACCCCCCGTGCTTCGCTTCGGGGCACGCGTTCCCCGGGGCCACGCTCCTGGGGGGCCATCCAGAGGGGTCAGCTGTGTTTTAGGGACTCTCCTTTTGGGGGGTCCGCAGCTGAGGGGAGCCCCTCGGTGGGGACACCCGTGAGTTGGCGTTCCCACTTTTTGGGGGGCCAGCTTTTGGGGGTGACCCACTTTGGGGTCATCCAAAGCAGCACGCGGATTTGGGTGGCCGCTCCTGTGGGGATCCATGAGGAAACCCCCCCATTTTGGGGTTCCCTCTCCTTTTGGTGGCTCCCCACTGCTGGGGGGGAGCCGGCTTTAGCAGCATCCACTTTTGGGGTCACCAAAGGTCACCACCTTTGGGGATCGCCCACCTTTGGGGGTCACCCACCTTCTCTGGGGTCCCCCTTGGCCTCACCCACCTGTGGGCGAGCTCCAGCCCGCGGGGGCCGATCTCCAGGAATTCCCGCATGGAGCGGGGCAGCTCCGGCTCGGCCGCGCTCAGATCCACCAGGTCCCCGCCGGGCGCCTCCTCCAGCCCGAGCCGGGGCCCCCCGCCCGCGGCCCCGCGGAACCGGACCAGCCGCAGCGCCCCGCGCATCCCCTGCGGCCGCGAGCCCGGATGGATCCGGCCCCGGGGCAGCCCACACGGCCCCGGGGGAGCCCACACGGCCCCGGGATGCGCTCCCGGTCCCTGGACGTTCTCCCGCCCCGGTTCCGCTCAGCCCAGTCCCGGGATCCCCCCGGTCCCGCACAAACCCGCACCCGGGGGATCCCCCCCCGTTTCAGTCCGATCCCAAGGGATTCTCCCAGCCCCGAGTCCCGCACAGCCCCGGTCCCGAATACTCCCGATCCAGGGGATAACCCCCCAGTCCCGGAACCCCCCGTTCCCGGTCACTGCCCCGTTCCCGGTCATTCCCCTGTCCCGGACCCCCGTTCCCGGTCATTCCCCGGTCCCAGCCCCCCTGTTCTCGGTCATTCCCCTGTCCCGGTCATTCCCCGGTCCCAGCCCCCCCTATCCCGGTCATTCCCCTATCCCGGTCATTCCCCGTTCCCGGTCATTCCCCGTTCCCGGCCATTCCCCGGTCCCGACCCCCCGGTCCCGTCCCGGGGGTCTCTCACACGGCCGTTGCTGCCCCGCTCCGCCAGGGGGCGCTGCGGGCCGGTACCGCCCGTCACGTGTCACGTCACGTGCCGCCCCCGCCCGCCTGAAGGTCGCGGCACTGAGACCCCGCCCCCTTCGGACCGACCAATGGGATGGCGCGGGGGGCGGGGCCAAGTTTTCAATGAGAGCCAATGAGAGGCGAGGGCCGATGGGCGGGGCTGCGGGACCGGGACCGGGACCCGAACGGGGAACGGGAACGGGAACCGAACTGGGACCGGGAACGGGAACGGGACCGGCACCGGCAACGGGACTGGGACTGGGACCAGGAACGGGAAGGGCACTGGGAACGGGAACGGGACTGGGACCGGGAATGGGACTGGGAACGGGAACAGGAACCGAACTGGGACTGGGAGCAGGAGAGGGACCGGGACCGGGAACGGGACGGAGCCACGGGCAGGGACAGGGAGCGGGACAGGGAGTGGGACACTGCGCATCCCTCCTGACTCCGTGTCACCCCAAAATCGTCACCATTTGGTTTATTTATAAAATCCCCCTCCCCACGCTGCCGGGGGAGGGGCTGTGCTTTCAGTTCCCTTCGGGGGCTCCGTTCCACGGCTGCCATAGGGAGACCCCCACACCCGGGGGTCCCCACGTCCCGGGGGTCCCCGCCCCGGGGGTTGTGCCGTGCCAGGTCCCCGCACCGCCAAGGGGGCCTCGGTGTCGAGGGGAGGCTCAGCCCCCCCAAAATGGGTCTGGCTGGCAGCTGGCAGCTCCGTGCCCGGGGGGCTCTGGTGGCAACGTCGTCCTTGTCCTTGTCCTTGTCCTTGTCCTGTCCCATCTCCGGGAGCCGCACGCTGGATCTCTCCTGCCTGTGAACTTCTCGTTTGTCTGAAACAGCAGAAAAGCTCCGGGGGGAGCAGGGTCTAGAGCACGTTGTGGAAGATCTGCATGGAGCTCATGATGTCCTTGTCCTGGGGAGGAGAGACCAGAGACCCCGCGTCCCCCTCCTCTTGTCACCCTTTGCCATCTCCTCCTGTCCCCTCATCTGTCCCCAGCACCCCACACTTCCCAGCACAGCCTCCCCCAAATCCTTCTCCCAGCCCCAGCTCCCTTCCCTCTCCTCCTGCCCCTTCTCTGCCGTCCCTCCCAGCGTCCCCCCTTGTGTCCCCTCTCCCTGATGTCCCCAGCACGTCATTTTGGGACAGAACACAGAGGAGCAGGAAGAGGAGGAGGAGGAGGAAGCCCCCCAGAGCCCCTCACCTCCTGGCACGTGGCCAGGAACTCCTCGAAGGTCACCACGCCGTCCCTGTTCCTGTCCATCTTCTGCAAGGAGAGGCCAGGGCTCAGTGGGGCCGCTCCGGGCCGCAGGGTGGCCCTGAGGTGGCCCTGAGGTGGCCCTGAGAGGTGGCCCTGGGGTGGCCCTGAGGTAGCCCTGGGAGGTGGCCCTGGGAGGTGGCCCTGGGGTGGCCCTGAGGTAGCCCTGGGAGGTGGCCCTGGGAGGTGGCCGGGAGGTGGCCCTGAGGTGGGACAGTCTCACCTGGAAGAAGAGCTCCACGTGCTGGGCCGGCGCGCTGGCGCCCAGTGCGGGCTCGGTGCAGCGGCCCATCATGGCATAGATGGACTTCATGATCTCCAGCATGTCCTGGGGGACACAGGGCGCTGGCAGGTCCCTGCCCGGCTGTCCCCACCCCGCCAGCCCCCCAGTGTCCCCCACTGTCACCTCCTTGGTGATGTAGCCGTCCTTGTTCACGTCGTAGAGGTCAAACGTCCACTTCAGCTTCTGCTGCTCCGTCCCCCGCAGCAGCACCGAGAGCCCCACGGCGAAATCCTGGCGGAGGGGCCATGGAGGGACCGGGACCGTCCCCCGGCCCTCCCTCCCTCCCTCCCTCCCTCCCTCCCTCCCGCCATCGATCCCGGCCGCCCCAGGGATTTCATCCCCATTGATCCCGGTATTTTTACCCCGCACCAGCCACGGCCTGGGAGGGGAGAGGAGGAGGAGGAGGAGGAGGAGGAGGAGGAGGAGGAGGAGGAGGAGGAGGGGAGGAGGACCGTGATGAATCACGCTGCTGGCACGTTCCCACCAGGAATTCCCACCTGGAAGCACAGGGCCCCGTGGCGGTCGGCGTCGAAGGCGTCGAACAAGAAGTGGGCGTAGGAGCTGGCGTCTGCGGGCAGGGACGGTGACCCCCGGCCCCGGGCAGGACCCCCCGGGGGGCTCGGGGACCCCCGACTCACCGCCTTGAGGGAAGAACCGCGAGTAGATGAGCGTGAAGGTCTCCTCATCCACGAGGCCGCTGGGACATTCCTGCCGAGGGAGCGGCGCCGGTGACCCCGAGGGACGCGGGACCCGCGGGTTTGGGGGGCCGGGACCCCAACCCCGGGCTCACGTTCTTGAAGCCGCGGTAGAGGGACTGGAGCTCGGCCTTGGTGAACTTGGTGCGGGCCAGCAGCTGCTCCAGCTCCTCGGGCTGGTGCCGGGCGCTCGGGAGCTCCACGTCGGCATCGCCGCTGTCTGTGAGGGACCCGGGGAAAGACCCCCTTAGAGACACCCCAAATCCCCCCCTGGGCAAAGACCCCCCTAGAGACACCCCGACACCCCAAACCCGCGGCCCCCGGAGCCCCCGGGGCCCCGCACGCCGCGGGTGCCGCGTCCCGGGGGTTTCCCACATTCCCCAGGCACCGAACGTTCCCGAGCCGCCTCTTGGCCGCTGCCGCTCCGCCCGGCCCGGCGGAAGGTCATTAATAAATGATGCTTCATTAATAATTGCAGCCCGGGAAGCCCCTGTGGGGCCGCTCAGCGCAGGGGGTGTCAGCAGTTTTGGGACTGGGAGCCCGGAACGTTCCCAGGCGCTGTCAGAGGGGTGAATCCCCAGCCCGGGGTGTGAGGGGTCTCAGGGGGCATTGGGGGTCCCTGGTGTCCCATCTCAGGGGGTTTGGGGGGTCACTGTGGAGTCCTGAGCCCCACCTCGGGGGGTTTTTTGGGGTCAGCGCCAGCTCAGAGCCCTCCCGGCCCACCTTGGGACGGTTTGGGGGTCACTGGGGGTCCCCGTTACCTGCTCCGGGGGTTTAACGGGGTGCAGGGGGGCTCTGGGGGGGGGGTTCCCATCCTTGGATATTTGGGATGGGGGTCCCCATCCCCGGCTGTTTTGGGGCGGTCTCTGGGGTGGGGGTCCCCATCCCCTGGATATTTGGGGTGGGGGGTCTCCATCCCCTGGATATTTGGGGTGGGGTCCCCATCCCTGGCTGTTTTAGGGTGGGGGTCCCCACAGGCCAGAGCACGGCAGGGCCAGGGCGCTGCTGGGGGGGCTGGGGGCCCTTCCCGCGCCCCCCAAATCCGCCTTTCCCCCAGACCCTCCCGGGGGGAGCCCCGGTCCTGCCGCCCGGGGACAGCCGGGACGGGGGCGAGCACTCAATTAATTCACTAATTGGCGTTAATTGAGGCCGGGGGGGGGGGTGGGTACCTTCCACGGAGATGGGCTCCAGGATGCCGAACTGCTTCAGCACGGCGATGAAGAGGAGGATGACCACGGCCACGGCGCACAGCTCCATGCCCTGGATGCCCATGGCCCCTTTTTGGGGGGGGTCCGGGGGTCCCCCCCCAAACCTGCGGGGCTCTGCCGGTGCTGCGGGAGCGCGGGGCGGCTGCTGCCCGTGCCCGCTGTCCTGTCCTGCCCCCTCCTCCTCCTCCTCCTCCTCCTCCCTTGGCACTCGCCCACCCCCGGCCCCCCCGTGCTTTATTTCCACTTTCCCAAAGAAAGTTTGGGGGTTTGTGTTTGGTTCTTTTCGGGGGGCGCTTCCCCCGCTCCCCGCAGCACCCCCGGGGCTGGGGGCACAGCCGGGAGGGGCGAGCCCGAGCCGGCCTCAGAATTGGGGGGAAAAAGGTTGTTTTGTGTGTCCCCCGCACCCCACCCCGCCCCCGGTGGGATCGATGGGATCGATGGCGATGAGTAAGCAGCGGCGGGCGGGGAAACTGAGGCAGGGAAGGCGGAGGGGCTGTCCCTGCTGCCCGGAGCTGTCCCCAGCCCGCTGTGCGTGTCCCCGCGGCCTGGGGACATCGGCCCTGTCCCCCCGGGGCTGGCCCTGTCCCCCAGGGGTGTCACCTCCCCCATGGGATGTCACCCCGCAGTGTCCTGGGCTGGCCCTGTCCCCCATGGGGTGTCCCCGTCCCCTCCGGGATGACCGGTGCCCGCCGTCCCGGGGTGTCCCGTCCCCACGGCCCCCGGGACATTGTCCCTGTCCCCCGGGAGTGCCCCACTGTCCCCCCGGAGTGCCCCACTGTGCCCCCCAGGGCTGTCCCTGTCCCCCCAGGGCTGTCCCTGTCCCCCCCAGGGCTGTCCCTGTCCCCCGGGAGTGCCCCACTGTCCCCCCCAGGGCTGTCCCTGTCCCCCCCAGGGCTGTCCCTGTCCCCCCCAGGGCTGTCCCTGTCCCTCGGGAGTGCCCCACTGTCCCCCCCAGGGCTGTCCCTGTCCCCCCCAGGGCTGTCCCTGTCCCCCCCAGGGCTGTCCCTGTCCCCCGGGAGTGCCCCCCTCTCCCCCCCGGGGCTGTCCCTGTCCGCCATGGGCTGTCCCTGGTGTGTCCCTGTCCCCACGGGTCCCATCTCCCACCCAAAATCTCAGCCCCCCCCCCCCGAACCCCCCCCGACCCCCCCGACCCCCGAGCCCGCTCTGGGGGCGGGGCCACCGCGGGGGCGGGGCCACACACAGGGCGTGGTCATACGGGGGCGTGGCTCCGTGGTTGTGGGCGGGGCCAGGGGCGGGGCTCCGCCTGCCGCGCGCCGCTTCTTTCCCGCGCCCCGCCGCCCCGCCCGCGTCCTTTCCGCTTCCGCCGGTGCCGGAAGTGCCGCGGAGTCGCCGCCATGGCCTCAAGGTTACTGCGGGTGAGCGCGGCCCTGCGGCTGCTGCCCGCGGCGTCCGCCCGCGCCGCGCCCGCCCGCAGCCTCGGCGTGCCCGGTGAGCGGGGGAGCGAGCGGGAGCGGGGCGGGAGCGGGGCGGGAGCGGGGGGGAACGGGGATGGAGCGGGCGGGGTGTGTGCGCCCGGTGTGACCGCGCCCCGCAGGGAACCTGGCCAGCGATGAGGAGCAGGCCACCGGCTTGGAGCGGAAGGTGATGGAGGCCATGAACAAGGGTCTGGTGAGTGCCGGGGGTGCCTCGGGGGGTGCCGGGGGCTCCGGAGCGGTTCCGGGGTTTGGCCGGCCCCGGAGGGGCGGAGAGGGGCGGAGGGGAGCAGGGAGCTGCCCTCGGGGAAGCCGCGGGGCGTTCCGGGGTTGTTTTGGGGTGCCCGTGGTGGGGATGGGGTCAGGGGGAGAAGATCTGGGGGTCCCGGGGTTGGGTGGTGGCGGGGTCACCTGGAGGGGGTGTGCCGGCTCTGGGGGGCTGGGGGAGTGTGGGCGCAGGGGGTCTGGGGGTGCTCGATTTGGGGTTCTGGGGCTGGGGGGTCTGGGGTGCTCGGTTTGGGGTTCTGGGGCTGGGGGTCTGGGGTGCTCAGTTTGGGGTCCCGGGCGGGTGCTCAGAGCCGGGGTGCCCCTGCCCGCAGGACCCCTACAGCATGTTCCGGCCCAAGCGCTACGCGGGCACCAGGGAGGACCCGAACCTCGTGCCCTCCATCACCAACAAGCGCATCGTGGGCTGCGTCTGTGAGTGCCCCCAGCCCCGAGTCCGTGTCTGTCCATCCCTGTGTCCGTGTGTGTATCCATCTCCGTGTCCATCTGTCCGTCCCTGTGTGTGCATGCGTCTGTCCTTCTCCTGCCCGTGTGCACGTCCCGTCCATCTGTCCGTCTGTGTCTCTGTCCTTTTCCTGTCCCTGTGTCCCTCCTCCCACCTGTGCCTGTCCAGGGTGTCTGTGTGTCCGTTCCTGTCCCTTGTCCGTTTGTCCATCCCCTTCTGTGCTTGTCCTGTCCCTCTGTCCCTCACTCCTGTATCCCTGTCCCCATCCCACCCCGTCCCTCTGTCCTGCACTGTCCCTGTGTCCCCCATCCCCGTGCCATGCTGTCCCTGTGTCCCCTGTCCCCCTGTCCCTGTGTCCCCTGTCCCCCTGTCCCTGTGTCCCCTGTCCCCCTGTCCCTGTGTGCCACGCTGTCCCTGTGTCCCCAGGTGAGGAGGACAACAGCTACGTGGTTTGGTTCTGGCTGCACAAGGGCGAGGCCCAGCGCTGCCCCTCCTGCGGCGCCCACTACAAACTGATCCCGCACGAGCTGCCCCACTGAGGGACCCCACCCCACAGTCTGATCCCCACTGAGGGACCCCAGCCCCACAACCTGATCCCCACTCAGGGGCCCCACCCCACAATCTGATCCCCACTGAGGGACCCCACCCCACAGTCTGATCCCCACTGAGGGACCCCAGCCCACAGTCTGATCCCCACTGAGGGGCAGGGGGTCCCCTCCCGGGGTCCCCCCATAAAGAGTTTGTGTGGAGAGCTGCCTCTGTCTGTGCTGGGGGATGGGGCCATGGTGGTGTCACCATGAGCAGGGGTGGGAGGGGGGCGTGGGGGTCTGGGGGGAACACCACGGCCTGGGAGTGGGATTTGGGGTGGGGGGACCCCGTCTGACTGTGCCTCTGCCCTGGGGCTGGGTGGAGAGAGCCCCCAGTGGGTTCTGATGCTGCTTGGTCCCCTTTGGGTGTCCCTCGCCCCAAAAGGAGCCCCTGGGCACTGAGGGGGTGGGTTGGTCCCAGCAGATCCCGAGTGGCCTCAGGAGTTCCTTGAGGGCTCCCAAGTGGCCACAGGAGCGCCCTGAAGGCTCCCAGGAGATCCCAAGTGGCCACAGGAGTTCCCTGAAGGCTCCCAGGAGTTCCCCGGGGGCTCCCAGGCCGTCCCCCGCGGCCCTGCACGGTCCCGGGTGTCCCCCCGGGCTCCCCTCGGGCGGCTCCTCCCGGTTCTGCCCCGCGGGCCCGTTTGGGGCTCGGGGCTGAGGTCACCTGTCCGAAATGCGGCCCCAGCGCTGCGGGCAAGCCGTGATGTCATTGATGACGTCATGGTGTATGGCCATGACGTCATGCCTCTCCGGCTGGAGGGGGCGGAGCCCTGAGCCTCACTGGCCAATGGGGGCAGTGCTGACGGTGAGAGGCAGCTGGGGGTGGGGCTTCGGGCCTCGCGGACCAATGGGGGCAGCGGGAGGCTGTGACTGACAGCAGGGAAGGGCGGGAATCCGCGCTCAATGAAGGGCGGGGCTGGCGCGTGGCTTCAGGGACCAATAGGAATTAGTCGTGGCCGTGACTGACAGCAAGGGGCGGGGCCCTTGGCGGCATTGACCAATCGGAGCCAGCCGTGGCCGTGACTGACAGCCGAGCTCTGCGCCCAATGGAGGGGAGGGGGCTCCGGGACGGGGCCCGGACCCGCCGGCCAATGGGAGGCGTGGCGACGGTGACTGACAGCTGCGGGCGGGAGTCGGAGCGACGGGATTGGAGGGGAGGGGGCTGCGGGGCGGGGCCCGGCAGGGGAGGGCGGAGCTTCGCCGGGGGCGCGCGGGGACGCGGCGGGCGGGGCCGCCGGCGCACGTGACGGCGGCGGTGCGGCGGTGACGTCAGCGGTGTCGCAGCGGGGCCGGAAGCGGGCGGCGCGCGGGGCGGGCGGACAAGATGGCGGACGGGGACAGCGGCAGCGAGCGCGGCGGCGGCGGCGGCGGCGGGTTCGGGACCGCCCGCGGCGGGGCGGGGGGGCCGGCCCGGCCGCGGGGCCCGGCGGCGGCGGCGCGGCCGGCCCCGAGCAGGAGACGCAGGAGCTGGCGTCCAAGCGGCTGGACATCCAGAACAAGCGCTTCTACCTAGACGTGAAGCAGAACGCCAAGGGCCGCTTCCTCAAGATCGCCGAGGTGGGCGCGGGCGGCTCCAAGAGCCGCCTGACGCTCTCCATGGCCGTGGCCGCCGAGTTCCGCGACTACCTGGGCGACTTCATCGAGCACTACGCGCAGCTGGGCCCGTCCAGCCCCGAGCAGCTGGCGCAGGCCGCGGGGCCGCCGGGCGAGGACGGCGCCGGGCCCCGCCGCGCCCTCAAGAGCGAGTTCCTGGTGCGGGAGAACCGCAAGTACTACCTGGACCTGAAGGAGAACCAGCGCGGGCGCTTCCTGCGCATCCGCCAGACCGTGAACCGCGGCCCCGGCGGCCCGGGCGGCTTCGCGGGCGGCCCGCCCGGGCTGCAGAGCGGCCAGACCATCGCGCTGCCCGCGCAGGGCCTCATCGAGTTCCGCGACGCCCTGGCCAAGCTCATCGACGACTACGGCGGCGAGGAGGACGAGCTGGGCGGCCCCGGCGGCGGCGGCCCGGGCGGCGGGGGGCTCTACGGGGAGCTGCCCGAGGGCACGTCCATCACCGTGGACTCCAAGCGCTTCTTCTTCGACGTGGGCTGCAACAAGTACGGGGTGTTCCTGCGGGTCAGCGAGGTGAAGCCGTCCTACCGCAACGCCATCACCGTCCCCTACAAGGCCTGGGCCAAGTTCGGCGGCGCCTTCTGCCGCTACGCCGAGGAGATGCGCGACATCCAGGAGCGCCAGCGGGACAAGCTCTACGACCGGCGCGCCGGCCCGCCGGGACCGGGCAGCGGCAGCGGCGCCGGTGACGACTCCGACGGCGACGACGTGGACGACGACTGAGCCGATCCCCCCCAGCCCTCGACCCCGACGCCGGCCCCCCACCACCCCCCCGAGCCCCGGGGCGAACGGGTCCCCGAACCCCCCCCAACAGCGATGGGGCCGAGGGGTCCCTGAGCCCCCCTACCCCCTCCCAGCGACGGGGCGAAGGGGTCCCCAAACCCCTCCGGGTCCCCGCTCCCGGCAATAGGAAAAAGGGGTCCCCGAGCCCCCCCCCCCCAGCAGCGGTGGGGCACGGGGGTCCCCGAGCCCCCGAGCCCCCCCTCCTGCCGCCACCGGAGAGAGAGAACCCGACCGTGCCGCGGCCCCCCCCGCCCCCTCCCCGGCTCCCGCCGTGGGACCCCCGGACCCCAGGACTCGCTGCTCTGGGGGGGGGCAGGGGGTCTCCCGCAGCCCCCTCCCCTCCCGGTGCCCCCACCGAAACCAGCACGGCCGGAGCCGAGCGGCAGCGGCAGCGCCGGGGGAGGGGAGGGGGGCACCGGAGGCACCTTGGACCAACGGCCGTTCCCTCGGCTTGTGATTTTCCCTTCATTTTCCTTTTTGATTTTTTCCTTTTCTCCTCTTTCCACGTATTTTTTTTTTCTTTTTGGGTTGTTGGTATTTTTTTTCTTGGTTTTTGGTTTGGTTTTTTTTTTTTTCGGGATGCAAACTCCGGGCGCCCGAACTGGAACCCGCCCCGGGCTGGCGGATCCCTGACAATTAGGGAAGATTTCCTCGGTTTTGCCGATTTCTGACCGTTTTTCCCCCCCCTCCCCATTTCCCGCCGGGAAGGGGGAGGCGCCGGCACAAAGCACAAGGAAAAACTCGACAGGGCGAACCATCTTCCCCTTCTCTCCAAATAAGGCGCCTCCGGCCCCGTTTCACCAGGACCCGCCGGAATCCGCCCCTTGGCTTCACCCAAATTGGATTTTCCGGCCCCAAATCCGTGGCCACGCCCGGTCCCGGCACCTTGGGGGTGGATTTCGGAGGTTTATTGTTATTTTTTGCCTCCTTTTGTCTTTTTTTGCCCCCCTGGGCCCAGCCCTGGCGCCGCCTGGTCCCTCCAGCCACCTCCTATTAAACACATTTTTCCACTCTCAAATAGTCTTTTTTTTTTTTCTTTTTTTTTTTTTTTTAATGCTTTTCACTCCCTCAGCTCAGTCCTGCCCTGTACAGAATTCCGTTTTTTCACCCCATTTTCCCATAACTCTTCAACTCCATCGCTCTCATTCCAAAGTTTTGCCTCTTCTCCAACGGTTTCACCACTTCTAGGACTTTTCTTTTTTTTTTTTCCTTTTAATCCATTTTTGGGAGCCCAATCAGCTGCCTCCTTAATTTATTACCACGGATCCGGCATCTCCCTCTCTCTGTATTTATTGGGAAGTGAGGAACAGCCGCAGAGCCCTGGGGGACCCCCCACGCCGCTGTCCATCCGTCCATCCGGCCGGCCCCCGGCCCCATCCCGCTGCTCCCGCTGCCGTCGCTCTTTTTAAAGGGATTTTTAAAGAGAATTTCTTCCGTTTATCCCGTTTTTAAGCCTTCTCCGTCGCAAAGGACCCGGATCCCTCACTCACTCACTCGGGAGCAATAGTCCTTCCTCGATGGCCGATGTGTCCGTACTGTATTTTGTACCCTCAGGCAGCTCTTTCCGGTGAATTCCTGCTGTATCCACCCATCCTCCTGGTCCTGTGTTCTTTGCCACGGAGAAAAACCATAAACCACGACGGCGACGACGGATTTGGGGGGAAGAACGCTCCCAGCTCCGCGGGACTCACTGGCGTCCAGCCGCGGGACCTCTCCTTTTATTTTTGAAGAGGATGAGATATATATAGATATATATATATATATATAAAAATATATATATATTCCTTTGGGTTTCTTTCTTTTGGCTGAATTGTGGTGATTTAGCCTTATTTCTACTCTGGGAGAGCAGCAGAATTGCTGCTGGCCCGGCCCAGCTCTGGGGAGCGGGCTAGAAATACATGGAAAAGAAAAAAAAAAAACAGGCAAAACCACCAAAATCCAGTAATAAACCCAAAAAAGCAGCTCCCGGTGTTGGCTCAGGGAGCCTTTCCTGGCCAGAGAAGCGCTGGATCCATGGACACAACCTCCCACAGCTCCCTTTGGGTGGGAAGAGCAGAGCACGTTGGGGAATACAGCGGAAAAAACAGCCAAAAGGAGATAAAATAGGGAAAAACGGGATTTGAGGTGCCAGCTGGAGCAAGGGGAGCAGCTGTGGGGGCTGCCATGGGAGAGGGGATCTTGGGGGGCACTTTTGGGATTTTTGTCTCGGAGCCCCCCAGGAGGCATTGGGTATTTCCCAGGAAAGCGGGACAACGCCGGCTTCTCCCCTGAACCCCCTTCCTATCTCTGTGTATAGACATGGCTGTGTGTACATAGCTCAGATTCAGTTGGGTTTTGGGTTGAATTCTGTAGAAAATGGGCAAATTGCTTTTTTTTTTTGCCTTTTTTTTTTTTTTTTTTTTAGTTTTTCTTTTTTAAACCACAAATAGGGGGAAGAATATCCCAAATTCCTGGTACTTCTAGCTTTGCTGCCCTAGAGGGGCTGACGGAGAGCGCGATGATGGCTGTACAGACAGAATTTGGAAGTCTTGTACAATGCCCCAAAACCCACTGGAAAATAGCCCAAATGGCTGGGTCTGGAGCGGGTGGTGCTTCCAGGGCAAGTTCAAACAGCTTCAGGTCTTTTTGCCCTAAAAAATACAGAAGAAAATTCGGATTCTCCTGCCTCGTTTCCAGGCAATTTGGGGGCAGTGGGGGGGATGCTTGGGGAGGCCATGCCAGTGGCGGCTCCTCATGTTGGTGACTAAACCAACCCAACCCCTCACTGGCCTCGCATAAAAAAAGCAAAAAGTGGAAAAAAATCACAAAAAAACTGGAAGAGCTTTTAAAAGAAGCAGCTGAGGGAGCACTGGGGGTAAGCAGGGTGGTGCATCATGGAGCTCAGCAGGTATTGCCAGTGGGAAATCCCAGCTGGCTCCGTGGATGCTCCCAGATGTTCCTGCAGGGCGAGGCCATTGCCTCCTCACCCTCCTCATCCTCGTGGAGCCGGTAGAGCCAGCGGCGCCGGGGCAGTTGGGCGTTGGCGGGAGAAGGCAGATGGGGCGGGACGGCCGGGGAGGAGCGCGGCACGGCACGGCACGGCACGGCACGGCCTGGAGTCCCCGGGGGCTGAGAGTGGCTCCAGCACACAGGCGCTGGGACAGATCGGTGTGGAGAGCGCTGGGTCCTTCTCCAAGAGCCAGGCGCTCCCAGAGTTGGATTCGCTGACGGCTGGGTCCTCAAAGAATTGTATCTTCCAAAAGCTGGATCCTCTGAGCGCCCGATCCTCCTTCGAGAGCTGGATCCTTCAAGAACTGGATCCTCCGAGAGCTGGATCCTCTGAGCACCAGATCCTTCTCTGAGTGCTGGATCCTCCTTCAGGAGCCACATCCTCCTCCAGGTTGGATCTTCCGAGAGTTGGGTCCTTCAAACGCTAGAGCCCCCTCTTTGAGCTGGGTTCTTCTCCAAGCAGCAGGTCCTCCTCGGAGAGTTGGATCCTCTGAGAACTGGATCCCATGAATGTTGGGTCCTCCTCCGAGCACCGGATCCTCCTCGGAGCAGCGGATCCCGGGAGCGCCACTTCCCTCCCCGAGCGCTCGCCATGACGTCCCTTTGCCGAAAAGAGAAAAAAAAAAAGAAAGTTTTATTCCTGTTATTTTTTTAATGAAAGAAAAACAAAAACTAAAGCAAACCTGCACTTTAGGCGGCCGGGGGGGCCGGGGCCCCCGTGTCCCTTCCCTGCGGCCGGCGGGGCGGCTCCAGGGGCCGGAGGCAGGTCCTGGGTGTTACCACTAGCGCAGACGAGGCCGACGCGACGAACTCCTCCTGCTCCGAGCACTCCTGACGTAGCAGATTTTTGCAAATGGAGTTTTACAGTCTATATTTAAAGAATTGTATGTTTGTAACAAATAAAGTATGCGGAAAAGTGAATGAAAACCAGCCCGGGCCCGACTTGCTCCTTGGGGGTGCCGTGGGGGGCCCGGGAGGGTGGAGCTGGGGTGGTCACCCCGTGGCATTACAGGGACATTCAGGATGTCCTGAGGGCACAAATGGGGAATGGGGGTCCCCCCCTTGTCCTGAGGGGACCGCCTGACTCAGGGGAGCCGGGGGTGTGAGGAACCAGCACGGTGGGGAGGGAGCAGGTTTGGCATGGCGTAGGCACGTCGTGTGGCAGCTCAGGCTGGTGTGTGCACGGTGTATAAGGTGTGTGTGGGTGTGTGTGAGGTGTGCGTGCCATCGCATGGCTCCGTGTGTGTGTGTGTAAAGTGAGTATATGGCATTTGTGCCTGCTGTGGGTGTGCATGTGTAACGCGTGTGTAAGGAGTGTGTGCCACCACATGGCTGTGTGCGGGTGAGAGGCCGGGAGCGTTTGGCGTGGCCCGTGTGCGGTGCGTGTGCCAGGGCTCGAGCAGGTGCGTGTGCACAGGTGTGACAGCCTTGTGTGCTCGCACACGGCTGCGCGGTGCCATCGCACGGCTGTGCCCCAGGGCCCGGGGTGCGCAGCGGGGTGCCCCCGGGCCCGGTGCCGAGCCCAGGGCGGTGTGCCCCCGTGCCCGGTGCCGTGCCCAGGGCGGTGTGCCCCCGTGCCCGGTGCCGAGCCCAGGGCGGTGTGCCCCCGTGCCCGGTGCCGAGCCCAGGGCGGTGTGCCCCAGGGCCCGGTGCCGTGCCCAGGGCGGTGTGCCCCCGGGCCCGGTGCCGTGCCCAGGGCGCTGTGCCCGTGCCGCGTCCCCCCGGCGCTGCCGCAGCCCCCGCCCGCCGCGCTGCGGCTCCCTGCGGGCTCGGGCTCATCTGAGGACACGCGGGACCCGCCTGCGCATGAGCCGCCGCCGCCGTCACCGCCAGCACCGCCACCGCCACCGGGGCCGGGTGCGACCCCCGAGCGGCCCCGCGGCTCCTCCCCATCCCCACCACACATCCCCGGGGCCGCGGGAGCCGCTCCTCCGGCCCCATCCGCGGCCCCACCGCACCCCGCAGCTGCTGCGGCTCCCCCCGGGCCGGCCCCGGGCTCGGGGGAGCCGGGGACAGCTGGAGGGGCCCCGGGACAGCCGGGGGGCCCAGCCCGCGGCAGGTGCGGCGCTCCCGGGACAGGAGGGCTGGGGCAGCTGCGGGAGGGCCGGGGGTGCGCCGTGCCCCCCTGCCCGGGCAGGGCAGGCTCCCCGGGGAGGACAGTGACAGCTGCCTTCGTCATCCTCCTCCTCCTCCTCGCCCTGCCGCTCCGCCCAGCCCGTGCCTCGGGGCAGGGAGGGCGGCGGGGGCCGCCTTGAGCCCCCCGGGGCACCTCGGCGGGCACAGCCGCGGGCACCGGGAAGAGGTGCCCGGAGCAGGGTGGGCGCGGGGCTGGGGCCGCCCGGACCCCCAGGCAGGGCGGGAGCAGCGGGCACAGTGCGGGCCCCCCGCGGGAGGGAAACTGAGGCACGGCAGGACGGGCACGCCGTGGCCGGGGGGCAGCGGCCGCGCCGGGCAGCGGGGCTGAGGTGCCCGGGGCCCCCAGCTCCGAACCGCTGCCTGGCACCGAGCCTCGCTGGCGAATCCCCGGTTCCATTGACAAACTCCGCTAGCCCCAGAGCCAGGTTCCGTGAGGAACTGAGTTTTTATTCGGTGGGATATGTTTGCTGGGAAAAGGGGCCCTCTTCCCCCCAACAGTGACGCTTTTTTTTGGCCACCTGCTGTCACCACTGACAGACCCTTCGGCCCCTCAGGGTCCGCCCCAGCCCGCCGGCCGGCCCGGGGGCGGCGGGGTCCGTGTTACCTCAGGACCGCTGCCCTTCTCACTCATCCTACGGGGCTATGTCTGTACTGCCCCACGGACACACCGGCGGGGCTGGGGGTCCCCCGGCTCAGCCCCGAGCAGGGCCGGGCCGTGTCAGGAGCGAACCCCCGGAGCCGCCACAGCCCCGCGGCCCGCGCCCCCTCACGGCCGCCCCCTCACGGCTCCCTCACACAAACACGGCCCGGGGCGGAGCCATGAAATGGGCGGGAAACATCGCCCGCTCTCGATTGGCTTAGTCAACTGCCTATCATCATAACCCCGCCTCCCACCGCGGTGCTCGCTGTTGCTATTGGCCGGGCAGTGACGTCACCGCCGCCAGCGCGCCCCGCCCTCACCCCGCTGCGTGCCGTGTGCAAAGGCAACACAGCCGTTAAACGAGCCGCGGGGCGGAGCCCGTGATGGACAGCGAAAGAAGCGGCTTGCTCATTGGGTGCCGCAGGATGTTCAAACTAGTATTGCAGGTGGTGATTGGGCGCGGCGCGGCGCGGCCCGCCGCCCCCGCCCGGGCGGGTCATTGTCTGGCGGCTCCTGAGGCGGGTCGGGCGCGGCGGCGGCTCTGGGGCTCGGACGGCGGCGGCGGCACCATGGTGAGGGCAGGGGCAGCAGAGCGGCTCGGGACTCGGGGGGCCGGCCGGGACAGCGCGGCCGGGCCCCGCGGGGCCGCCAATGGGCGCCGCTGTCAGCCCGGGCCGGGCCCCGGTCCGTGACCTTGGGTCCGGCCCGGCGCTCCCCCGGTGCCCCGTGGCCGCTGCCCCCCTGTTCCCGGGGAGGGGGTTTGTGCTGCCCTCCAGATCCGGCCCCGGCGGTGCGCTGCAGCGCTGTCAGAGCGGCGCGGTGTCGGCCGGTGTCTCCGCGGCCGCGGTTTGTGCCGCTTGGACGGGAGGAAGCGGCTGCCGTGGGGGAAACGCGGGCGAGGGGCCCGAGCTGGGTCTGTCAAACCGCCCGGCGCCTTCTCTGGGCTTCCCGCGGGTACCTCTCAGCTTCCCGGGGAAACGGCCCGGTCCGGACGGGAAGGAACGGGCGATTCGTTCTCCCCGTGCCCCGTTGCTGTGTCCCCGTAGGGGGAACGGGGGGAGCGGAGTCCGGAGCTGTCAGGGGAGGTGGGCAGGGGGATGGGGGTTCCGGCGTTCCGTGGGTTTGCAGGCTCGCTGAGGGGGTTCTGTGGTCGCACAGGGGCTTCCTGTGGGTTTGTAGGGGGTTCGAGCGGTCCTGGCGTTCTCCGAAGATATCCTGTGGACCCACAGGAGCGGTGCTGTGGATCTCCAGGGGGTTTGGGGGGTTCTGCGGATCCACAGGTGGGCTCGGGGGGGTTCCGGGGGGGCCGCGATCCCTCCGCGCTAATGGAAACACCGTTGGATTATGCAACTCCTGCTGCCGCCAAGAACTTGTGCTCGGGGATGTCTGGGAATGTGCGGCTCGAGATAAGAAGTTGCTGCTTGGAGGGGTTTTGTCATGTTTGAAGCAATATGAAAAAAAAAAAAAAAGCCAGCGGGTCAGACCCAGGGAGGATTTAGCACGGGAATTTGCTCCAGGGTCAGACCCAGGCAGGATTTAGGATTTAGCACGGGAATGTGCTCCCAGCGAGGGGCTGGGGTGGAGAGGAGGGATGGAGATGCTACAAGGATTGTCCCAACCCAGAGGGCGAGGAGAGAATTCCTCGGGATTGCCCCCTCAGGAGGGAGGAGTCCAGGAGCCCTCCGCCTTTCTTGCTCTTCCCAGTCAGCCCCCTGCCATGGAGATGTCTCAGGCAGGCAGCTCCGAGCTGGAAAACCTGCTGGGGCAGTGGGAAACTTCACAGCTGGCTGATAAAAGCCCTCAGTGGGAACAGCCAGTGCTTTTCCCAACACTGCCTTTTATTCCTGGAGCAAGGAAATGTCCACAAATCCCCCTTGCCTCCCCCTTTTTTTTCCCATAAATCTCAAATCCACCCCCCAAAACGCCCTCCTTGAGTTCAGCAGTTTGATGGAGCGATGTTTTCTCCTGATGAAAGTAACTCCTGCAGAGTGGATTTGCTGGGGGTCCCCCATGGCCTCACCCGCTGCCCCCTGCTTGCTTTAATCACCTCGGGATTAATTAATGCCTCCTCCTGACTAATTTTTTTCCCAGTGTTTGAACTGAACCTGGTGTTAACTCCCACCTGGCTATGATGGGACCCAGATCTTGGACATTCCCAGGTTAACCAGGATCTTGTTTTAAGGATTAACCTGTTCAACTTCCTCTCCTGACATGTCTGAATCCTTTCAGCTCCCTCACCATGAGCCAAAATTCCTCCTTTTTAGAGGCAATGGGGATTGTGGGATCAATATATTCTAGCAAAAGAGGGATTGTGAGTATCCAGGGTGTTTTCAGGCTCCTGTCTCCCTCTGCTGTTGTTCCTTGTGTTTCTGTGGGCTAGAAAATTTGGTTTTGGGGATTCTTATCCCTGGTTTTTTTTCACCTGGAGCAGATTTTGGGTTGCTGACGTCTTTCCCACGGGGAGGGCGCAGCTCCCTCTGCTTTCCTGCGTCACCCGTGGTTCTCACCTTCATTAGGAACCTTCATTAGTGATTAATGACGTCATGGGGTCTTCCCATATCCCTGGAATCCGTGGATTTCCTGGCAGCGGATGGGAGAGCCCAGCAAAGCCGTGCTCGGCTCTTCCTTGTTACTCAGCAACTCCCAAACTCTTTGGCATTTCCAGCCCTTGCAACGTGATTTTCGTTAAACCCACCATTTCTGGGGCCCCGGGGTGGGTTCCCACTCTGGGGCAGGAGGGGAATTGCCCCTGAATCCCACGGGATTCACATTCCCATGTGAGGAGCAGTGCCCTGCCTGGTGCCCAGCGTCAGCCTGTGGGGAAATCGGATCTGAAAACAAACTGGCCTCACAGCTGCTGGGAAAAAAAAGTTCAACAATGGGATTTTGGGCTGTTTCCCCCCCATTTGGCATTTTCTGGGAAGTACTGGGAACAGTGGCAGCAGGGTGAGACCTGGGGTGAGGGAGCAGCTGCTGCACCCTGAAAACCTCCCTTGTTTATCCTCTTGGATCTGCGTGGCTCCAGAGTTGCCAGGGAGCTGCCAGCTTATCCTGCAGCAGGTCCCTCTGGCTTAGAATTAACGAGATTGTTTGGATTCAGGCACTGATTAGATTAATTAACAGGCCCCTTTCTCTCCCAGGCTGGCGGCAAGGCGGGCAAGGACAGCGGCAAGGCCAAGGCCAAGGCCGTGTCACGCTCCCAGAGGGCCGGGCTGCAGGTACGGCACCCCCAGCCTCTGCTTTGGGGTCAAAACGGGCGATTTTGGCACTGGGAGCCTTATGGAGCCACAAGGAGCCCCGGCGGGCAGAGGGGCTTTGCTTGGGTGGGACACAGGGGATGGGAGGATTAACTGGGAGAAGTAATTGGTTATATTTTTAAATTAATAATTATTATAATTAAAACACAATTATTTTTATGCCATACAAGATTTAAAATTTCTAAATTTTACTAAATTATATTGTTATAATTACAATATATATCAGAATATAATGTATTATAATAATATATCTTAATTGTAATATATATAGTAGATTATATATATTAACAAGTAATAAATTGGATAGTGATTAATTCTAATATATATAGTAGAATACATATAATATATTAACAAGTAATAAGTAAATTGCATAGTGATTAATTGTAATATATGTAGTAGATTATGTAATATAATAACAATAAATAAATTGGATAGGATATATAGATATACACCCTCAGTGGTGTAATATATAGCTGGTTATATATAATATATTAACATAATATATATTATTAATTATATACTATACTAATATATATTATATATAAAATAATAAATAAATTGGATAGTGGTCTGTTTGGATAGTTGCTCCCACAGCCCATACCAGCAGTGCAGGGTGCAAATATGCACCCTGGAGGGGCTGTAGGTATTAATGAGGTCATTAATTGCCCCCCAGTTCCCAGTCGGCCGCATCCACAGGCACCTGAAGACTCGGACCACCAGCCACGGGCGCGTGGGAGCCACGGCAGCCGTGTACAGCGCGGCCATCCTGGAGTACCTGACGGCTGAGGTAGGAGCTGGCCCCTGGCCCTGCATCCCCCTGGCCCTGCATCCCCCTGGCCCTGCATCCCCCTGGCCCTGCATCCCCCTGGCCCTGCATCCCCCTGGCCCTGCATCCCCCTGGCCCTGCATCCCCCTGCCCCGGGCATCCCCCTGGCCCTGCATCCCCCTGGCCCTGCAGCCCCCTGGCCCTGCATCCCCCTGCCCGGGCATCCCCCTGGCCCTGCATCCCCCTGGCCCTGCATCCCCCTGGCCCGGGCATCCCCCTGCCCCGGGCATCCCCCTGCCCCGGGCATCCCCCTGCCCCGGGCATCCCCCTGGCCCTGCATCCCCCTGGCCCTGCATCCCCCCGCCCGGGCATCCCCCTGGCCCGGCACTCCCACCTCTGCCGCTGTCCTGCAGGTGCTGGAGCTGGCCGGGAACGCTTCCAAGGATCTCAAAGTGAAGCGGATCACGCCCCGGCACCTGCAGCTGGCCATCCGCGGCGATGAGGAGCTGGACTCGCTGATCAAAGCCACCATCGCTGGTGGAGGTGGGCCTCATCCTGAGGGGGGTTTTGGCAGGGGAAACCAAGTGGGAACCGGGGATAAGTGCACGGGCTTGCTGCCTGCCTGGATTCCCTGAGGGGCATCTGCCTGACATTCACAGAATGGGGAGCTGAGGGGTTTTTGGAGATTCTGGGGAATTCTGCAGATGACATGACAGGATTTCTGCCCCACTCTCCGCAGGTGTCATTCCCCACATCCACAAGTCTCTGATTGGAAAGAAGGGACAGCAGAAAACGGCGTAGAGGGAGCGCGGCTCTGGATCCCCCCGTCGTCGTACTGTACCTGGGCACAGGAACGTCTCGGGGACACCAGGGATTTTTTTTAAGGAATAGTTCAAAGGAAGAGCATAGAGGATTGACTGTAGAGGAAGCATTGGGATGGGTTTAGGTTCTGAGTAGGACACACCGCGGGCTGTGGGGCGGCAGCTGGGGGTGGGCGAGTGGCTCGGTCGCCCCTGCGTTTTATACAAAAGTGGAACCCATAAACCATTTTTTACAAAAATCCAGACGGTCTCCAGTGCCGGGGGAGGGGAGGAAGCACCGTCGGTATGCAAATGTGGGTGGGTGGGGCGTGTCCCGGCCCCGCCTCCCCGGAGCACATGGCCGGCCGTGTCCCTCTGTCCTGGCGGGACGTGGGAGTGTCTGTGTGTCCGTCTGTCCGTCTGTCCCCAGACACACGGACAGCAGCTGGGTGCTGAGAGCCCGGCCGGTCTGTCTGTCTGTCCGTCAGTCCTGGGTGTCGCTCTGCCCTGCCCACGTGGGCCCTGCCCCAGCTCCCGCCGAGCCCCGGATGTCCCAGCGGGACACGGGGCCGCTCCGAGCCGGGCCCGGAGGCGGTGGCGGGGGGAGCCGGAGCCGGGGCCGCTCTTGCACTGGCAACACCGGGCGCCGGTTGCATCAGGCGTCAAGTGGCCCCAAGGGCCGAGGGCGCCACCACGGCCGTGCCCGGGCTCAGGGCCGCCCCGCCGCCCCGCAGCGGCTGGGGTGGCGGCGGGACCGCGTGTGCCCGGGGGCAGGGCCCGGGCGGGCCGGGGCCGGTCCCCGCGGGCCCGAGGTCGCACAATGGCGACGCCGGCCTGCGCAAGATGGCGGCGGGGGGGCGGGGCCGTCCTCGCCGCCCGCGGGCCGCGCACCGCGCACGCGCGCTCCCTGCCGCCGCCGGGCGCATGCGTGCGCTGCCGCGCGCCGCGAGGTGCCGGGCCGCGCGGGAGACACCATGCGGACAGCACGGGGGGGGTACGGCGGGGCCATCAGTGTCCGCCCACAGCCTTGCGCCGTACGGGGCCGAGGAAAGGCCTGGCCGGCGGTTTAACCCCGGTGAGTGACCGGCCGGCAGCGGGGTGCTAAGGACTGCCCCGGAGGCTGAGCCCAAGCGCCGCGTTACGTAACGTGCTCCCCCTGCCCGACTACAGTGGTTCTGGCTCGTCGCCCCCGTGGCCCGTATGACGCTCGCCATTGGCTGGGAGCAGCAGCGGGGCGGGGCGAGAAGGCTATAACTAGAGGCAGCGCGCTCGGGGCCGCGTTCAGTGCATCGCCGCCGTGGTTGGGTTTCGTTGCTCCTTTCCCGCTATCCCTTCCGCCTGTCGCCACCCATCGCGCCGCCATGAACGGGCAACTCAACGGTTTCCACGAGGTGTTCATCGATGAGGGCACCTTCCTCTTCACCTCCGAATCCGTGGGCGAGGGGCACCCAGGTGCGGGCCGAGCGGGGCTGGGCGGGGCGGGGATCGCGCAGGCGGGGCGGGGGGCGGGGGGCTGGGGGGGGGGGGGGTTAGAGGAGGAGGAGGAGGATGGCGAGGATGAAGATGAAGGAAGCGAGGATGAGGATGGAGGCAGTGAGGGTGGGCCCGGGGGGAGGGGCGCGGCCGGGCGCGCGCGCGGCGCGGGGCGGGCGCGCGCTCGCCGCATTGCGGGCCCGGGCGCGCACGTGCCGCCCGCGTGGGGCGGGACACGGGGGTGACCGCGGGGCCGGGCCCGCGCCGCCGTGACTCAGCCGTGACTCAGCCGCTCCCGGTGCCCCCGCACCCCGCGGGACCCCCGCGCCGGGCGGTGACCCCGCCTGGCTGCCGGGGGTCTGGCAGGCCCGGTGCCCCCCCGCGCACACACACCGCACCGGACGGCCGCGGTGTCGCCCTCCGGTGCCGCCCGGCCGGTGATGAAGTCTCGTGGGTGTCCCCCGATGTGCCGTCCCGCCGCAGCTGGGCGGTGGTCGGAGCCCCCCCCGGCTCGGTACCGGCCGGTGCCGGTCTCTCCCGAGCTTTGTCCCGCCGGTCCACGGCACATGACCGTTAATCTGCGGGGGCGCTGCCAACGCCCAGCGCCCGCTGCCTGGGCACACCCAGTACCCCTGAATCCTCCCAGCTCCAGCACCCGCTTTCAGGGCACACTCAGCACTTCCCATCAGCTCCCGATCCCACTCGGGCCCCACAGCGCCCCACAGCTCTGCTCCTTCTGGCTCGAACCCCCACAACCCCATGGCACAGCCTGTGCCTGCTCTGGGGCTCTCCCCATGCTGCCCGAGAGAGGAGGAGGCTGTGAGGTCCATTTCCTCACTCTTCCCCACCAAAAAGCATCCGGGGGATCCTTCTCCCCTCCCCCCAGCTGGGCGCTGCCTTGTCTTTGCCCAGAAGCTGCCCAGAAGGTCGCAGCCAAGGACACCTGCAGTCCCGGGAACACGGGTGGCCCTCGGGACACCCCCACCCACACAGGCCATCCCGGGAGCAGGAGGGAGCTGCCTTCTGCTGGGGTACGGCTGCAGCAGCTCTGGCCAGAGGCAGAGCTGCTGCGGATTTGGGAAGTTGGCATGTGGGTCCGATCCCCTCAGTGGTGCCACAGGGCTTAGTTGGAGCTGGAGCTTAACTGGGACATGCCTGGAATTCCAGACTGGGGACGAGGCGGGGGCTGTGTGCACCCTGGGGGGCTCCTGGGCTGTGGGGCTCTGATCCCTGTGCCGGAGGCTCCGGAAGGAAGGGCCGTGCCGTGTTGGGCTGTCCCACGCCACCGTGACGCCTCGTGCTCTCCGTGTCCCCAGATAAAATCTGTGACCAGATCAGCGATGCTGTCCTGGATGCCCACCTCAAGCAGGACCCCGACGCCAAGGTGGCCTGTGGTGAGTAAGGGCACCGGGGGACAGCGGCGGGTGGCGTGGAGGTGACACGGTGCTGACGTCACCTTTGTCCCTGCAGAGACGGTCGCCAAAACCGGGATGATCCTGCTGGCGGGGGAGATCACCTCCCGGGCCAACGTGGACTACCAGAAGGTGGTCCGGGACACCATCCGGCACGTCGGCTACGACGACTCCTCCAAAGGTGGGTCCCAGGCTGTCACCGCCTCAGCGACAGCGCGGGGGGACACCGGGCTCACCGGAGCCCCTTTGTCCCCCCAGGCTTTGACTACAAGACGTGCAACGTGCTGGTGGCCCTGGAGCAGCAGTCCCCGGACATCGCCCAGGGCGTGCACCTGGACCGCAGCGAGGAGGACATCGGCGCCGGCGACCAGGTGAGCGCCGGGGCCGCGGGGCCGCCGTGGCGCGGCCGAGGGCCGGGCGTGACCCCCTTGTCCCCGTGCCACAGGGGCTGATGTTCGGCTACGCCACGGACGAGACGGAGGAGTGCATGCCCCTGACCATCGTGCTGGCGCACAAGCTGAACGCCAAGCTGGCCGAGCTGCGCCGCAGCGGGGCCCTGCCCTGGCTGCGCCCCGACTCCAAGACGCAGGTGAGGCGCCGCGGGCCCGGAGCCCCGGGGAGCCCCATGTTCCCGCCCGGCCGCTGACCGCTGTCCCCCGCAGGTGACGGTGCAGTACATGCAGGACCGCGGGGCGGTGATCCCCATCCGGGTGCACACCATCGTGATCTCGGTGCAGCACGACGAGGACGTGTGTCTGGACGAGATGCGCGACGCGCTCAAGGAGAAGGTCATCAAGGCCGTGGTGCCCCCCAAGTACCTGGACGACGACACCATCTACCACCTGCAGCCCAGCGGCCGCTTCGTCATCGGCGGGCCCCAGGTGCGGCCCGGGGCAGCGTGGTGGTGGCACCAGTGGCACTGTGGTGGCAGTGAGGGCACAGTGATAAAGTGTGAGGGCTGGTGACACTTAGGGTGGCACAGTGGTGGCAGCTGGAATGCCTCGATGGTGGTGGGAGCGGCACACAGGTGGCAGAATCAGCATGGGTATGGTGGCAGTGGTAACACAGCGGTCACAGCACGGTGACAACACGGACAGGGCTGTGACGCTGCTGTCCCCAACAGGGTGACGCGGGGCTGACGGGCCGCAAGATCATCGTGGACACCTACGGGGGCTGGGGCGCGCACGGGGGCGGCGCCTTCTCGGGCAAGGACTACACCAAGGTGGATCGCTCGGCCGCCTACGCCGCGCGCTGGGTGGCCAAGTCCCTGGTGAAGGCCGGGCTGTGCCGCAGGGTGCTGGTCCAGGTGGGTGCTGCTCCGGGTCCGGGCGGGTGCCGGGCTCCCGGGGCCCGGCCTCACGCGCAGCCGCCCCGCGCAGGTGTCGTACGCCATCGGGGTCTCGCACCCGCTGTCCATCTCCATCTTCCACTACGGCACCTCGCAGAAGAGCGAGCGCGAGCTGCTGGAGATCGTCAAGAAGAACTTCGACCTGCGGCCCGGGGTCATCGTCAGGTAACGGGCGCGGGGGGCTGTGCCGGGGGGCGGGGCGGGCGGGGGTCCCTCCCGGAGCAGCCCGGGGACCGCCTGGCGCCTGGACCCGGCGCAGAGCCGCTCGGCCGGACGGAGAAGGCGCGCTCGGGGCGCGGACGGGGTAAGTATCCGCCGGAGCCGAGCGCTTGGAGCTCCCCCGGGCCCCGAGGCGGCGCCGCTGCTCCGGGGGTGCTCCGGGGAAGCTCCAACCGCCCCGCGGGGTGGGGAGGGAGCGGAGGCGCCGCTGCGGAACCCCCGGCCAGGCAGGGCAGGGAAGGAAGGGGCGAAGGCAGGAGCCCGGGGCCGCCTCACTGAGTCGGGAATTGTGTATTCCAGGGATCTGGATCTGAAGAAGCCCCTCTATCAGAGGACCGCAGCCTATGGCCACTTTGGTAGGGACAGTTTCCCTTGGGAAGTGCCCAAAAAGCTAAAATACTGAGGAGAAAAGCATTGTTAGGGCTTTTCCCCCCACTCCCGCGGGCGTAGGTTACAGAGAAGCCCGTGGGCTCTGGGGGAAAGAGCTCCCGGCCCCCCCCAGGCTCCCCGGCCCCGCCATTGTCTCTCACCATCGTTTTGGTTGTGTGGGGACCACGTGCCTCTCCTGGAGCCCCTCCTCGTGTCCCCCCATTCCCTCCGGATGGTTTTTAACAAATCCCTCTTTGCTCCGAGCTGTGAGATGGGGAAAAAGGCCCAAGTGCCCTCTCACCCTCCCCGTGCCCCCACAGCCCCACTGTGGCGGGGGCCGCCCCGTTTTGGTCCCGGCGGTCCTGCTGTGGGGGGATACCCCATTTTATCACTCCCCATTCCTCTTTTTCCCCAAATTCCACTACATCAGGGGGACCCCCCATTTTAGCTCCCGCTGTCCCCCCCATCCTGCTGCAGGGGGGGACACACAAACCCCTCGTTGTGGCTCCCTGTGTGTCCCCCCACAGGCCCCATTCCACTGGGAGGATACTCGTTTTGGCTCCCCCCGTCCCACTGGTGGGGAAGACACTTCCCATTCCACCTCCCCACCCCCCTGGGACCTCGCTGGTGCTGGGTTTGGTTCTTAACCCTCATTTTTAACCTCTTTTTGTTCCAAAAATGCACATTTTGGGGGGGACACGCTAAAACCAACCCACAAACACCCCCCTCGAGGGTTCGGTACCAGAGGAAAATATTTTACATTTTTTTTTTTTTTGGGGTTTTAATCCAAAAGCTGAAGTGACTCCCCAACTGCACAACCCCTCCAACCCCCCCAGCTTTGTCCGGATTTTGGGGGGAAAGGGGGGGCATTTGGCGCTTGATACTTGAAGGTTTGGTGTATTTATTGTGCGCCGAGGCGGGGGCGTGAGTACAGAGAAGTCCCCGCGCTCAGCCGGCAGCTCCTGATCCCTGAAAGCCCCCCCTTCCCCTCCCCCCGCCCTCCCCCCGCCCCCCAGGAGTTTGGGGTGAAACAGGGGGGGTTTGGGTTTGTCGGGCGCCGGGGGTGCCCGGGCGCGGCGCTGTGGCCGGTGTGGTACAGAGAAGCCGGCTTGTTTACTGCCCGCCCGGCTCCGGCCCCTGAGTGCCTTGGGGGGGGCAGGGGGGGCTTTCTCCTGCCCTTGAGGGTATATTTTTTTTTTTTTCTCTTGGTTTTACTATTTTCGGGAGGTTTCGTCCGAATGTTTTGATCCACTGAATCCAAAAATGAATTAAAAAAAAAAAGAATCTCAATAAAAGCGATGGGTTAGACGGAGCCACCTGGAGTGTGTGGGGGGGGGGAGCTGAAGGATTTTGGAAACTGAGGCACCGGGGAGATGGAGAAATTGGGGTACAAGGAAAAGTGGGATGTGGGGGAATAGATGGAGAAGGTGTGTGTGGGGAAACTGAGGCTCAGGGTCCTGCGGTGGGGGAAGTGGAGGACAGGAATGAGCACTGGGGCAAGAGGGGTTGGGGAAATAGTGAGGAATGGGGAGGTGAGTTTGGAGAAAAACGGGTGTGAGGGGAACTGGGGAGATGGGATGGAGGAAGCAGGGAGGGAAACGTGCCTGGGGAGCTGCAGGATGGAGGGAAGGGGGTACGGCAGGTGGGGAACGCACAGGGCATGGGGGCTGGCTACTCCTGGGGGGAAACTGAGGCACGGGAGGATTTCTGGCTTACAAAAACGCATTTATTTGGGGTGTTCAGAGCTCGGGGCCCCTCTGGGTGCCCCCGTCGGTCTCGGGCCGAGCCTCCTCCTCCTCCCCGCCCCAGCTGGCGAAGGCCACCTCCTGTGCCAGGCGCTCGGGGGCCGGGCGGCCCAGCGCCAGGTTCCGCAGCGCGATCAGCGTCATCAGGGCACTGCGGGGACAGCGGTGGGCATGGGGGCACGGGGGACAAGGGGACAAGGGGGCCAGGGGGTCGGGACTGACCTGCGGCGTAAGAGGAAGACTTTCCTGCGGAGGAAGCGCCGCAGGCGCTGCGCCAGGCCCGAGTCGCGCTGGCGGCGCTGCTGGCGCTGCTCCCGGCGCAGCAGCAGCGACACCAGCGGGTCCAGCGGGGCCCCCCCGGGCGGGGGCTCCCCCACCAGGGGCCGCAGCTCGGGGGGCAGCGGGGTCTGCTCTGGGGGCAGAGGTGTGGGGGTTGTGGGGTGCCTGTGAGCCCCCCCCCGGCTCAGCCCCACGAGCCCCCTGGTCTGGTGATGGGAACTGGACATTGCTGTGATCTCCCCAGCTGGGTGACAGGGGATTCTGGGGGTCCCCACCAGCCCCCCCAGTCTGCTGATGGGAGCTGGGATGTTGCCGTGACCTCCCCACGCAGGTGACAGGGACTGGCTGTCCCCATCATTCTCCCGTGCTGTTGCTCACCGGGAATGAGGTGAGGGGAATTTGGGGACCCTGCTGTCCCCCACCCCAGTGACACTGACTGGGCTCTTCCATGACCCGGCTGCTCAGCAGGAGCTGAGCTGGTGGAGCTTTTGGGGTCCCCCAGCGCTACCCAGGGCGTCAGGTGATGGGGATTTCGGGGTCCCAGGAAGCGAGGAGTCAAGGATTCGGGGCTCCCCTGAGGTGTCGGGGGTGCCCAGGGCTGCTCGGGGTCCCCCGTCTCACCGGTGCCGTTGCGCACGCGCTCCCGCAGCTCCCGCAGCCGCGTCAGGTTCCGCTCCAGCTCCAGCGCCGTGGTGTTCACGTACAGGTACATGTAGCACGAGGGCTCGGGGGACACCGTGTGCACCTTGTGGTACTGCCCCGCCGGCAGCTGCGGGAACGGGCCGTCAGCACCCCCCGGGCACCCCCAATCGCCCCGGGGACCCCCGAGCCTCACCTGCATCCCCTCACCCTCCTGCAGAGAGCGGTTCTGCTGCTGCTCCACCAGCTCCACCAGCACCTGCCCCCGCAGCACCCGCAGGCTCGTGTTGCCCAGGTCCTCGCTCACAAAGTTCTCCAGGTGCAGGCCTGGAACGTGGCTGGCTCTGTACCCCCGCCCGGACACCGGGACCCCCGTGTGCCGCACCCCCCGCAGCCCTCGGGCACCCCCCGTGTCCTCAGGGACCCCAAAACCCCCCCAACCTCAGGATCACCCCACCCCAGGACCCCCGGGACCCCCTTCCCTGCCCCCTCCCTGCCCCGAGACCCCCGCCCCAGGCCCCACCGGGGAAGTCTGCGATGAACACGGCGTCCGTGTGTCCGTCCAGCTGCGCCTCCAGCTCCTGCAGCCGCTGGCGCCACGGCGACAGATCCACCAGCAGCGGGAGCAGCCACGGCGTGGGGGTCCACGGGGACCACGGGGCACGGACCAGGTCCACGCGGGGGTCCACGAGTCTGAGGGGACGAGGCGTGGAGAGCCCCAGTCCCGCGTGTGGTGTGCCCCCAAATTCTGTGTGTGCCCCCAAATCCTGTGTGCCCCCAAATCCTGTGTGTGCCCCCAAACCCTGTGTGTGCCCCTGAACCCTGTGTGTGCCCCCAAATCCTGGGTGTGCCCCCGAACCCTGTGTGTGCCCCCAAATCCTGTGTGTGCCCCCGAACCCTGGGTGTGCCCCCAAATCCTGGGTGTGCCCCCAAATCCTGGGTGTGCCCCCGAACCCTGTGTGTGCCCCCAAACCCCTCCTGGACGTGACGGTGCCCACAGCTCAGACCCACCCGTGGGTCCCCCACGGCCCCATCCCCGTGTCCCCCGTCCCCACCTCTGCTGGAAGCGCTCGTTGATGGACACCCAGACGTCGAAGTAGATCTGGGGCTGGCTGACGTTGTAGCGCGGCAGCAGCCGGCTCAGGCAGGCCGAGTACTGCTTCAGCATGTCGGCGTGGTCCCGCCAGCGGCGGCTCTGCGTGAACGCCTGCGGGAGCCGGGGGAAACTGAGGCACGGGGCAGTGCCGTGGGGAAACTGAGGCACGGGGAAACTGAGGCACAGGGACAGTGTAGGGAGCAAACTGACGGGAACGAGGGATAGGGGAAACTGAGGCAAGGAGGGATGGAGGAAATGAGGAATAGGGAAAAACAAGGCACAGGGGTTGTTCCGTGAATGATGGGGAAATGTGGGGAGAAGGGGAGGTACGGGGGGAAAATGAGGGGTGAAGGACACTGAGGCCCATGGGGGAAGTCCCCGTGTTTGGGGGTGAAGGGGGGTCACTCACCCCTGGTTTCAGGTAGCCCACCTCCCCGGTGAGCCCGTCCCTGTAGGTGATTTTGACGTGCTGGTGGAAGCGGGAGTGGACCATCATGTCCCAGGAGTAGCCGTAGAGCCCGTTGGTCCAGTTGTTGTAGCCCTGGGGGGACACGGAGGGGTCACAGAGCACAGGGGGGTGACAGGGACCCCCATACCTACCACCATTCCCCTTTTACCACCCTAAATGTCCCCCCATCCCCCAGACTGCCCCCTGTGTGCCCCCAAATGCCCTCCACAGCCCCCAGTCCCTTCTCACCCTCCTCAGCCCCCAGACCGTGTCCCAGTCCCTCCCGGGTGCCCACCTGGGTGATGAAGTGGGAGTAGGGCAGGAAGAGCTGCTCCAGCACGTAGAGGATGGTGAAGGCTGCAGCCAAGTGCTGGCGAGGCCGAAGGCGCCCCCGGGCCCTGCGGCCCCCGTAGTGGCAGTCGGGGCTGGGCTGGGGGGGCTCTGTGCTGGGGAGCCAGCCCTGCAGCCAGCGGGGACAGCGGGCCAGGAGCCCCCGCGGCCACTCGGGCCGGCAGAAGAGCCCGTTGGTGGCCAGCATGGTGTAGGAGAACATGCCTGGGGGGAGCACACTTAGGGACCCCCACTGCACCCGGGGTGGGGGGGTGCTCCTGCCCGGGACTGGGGGGTCCCTGCACAGGGACGCGGTGTTTTGGGGTGTCTGGGCACCCCTATTCAGGACTGGGGGGAGGTTTGGGGGCTGTGGAGGGGGAGCTCGCCCTGGTTGGGGGGGTTTGGGGGTACCCAGGGGTCCCATGTCCAGGTTGGGGCTGTTCAGGGGGTGCCCTGGGCACACTGTGGGGGTCTGGGGGTGCCCCCTCACCGATGCTGAAGAGCTGGGAGTTCATGCAGTGGAAGTAGGTGACGAAGACGAGGGCGAGGGGCCGCGTGGCATCGAAGAAGAGCAGGAAGCCGGCGGAGAGGTCGAGCACCAGGCCCCCGCCGTGCACCACCAGCCGGCTGGTCAGCTCCTCCGACAGCACCAGCCTGGCCACGGAGCCTTCCTCAGCACCGTCCCCAGCCTCACCCTGCCCCTCCTCAGCCCCATCCCATCTCCTCCCTCACCTTCCTCCTCCTGCCTGTCACATTCCTCATCCTCAACCCACACCCATCCTCCTGTGCCCCTCCTCATCCCCTCCCCAGCCCGTCAGCCCCCCTCCCTTCCCCATCATCATCATCATCAAACCTCCTTAAGCTCATCCTCCAACCCCATAACCCTCCCCATAACCCATCCCATCTCCCATCCCATCCGTGCCTTCATCCTCATCCCCTCCCCATCATCCCCTCACCCTCCTCAGTGTCCCATTCCCGTCACCCCCTCCCCATCCTCACCTCGGACCCCTCAATTCCGCTGCGCCCTTGTCAGCGCCCTTCACCCTCCTCATCCTCGCCCTCAGCCCCTCCCCAGCACTCCCCTGTCCCCCTGCCCACCCCTGCCCCGACCTGAAGGGTGCGAAGAGCCAGTGCCGGGCCAGGGTCCCCATGGAGAAGCCCCCGACCCAGTCGGCGTCCAGCTTCTTCAGCCCCGCGATGAAGTACACGATGAACACCTGGGGGGCAGGGACAGGCTCAGGGGGGCCCGGGGGTCCCGGGGGTCCCGGGGCGGTGTCACCCACCTGGGCACGCAGCAGGGTGTAGTTCCACAGCGGCACGTGGGCGTTGCGCTTCCGGGGCCGGAACAGCCCGTCCACGGAGCTGCGGGGACACGGGGGGGACAAGGCCACTGCCACCCACTGCCAGAGCCGTGGGGACACACGGGGGACACACCCAGGGGTGGCACCGGCACCTGTCCCACCAGGTGGGGACACACCCCCAGGACCCGTGCCACCCCACGGGGACACCGTGCCACAGGGATGTCCCTTGGGGACACACCCCCAGGACCCGTGCCACCCCAGGGGGACACCGTGCCCCAGGGGTCCCCAGGACTTGTGCCACCCCCTGGAGACCCCAGAGCCGTGGGGACCTTGGGGTCTGGGCCATGCCACAACCTCTGCCACCCCCTGAGACCCCCAGCCCCATGTCAGCACCCTGCTGCCTTGCAGATCCCCTGTGTCCCCCCGTGTCCCCAGAGGCTGCCCATGCTGCGGGGGTCCCTGCAGCCCCCAGGTGCCCACCCGTAGCGGTCAGCGCCCAGCAGCGCCAGCTGGAAGCCCAGCAGCCCGTAGAGGTAGGAGTGGTTGTTCCAGGAGGTCTTGTCCAGCAGCAGCAGGTACCAGTAGGGGCACAGGAACGCCACACAGCTCAGCCGGTAGCAGCAGCCCAGCATGATGCCCAGCGCTCCTGCGGGCACAGGACGGCCAGAGTGTCCCTGTCCCCTCCTGGTGCCTGGCCCCAGCCTCCCCCGCCAGTCCCAGTGCCCTCCCAGTGCCCGTTCCTGCCCCAGTGCCCCCCGTTCCCGCCCCGCTGCCCCCGTTCCCGCCCGTTCCCCGTGCCCCTACCCAGGAACATGAGGCCGTAGATCAGGTACATCCAGTCCAGGGGCAGCGGCTCCAGGAAGGGCAGCAGCGGGAAGCGGCACACCTCCAGCCCGTCCAGGTAGCGCCGCTCCAGCTGGGCCAGCCCGCGCTCCTGCGGCACGTCCAGCGCCATCAGCAGCCCTGGGGCGAGGGGGCTCCGTGGGGCAGCGGCCACCGGGCCGGGCCGGGCCGTGACCCCGCCGCCCGCCCGCCACCGCCCGACCTTTGCCCGGTGCTGACGTGTCACGGCCGGACACCGCCGGCCCCCCGGGAACGGGGACCCCCGGACCCTCTCCCCAAGCTCCCGAGCCCCCCCGGTGCCCCCCGAGCCCCCACGGAGCCCTCCGCAGCTCCCCCATCCCTCCTGAGCCCTCCCGGTCCCCCCGAGGTCCCGCTCGCTCTGTCCCCGGTGTCCCCCCGGTGTCCCCCCTGTGCGCGGTCTCCCTGTCCCGGTGCCCCTCAGAGCCCCTCGGTGCCTCCAGCCCCCGGTCTCCCGGTGCCCCCGAAGCCCCTCCCGGTCCCTCCCAGCCCCGGTTCCCCCGGCACCCGCCCGGTTTCCCGGCCCCGCTGACCGAAGGCTGCGCGGAAAGCCCCGAGCGCGGCGGGGTCCTGCGGCCGGTGCAGCAGCCGGACGAAGCGGTGCCATCGCGTCAGCTCCCGCAGCTCGAACCCCAGCAGCCGCCGCGCCGGCCCGGGGCCGGTACCGGAGCACTTGGCGGGCCCGGTGGGGCTCGGCGGAGGCTCCGCCGCCTCCCCCCGCTCCGGCCGCCTCCGCCGCGCCGGGCCTGCGGGGGTCACAGGTCAGGGGTCACAGGTCAGGGGTCACAGGTCGGGGGTCCCCGGGGGTCCCGCCCCACCGGCCCCGCTCCGCACCCGCCGCCGCCGCCGCCATCGCCGCGGCCCCGCTGACGTCACAACAGGGCGGCCAATCAGCGGCGAGGAGGGCGGGGCAAAGGGGCCACACCCCATCAAGTCCCGCCCCTTCTCGCATCAGACTCCGCCCCCGGGACCCGAACCGGGACCTCGAACCGGGACCCCGAACCGGGACCCGCGCCGGGACCCCGAACCGGGACCTTGAACCGGGACCCGAACCGGGACCCCGAACCGGGACCCGAACCGGGACCCGAACCGGGACCCGAACCGAGACCCGAACCGGGACCTTGAACTGGGACCTTGAACCGGGACCCGAACCGGGACCCGAACCGAGACCCGAACCGGGACCTTGAACTGGGACCTGAACCGGGACCCGAACCGGAACCCCGAACCGGGACCCGAACCGAGACCCCGAACCGGGACCTTGAACCGGGACCTGAACCGGGACCCGAACCGGGACCCCGAACCGGGACCAGAACCGGGACCTTAAACCGGGACCCCGAACCGGGACCTTGAACCGGGACTTGAACCGGGACCCCGAACCGGGACCCGAACCGGCACTCCCGGCCCCCGGCTCTGCGGGACCCCCGCCCCCGCCCCGACCCCGCCGCGCCCCCGGCCCGCCCCGGGCCCGCCCCCGCCTCGCCCGGCGGCGCCGCCGCTCCCGGAAGCCCCGGGCAGGCGGGGCGGGTCCGGGGCCGCCGCGGGAGCGGAGCCGAGCGGGGACGGACGGACCATGGTGGGCCCGGGGCACCGGGGGGCACCGGGAGGCACCGGGGGGCACCGGGGGGCACCGGGGGGCTCCGGGTGTGCGTGGCAGAGCAGCCCCGGTGGGGTGCCGGAGCTGTTGGGGGGTCTGGGGTGCCCGCAGGGGCTCCAGGAGGGGCCCGTGATGCCCGTGGGGCGCTCAGCGGGTGCTTGGGGTGGGCATGGGGTGCCCGGGGGGCACTTATGGGGTACTTATGGGGTACTGCAGAGCGAGTATGGGGTGTCCAGGGAGCGTGTGGGGTGTCTGAGGGACCTATGGGGTGTCTGAGGTACATATGGGGTGTCTGAGATCCCTGTGGGGTGTCTGAGATCCCTTTGGGGTGTCACGGGGGTGCCTGTAGGGTGCTTGGAGAGGTGCCCGGGGGGCACAGAGGGTGCTTGGGGTGGGCGTGGGGTGCCCTGTGGGTGCTGAGTGGGCACCTTTGGGTGTATGTGGGGTACGGGCAGCGCTCAGGGGGTATATGGGGACACTGGGGTACCATGGGGGGCTCGGCAGGTTCCTTTGGGGTGCCTGGGCTGTTTGTAGGGTGGTGGGGTGCCCTGGGGGATGCATGGCGGGTCTATAGGGTGCTGTGGGTGTTTATGGGGAGTTTGGGGGCGTCGGGGGGCAGCCCTGACCCCGTGCCGCCCCGTGCAGGCGGGGGTCCCGGCGGGGTCCCCGGCGGAGGCGGCGGCGGATGGCACGGGGGGCGCGGGGCGCGTGCGGGCGCTGCAGCGGGAGGTGCAGGGCGTCACCAGCATCATGAGCCAGAACGTGGAGCGGATCCTGGCCCGGGGAGAGAACCTGGAGCAGCTGCACAGCAAGAGCCAGGACCTGGAGGCCACGGTGAGGGGGCACGGGGGCGTGGGAGGAGGGCACGGGGCCAGCAGGGTGGGTATGGGGTCACCAGCGTGGGTATGGGGGCACCAGGGTGGGCACGGGGCCACCAGGGTGGGTACGGGGCGACCAGGGTGGGCACGGGGCCACCAGGGTGGGCACGGGGCCACCAGGGTGGGTATGGGGTCACCAGGACGGGCACGGGGCCACCAGGGTGGGTATGGGGTCACCAGGGTGGGCACACAGCTCCCTGAGGTGACCCCAAGTCCCGAAGGTGGCACGGGGTCTCTGAGGTGGTCCCGAAGCTCCCAAGGTGGTGCAGGGCTCCTCAGGGGGCTCCTCAGGGTCCCCAGGTCAGGGACACGAGGTCCCCAAGGGGATTGCAGGTGCCCAGAGGGATGGCATGGGACCCTGGGGTGGCAGGGGATGTCCCTAGGATGTCCCTGGGGTGGCACTTGGGGTGCCCAGGTGACAGAGGTGTGCCCAGGGGCTGAGGATTTGGGTTCTCCAGGGTGTCAGGGCTGTCCCAGGGTGGCAGTTGGGGTCCCCAGGGTGTCAGGGCTGTCCCGGGGTGGCAGCCGGGGTCCCCAGGGTGTCGGGGCTGTCCCCAGTCCCTGAGCGCTGTCCCCGCAGTCGGAGCACTTCCGCACCACGTCCCAGAAGATGGCCCGGCGCTACTGGTGGAAGAACGTGAAGCTGCTCGTCATCCTCGGCCTCGTGGGTGTCATCGTCCTCATCCTCATCATCCTCCTGGCCACCGGCACCATCCCCACCTAGAGCCACTGTCCCCACGGGGACACGGCCACCCCGGGGCCCAAATACAGATGGGGGGAGAGCCAGCGGGACTCGTGTGTGTGTGTGCGTGTGGTGGGGGACACGGGGACATGGGGGAACACATGGGGACATGGGGGGACACATGGGGACATGGGGGGACACATGGGGACATGGTGAGATGGGTGTGGGGACGTGTGGGGACACAGGCATGGGGACACAGGAATATGCATGGGGACATGTGGGGACACGCTGGGGAGAGGCCCCAGGGATGTGGGGACACTCACGTGGGGTCACGAGGGGGACACGTGTGGGGACACAGGCGTGGGGGGGTGGCTGCCGTGCCAGGGCGCCGGGGGCCGTGCCAGGCACCGAGGGACAAAGGACACTGTGGTGGCACTGCCACCCTCGGAGGCTGGGGGGGGGAGAAGGGGAGGGGGGACATGGGGGGCTGCAGGGACATGGGGGGGCTGCAGGGACAGGGGGACATGGGGGGGCTGCGGGGACAGGGGGACATGGGGACATGGGAAGGCTGCAGGGACAGGGGGACATGGGGGGGCTGCGGGGACAAGGGGACAGGGGGACATGGGGGGGCTGCAGGGACAGGGGGACATGGGGGGGGCTGCAGGGACAGGGGGACAGGGGGACATGGGGGGGCTGCAGGGACAGGGGGACATGGGGACATGGGGGGGCTGCAGGGACAGGGGGACATGGGGGGGGCTGCAGGGACAGGGGGACATGGGGGGGCTGCAGGGACATGGGGACATGGGGGGGCTGCAGGGACATGGGGGACAGGGGGACATGGGGGGGCTGCAGGGACATGGGGGGGCTGCAGGGACATGGGGACATGGGGGGGCTGCAGGGACATGGGGGACAGGGGGACATTGGGGGGGCTGCGGGGACAGGGGGACATGGGGGCCCGGCAGTGGGGAGGCTTGAGCGGGGGGTCCCGGGGGGTTCGTGCCGGGGTGTCCCGGGACTGTGGCCACTCGAGGGTGACCGGGGGCGGTCCCGGTCCCTCCCGGCGGGGCGGCCGCTGGGGCCCGAGGCGGGACGGGTACAGGAACGGGCGCACCGGTACCGGCAGCGACCCCGACCCCGCGGGACCGGGACCATGGTGAGTCCCGGCCGCCGCCGCCGCTGCTTTCGCTTTCGCTTTGCGAGGGGCAGAGCGGGCTCGGAGCCACGGGAGCCGCCGGGCTCGGGATCCCCGGTGCCGGTGCCGGTGCCGGTGCCGGTGCTCTCCCTGCCGAAGGGAGGGACGCGACCCCCGGGGTGGTGGGAGGTGGCCCGCGCGGGACTTTCCGTGTCCCCGCGTGTCCCTGCGTGTCCCCGCGTGTCCCCCGCCATACCCTCCGGTCCCGGTGTCCCCGTGCGTGCTCTGGCCCCGCAGAGCTCGTGTCCCCCCGGTCCCCATCCCCAGGTGGCCCTGTGCCCACGTCCCCACGGTTTCCTGTCCCCGTGGTCCGTGTGTGCCCTGTCCCTGCGGTGCCCGTGTCCCCGTGGTCAGGCTTTGTCGCCAGGGTGGTCCCCGGTGTCCCCATGTCCCCTGGTCCCCGTGGTTCTTGTGTCCCCAGGCTCCTCACGGTGCCCGTGTCCCCGTGGCATCTCCGTGTCCCCTTGGCCCACAGCCCCGGTGTCCCCACAGCACCCCCCTGTCCCCACGGTGTCCCCACATTGTCCCGGTGTCCCCAGGCGGGGCTGGCGCGGTGCCAGCGCGAGGCCGAGGAGGTGGCGGAGCTGATGCGACAGAACGTGGCCAAGGCGCTGGAGCGGGAGGGACACCTGGAGCAGCTGCAGAGCCGGGCCCAGGACCTGCGCCAGGCGGTGGGACACTGGGGACACGAGGGGACACGGGGGTGGCACTATGGGGACACCTGGAGCAGCTGCAGAGCCGGGCCCAGGACCTGCGCCAGGCGGTGGGACACTGGGGACATGGGGGTGGCACTGATGGGGACACACAGCCTGGGGATGGGGTGTGACATTATAGGGACACACTGCCCAGGGTGAGGTGTGGCACTACAGGGACACACGGGGCTGGGGGACACTGTGGGGACACCCAAGGCTTGGGGACACCCAGGGGCTGGGGACATTGCAGGGACACACATGGCTGGGGGATGCTGTGGGGCCTGGGGACACGGTGGGGATACACAGGGCTGGGGGACACTGAGGGGACACTGAGGGGACACTGAGGGGACACCCAGCCTGGGAAGCAGAGATCCAGGGCCCCAGAGGGGCTGGGGGGTGTCTGTCTGTCCCCCAGCCCCCTGTGGGACTGTCCCCCATCCCCTGCACGTCCCCACAGAGCGAGGCCTTCTCCCGCACCACCCGGACGGTGACGCGGCGCCAGCGCAGGAGACACCGGCGGTGGCACCTGGTGGCCCTCGGCCTCGGCCTCCTCCTCCTCTTCATCCTGGGGCTGGCACTGGCGCTGGCCCTGGCACGGTCATCCCCCGGGACTGCCACCAGCACTGTCCCCACCCCACGGGGGGGCACCAAGCACCCCCCCAGCACTGCAGAGACCCTGTGAGGACAGAGCCTGAGGGACCACGACAAACAAACAAACAAACAAATAAATAACCCACCACAAATAAACACCAGGACTTGGGGACACCCCACAGTAACAATAACGAAGCTTTGGGGTGATCCTCATGGCGACCCTACAGTGAATAAGCTCCAAGATCTGCTCTGAACAGACCCCACAACAAAAACCCAGCGAGACCCTCTTGAGGGGAACACTGCCACAGGCACCAGGAGCTCTGGGGACACCCTGCAATGCCAAACCAGGAGCACGAACTTCAGGGAGACCCGGTAATAAGAAATAAATAAATACCAGGAGCTGTTTTGGGGTGACCCTACAAAAATCAAGAATCCAGAATCGGATACTGTGGAGATACCCCACAATAACAAACCAGCAGGATGAACTCTTGAGGAGACCCTACAATAAACAAACACCAGGATGTGTTCTGGGGAGACCTTAAACAAATAAATACCGAGAGCTCTTTGGGAAGACCCTACAAAAACAGAGCTGTGCTATCAGCCTGGGGGAGAGCCTCCAATCCCAAACCAGTGGGGTGATTTCCAGGGAGACCTTACAGTAACAACCATGCCAGACCCTCCAGGGAAACCCTACAATTAATGAACTGCAATAACCTCGCTGCTGGGAGACCCTACAAAAATAGAGCAGTGGGGTGGTCCCACCCCCACAATCAGCCCCACATCCCCCCCTGGGGAGACCCTACAACAACAGCTCAGGGGACCCACCCTGGGGACACCCTGGGCACACCCGGGGCTGGGGACACTGTGGGGACACCCAGGGAGGGGACACCCACCTGGGAGGGACTGAGAAGACCTGGCAGCCAGTGTCACTGCCCGGGGCCACCGTGCCTGGGCTGCTGAACGGGACAAGTGACACTCGGGGACCCGGGAGCTGCTGGGTCACTTCCCCCCCCCGTGCCTCAGTTTCCCCGAGCAGCGAAGGACAGCAGAGCCTCGCAGCACCTTTATTGACACCAGGGAGGGGGGCACGGCGGCGGTCCCGCGGGGGCTGTGGCGGTGTCACCCGGTGTCACCCGGTGCCCTGGCGCTTGCTGAGCTCGTCCTGCACACGCTGGCACAGGGCCCGGCGCAGGGGGGGCTCCAGCGGGCTCCGGGCGCACACCCGGCGGGTCACCTCCTCGGCGCTGTCCCCCTGCGGGACCGTGTCACCCGTGGGGCTGCGGGGAGTCCCCGGGCACCCCACTGTGTCCCCCCGGGCACCCCACTGTGCCCCCCCGGGTACCCCATTGTGCCATGAACCCCCCCGGGTACCCCACTGTGCCCCGGGAATCCCCGGGCACCCCACTGTGCCCCCCCGGGTACCCCACTGTGCCCCGGGAGCCCCCCCGGGTACCCCACTGTGACACAAACCCCCTGGGTACCCCACTGTGCCCCCCCGGGTACCCCACTGTGCCATGGACCCCCCTGGGTACCCCACTGTGCCCCCCCCCGGGTACCCCACTATGCCATGGACCCCCCCGAGTACCCCACTCTGCCCCCCTGGGTACCCCATTGTGCCACGAACCCCCCCGGGCACCCCATTGTGCCCCCCCGGATCCCCCGGGTACCCCACTGTGCCCCGATCCCACCCACGGCACCCCTCTGCCCCACGGACCCCCCCCCCTGCCCCACGGACCCCCCCGCCCCACAGACCCCCCCGCCCCACGGGTACCCCTCTGCCCCACGGACCCCCCCCTGCCCCCCGGACCCCCCTGTCCCCCGGACCCCCCCTGCCCCACGGACCCCCCTGCCCCCCGGACCCCCCCTGCCCCACGGACCCCCCTGCCCCACGGGTACCCCCCTGCCCCACGGGTACCCCCCTGCCCCCCGGACCCCCCCCTGCCCCCCGGTACCGCCCCCGGTTGGCACCTGGTGCACGATCACGGCCGTGACCCGCCCGTCGTCCCCCTCGTACTCGAGGCAGAAGAGCCGCGGGCCCCGGGCCGGTTCCGGGGGGGCCCCGCCGCCCTCCGAGGGGGGCCCCGCGCTGGCATCGGCCCCGGGCCCGCCTGCGGCACCCGCACCTCAGACACCGGGGCCACCGGGGCCACCGGGGCCACCGGACAGCGCCCCGGCGGTCCCCATCCCCACTCCGGGTGTCCCCCCAATCCCCGTGTGTCCCCATCCCCGGGTGTCCCCATCCCCGGTGTCCCCCCGTCCCCGGGTGTCCCCCCCAATCCCCGGTGTCCCCCCAAGTCCCCGGTGTCCCCCCAGTCCCCGGGTGTCCCCATCGTGGGTGACCCCATCCCCACCCCGGGTGTCCCAAATTCATGGATATCCCCATCGCAGGTGTCCCCCCAATCCCCGGGTGTCCCCCACCCTCGGTCCCCCATGTCCCCGCACCCCCGGTGTCCCCGCACCCCCGGTGTCCCCGCACCCCCGGTGTCCCCGCACCCCCGGTGTGCTGCACCCCCGGTGTCCCCGGGGCTGTCGCCCCTTCCCCCCCATCCCCGGGCTCCCCGCACCGCCGTCCCTCGGGAGCTGGGCTCTCCCGCCCCGGTGCCCCCGCGCCCCCGGTGCCCCCCGCCCCCGGTGCCCCCGGTGCCCGCTCACCGCCGCCCCGCTGGGGCCGGTACACCGGCTGGTCGGGCCGCCGGGGCCGCGCCGGGCCCGGGATCAGCCGCGGCCGCGCTCGGCCCCGCGCCTGCCGCACCGCGCGCTCGTACGCGTCCCTGCGCACCGGCGGCACAGCGCGGTTACCGCCTGCGGGGACCCGGGACCGCCAAACCGGCCCGGTGTCCCCGCCGCACGCCGCTCCCGGGGGGGATGCCGGTACCTGGCGAGCTGGTTGCGGCGGATATGCCGCACGAAGCCGTGACTCATGTCCAGCCGCCCCCCAGGCCGGCAGCGCCAGCCCGGTGCCGCCGCCGCCGCCGCCTCCATTCCCGGTACCGGCGGCCGCGGTCGGGACCGGGACGCGGCGCCTTTAAGAGCCCCGCGGGCCCGGCGCGCGCGCGCAGGCGCGGTAGCGCCTCCTCCCCGCAGCGGCGGCCGCGCATGCGCGGGACAAGGCGGGCGGTTTGAGGCACCCCCCCCCCTCATCCGCGCCGCGCATGCGCACAGCGGCCGAACCGCCGCCATGTCGAGCCGGGGGCGGCGGGACCGCGACCCCCGCGACCCCCGGGAGCCCCGGGAGCCCCGCGAGCCCCGGGAGCCCCGCGGCGCCTCCCGCAGCCGCCGCGACGCCGACGCCGAGCGGCCGCGGGGCCGGCGGGACGCGGAGCGGGAGCGCGCGCGGCGGGAGGCGGCGGAGGCGCTGCCGGTGGATCTGGCGCGCGTCAAGCGGGAACCGGGCACCGGCACCGGCACCGGCACCGGCAGCGGCGTCTGGGGGGGCTCCGGCAGCGCCGCGCCCGTGCGGGTGAAGAGGGAGCGGGAGCCCGATGGAGACTCGGACCCTGAGCCCGAACCCGCCGGTGGGCACCGGGAGGAGCGGGTGGGACCGAGGGGCTGGGGGGACACCGGGAGTGTGAGGGGACACCGGGGGTGAGGGGACATTGGGGTGTGAGGGGACACCGGGGGTGAGGGGACATTGGGGTGTGAGGGGACGCTGAGGGTGTGAGGGGACATTGAGGGTGTGAGGGGACACCGGGGGTGAGGGGACACTGAGGGTGTGAGGGGACATTGAGGGTGTGAGGGGACACCGGGGGTGAGGGGACACTGAGGGTGTGAGGGGACATTGAGGGTGTTTGGGGGTTTCTGGGGTGGGAGTGGGGTGTTTGGGGGGGCTCTGGGGTGGGAGTGGGGTGTTTGGGGGGCTCTGGGGTGGGAGTGGGGTGTTTGGGGGGTTCTGAGGTGGGAGTGGGATGTTTGGGGGGTTCTGGGGTGGGAGTGGGGTGTTTGGGGGGCTCTGAGGTGGGAGTGGGATGTTTGGGGGGGCTCTGGGGTGGGAGTGGGGTGTTTGGGGGGTTCTGAGGTGGGAGTGGGATGTTTGGGGGGTTCTGGGGTGGGAGTGGGGTGTTTGGGGGTTCTGGGGTGGGAGTGGGGTGTTTGGGGGTTCTGGGGTGGGAGTGGGGTGTTTGGGGGGTTCTGGGACCGGGGGGTCACCAGGACTGGTCCTGGGCTCCTGAGCTCAGCTCTGGGCAGGGTTTGGAGGCTCAGCCCTGGAGGTGTCGCAGAGGGGGCTGGGGGGTCATCCTCGTGCTTTTGGGGTCCTCATGCCCCCCCTTTTCACACCCTGCCCCCCTCAGTGCGCTACGGGCGCTTCGACCCCGAGGACCAGCGCAGCCGGCACTGCCCCTACCTGGACACCATCAACAAGTGGGTGACGGGGCTCTTTGGGCTGCCCCTGCCCCTGGGGGTCCCCCAGCTGCCCCCCAGCCCCGTGACACCGCTCTGCCCCCCAGGAGTGTCCTGGACTTCGACTTTGAGAAGCTCTGCTCCATCTCCCTGTCCCACATCAACGTCTACGCCTGCCTCGTCTGCGGGAAGTACTTCCAGGGTGAGACCTGCTGGGGCCTGGGGACAGCAGGGACAGCCAGGAGTGATGGGGGACACTTGAGGGACAGCCAGGAGTGATGAGGGACACTCGAGGGAAAGGCAGGAGTGATGGGGGACACTCGAGGGACAGCCAGGAGTGATGGGGGACACTCGAGGGACAGCCAGGAGTGATGGGGGACACTCGAGGGACAGCCAGGAGTGATGGGGGACACCCCCGTGCTGCTGGGAAGGACACTTGGGGATAGGGGTGGTGGTGAGGGGGACACCCAGGGACTGGGGTGGGGCACAAGGGGTCTGGGGTGTGGCTGGGGACACCCAGGGACAGGGAACAGCCAGGGGCAGGCTGCTGCCAAGGGGTACAAAGAGGGGAGGGACACCATGGGGACACCCAGGGCGGCTGCTGGGGAGCTCAGGGACCCTCCAGTGGGCACAGCCCCCCGTACGTGCCCGGGGGATCCTCTCTGTGCCCCCTGCCTCTGGCACGGCGCTCGGTGCCACCCCTGGTGCCCCTGTCCCCCACAGGCCGCGGGCTGAAGTCGCACGCCTACATCCACAGCGTGCAGCTGAGCCACCACGTGTTCCTCAACCTGCACACGCTCAAGTTCTACTGCCTGCCCGACAACTATGAGATCATCGACTCCTCCCTCGAGGACATCACGGTGCGGGGGCACCGGGGGTCCCCGGGGCTCCCTGGGGCTGGCTTGGGACCCCCAGGATCGAGGGGTTGGGGTTGGGATCTCCCCCAGCTCTGAGGGGTTCAGGTTGGGGTCCCCCAGCTCTGAGGGCTCTCTCCCCCCACAGTACGTGCTCAAGCCCACCTTCACAGCCCAGCACATCGCCCACCTGGACAAACAGGCCAAGCTGTCCCGGGCCTACGATGGCACCACGTACCTGCCTGGCATCGTGGGGCTCAACAACATCAAGGCCAACGACTACGCCAACGCTGTGCTCCAGGTGACACCTGGGTTGAGGCTGCCTTTAGGGGTGAAACCCCCCGGAGCATCACTGTGGGTCTGACAGGCAGAAATTACACCTTGTCTCTGTACACTGTGAGGGTGTGCAGGCTTCATTCTGAGCTGAAACCCTCCCAAAATCCTGCTCTGTGCTCTCTGGGACGAGTCCCACCTTTTCCCACAGCGTGTTCCCTTCATTTTGGGCAGAACCCCCTCTGAAATTCTCCTCAAACCCCACGCTGGGGCTCCCGAGGGTGGATCCCACCTTCTCTTCTACAGGTGTTACACCTGGGGGGTGCAGCTGGCCTTTTGGGGAGAAAACCCCCCATAAACCTCCCCAAACCCCGCTGTGGTCGATCATCCTCACCTCTGGATCCTGTCCAGACTTCCTCACCCGTGGGGGCTTGTGGAGATCCCCCCCCATGGCAGTTCAGGGTCTGCCCCAGAGCCCCCAGATCCCCCCGTGGGGGTCCCGGGGCTGAACCCCCTGCTCCGTCCCCAGGCCCTGTCCAACGTGCCTCCCCTGAGGAATTACTTCCTGGAGGAGGAGAACTACCGTGGCATCCAGCGCCCGCCCGGGGACATCATGTTCCTGCTGGTGCAGCGCTTCGGGGAGCTGATGAGGAAGCTCTGGAACCCCCGCAACTTCAAGGCACACGTGTCGCCCCACGAGATGCTGCAGGCCGTGGTGCTCTGCAGCAAGAAGAACTTCCAGATCACCAAGCAGGGTGGGCTTCTGGGGGGACAGGGCTGGGGGCAGAGCTGGGTCTGAGGGGAGGAGCTGGGTCTGGGGGCTCTGGGTTCGGGGTGCAGGGCTGGGTCTGGGGGGTGCAGGGCTGGTCTGGGGGTCTGGGTTCGGGGTGCAGGGCTGCTCTGGGGGTGCAGGGCTGGTCTGGGGGTGCGGGCTGGGTCTGGGGGCTCTGGGTTCGGGGTGCAGGGCTGTTCTGGGGGTGCAGGGCTGGTCTGGGGGTGCGGGCTGGGTCTGGGGGCTCTGGGTTCGGGGTGCAGGGCTGCTCTGGGGGTGCAGGGCTGGTCTGGGGGTGCAGGGCTGGTCTGGGGGTGCAGGGCTGCTCTGGGGGCTCTGGGTCTGGGGGTGCAGGGCTGGTCTGGGGGTGCAGGGCTGCTCTGGGGGCTCTGGGTTCGCGGTGCAGGGCTGGTTCTGGGGGTGCAGGGCTGCTCTGGGGGTGCAGGGCTGCTCTGGGGCTCTAGTTTCGGGGGGCACAGCAGGACCCAGGCTCAGCTCCAGCTCTGCTCCTGCAGGGGATGGGGTGGAGTTCCTGTCCTGGTTCCTGAACGCGCTGCACGCGGCGCTGGGCGGCACCAAGAGGAAGAAGAAGAGTGAGTGGGGGGAGGTCCTGGGGGGGCTCTCGGGGGTCTCTGTCCCCCCGCTGAGCCCCCCTTGTCCCCCCAGCCATTGTCACCGACGTGTTCCAGGGCTCCATGCGCATCTTCACCAAGAAGCTGCCGCACCCCGACCTGGTGGGACTGGGGGATGGGGCGTGTTGGGGTCCTGTGGGGTGGGCAGTGGTGGGTGTTGGGGTGCAGTGTGGGGTGGCAGTGTCCAGCGGGATCTGGGGGGGCAGTCGGGGAACTGGGGGAATGGCAGGGTCAGGAAAAGTGGTGTAGGTGTCAGATGGGGGGTGGTGGGGTCTGGTGGGGTTCTGACAGGGGGTCTGGGTCAGATGAGTGTGATGGGGTCAGATGAGGGATGGGGGTGGTGGGGTTTTATGGGGGGGTCTTTGGGTACAGCAAAGGGGTGTTAGGGTCCAGTGGGGGTGGCAAGATCAGGTGAGGGGTGGCAGGGTCCAGTGGGGGTGATGGATCCAGTGGGGGTGTCGGGTCTGGTTGGGGTGTGGTGCATCCAGCGGGACTCGTGTGCCCCACGGGGCTGGCGTGCCCCACGGGGCTGGCGTGCCCCACGGGGCTGGCGTGCCCCACGGGACTCGTGTGCCCCACGGGGCTGGCGTGCCCCACGGGGCTGGCGTGCCCCACGGGACTCGTGTGCCCCATGGGGCTCACGGGCTGCCCCACGGGACTCGTGTGCCCCACGGGTGTCACGGGCTGCCCCCAGCCTGCGGAGGAGAAGGCGCAGCTGCTGCAGAACAGCGAGTACCAGGAGCGCATGGTGGAGTCCACGTTCCTGTACCTGACCCTGGACCTGCCCACGGCGCCGCTCTACAAGGACGAGAAGGAGCAGCTGATCATCCCCCAGGTGCCCCTGTTCAGCATCCTGGCCAAGTTCAACGGCAGCACCGAGAAGGAGTACAAGACCTACAAGGAGAACTTCCTGAAGCGCTTCCAGCTGACGCGCCTGCCCCCCTACCTCATCTTCTGCATCAAGCGCTTCACCAAGAACAACTTCTTCGTGGAGAAGAACCCCACCATCGTCAACTTCCCCATCACGTGAGCCGTGGGGAGGGGCTGGGGGGCTCGTGGAGAGGGTTGAGAGGAGATTGGGGGTATCTGGGGAGGGTTGAAGGCATCTGGAGCAGGTTGTTAATGTCTGTGAAGCACTGGAAACATCTAGAGGCACTTTGGAAGCGCCTGGGCCAGGGGAGTAGAAGTGTCCAGGGATTTGAAGGTGTCGAGGGTGGTATGTGGTTGTCTGTGGGGGGGCTTTGTAGCCATCCAGGTGGGCTTTGAGTGGTTTTTGGGCATCAAAAAGGGTTTGAAGGCACCTGGGGGGCGTTCCTGGGGGTGTCGGGGAGTTGGTAACATCTGGGAGGAGGATGTGGATATCTGAGGGGGTGTTGTGGGCAGCTGGGGGGACTGCAGCAGTGCAGGAGGGACCTGGGAGCCCCACGGAGGTGTCTGAGGGCGCTGTGGGTCCCCAGGAACGTGGACCTGCGGGAATACCTGTCCGAGGAGGTGCAGGCCGCCCACTCCCACACCACCTACGACCTCATCGCCAACATCGTGCACGACGGGAAGCCCTCGGAGGGCTCCTACCGCATCCACGTCCTGCACCACGTGAGTGTCCCCTCCCCGGGGGGCTCGGGGGGACCACGGGGACCCCCCGAGTCACCCCGACCCCTCCCGGGTCCTGGCAGGGCACAGGGAAGTGGTACGAGCTGCAGGACCTGCAGGTGACCGACATCCTGCCCCAGATGATCACCCTGTCGGAGGCCTACATCCAGGTGAGGGGGGACGGGGGGCACCTCCAGAACGTCCCTTGACACCCCCAAACATCTCCTGTGCCCCCCCAACCCCCTCCTGCTCTCCTGCAGATCTGGAAGCGACGTGAGGAGGATGAGACGAACCAACAAGGTGCATGAGACCCTTGGGGACACCCAGAGACCCCCTTGGGGACACTCCAGCTCCCCCTCGGGGGTATCCCCAGCCCCCTAGGGGTATCCCCAGCCCCCTAGGGTACCCTGAGACCCCTTCAGAAGCATCCCAGGCTCCCCCATGGACACCCAGAGACTCTCAGGGACACCCGCAGCCCACCTGGGGACACCCCCAGTCCCCCCTGGAGGTGTGTGTGTCCCAGTAAATGCCACCCACTATTTTTGTAACTCATTTTCACTTCTTCTCTTCTTTGGGTTTGGGGGTGTTTCTGGTTTCTGCTGCTCCCGTGCCGCCTCCCAGCCCCCCTGAGCCCCCAGCCCCCCTCAGGCCCCGGAACCCCAAAACGCTGAGGCAGATCTGCTTCCAAGCTTTATTGGGGAAAGCTGGGGGGTCCTGGTGCCCCCCTACAGCCAGCCGTGCTCCTGGCAGTGCTGCAGGGCCTGCAAGGGGCCCGGGGGTCAGCTGGGGGTGCAGGGGGTGGCAGCCCCCCGTGTCCCCCCTGTCCCCCGTGTCCCCCGTGTCCCCACTCACCTGGCAGCGCCGGGCGGCCTCCGGGCCTGAGCACCAGAAGATGGGGCCCAGGGCACAGGGGCCCAGGGACAGGGACAGCGCAGGGACACCGATGCCTTTGGGGTCCTGGGGGGGGGGACACACGTGTGAGGGGCCCCCGAGGGTGGGAGCACCCCTGGGACCCCCCAAGCCCCCTGCCCAGGGCTGTGCCTTGTGCACTCTGGTGCTGTCCTCTGGAGGGAGGGTGGCCTTACTGGGGGCCTTGGTGTGTCCCCAAGGACTGTGACACCCAGGATTGTGTCCCTGGCGTGGCCCCTGGGGACCGCCACTCTCAGGGGTGTGTCCTCGGGGCTGTGACACTCCCGGCCGTGTCCCCTCATGGCTGTGTGACCCTGGGGTGCCCTGTCACCTCCTGGGGACCATCCCTGGTGTCCCCCCTCACCTCCTCGCTGACACAGTCTGCCAGCCGCACCACGATGGCCTCCAGCACCCAGGGCGGTGGCAGCGTGCCCGGGCGCTCGTTGTCCCCGATGTCCCCGATGTCCCCGTTGCTGTCCCCGCTGCGGCAGGCCAGGAACAGGCGGCACAGCAGGCGGGGGCTCAGGCGGCCCAGCAGCCCCTCGAGCGCCAGGGCCGCGTAGCGCTCGGCCAGGCACTGGCAGGCCCCGGCCACCGGCAGCGGCAGCGCCCGGCACAGCCCGGCCACCGCCGCGGCCACCGAGCCCACGGGGACAGCGGCCTCGGCCCGCGCCACCAGCGAGCGGCACAGCCAGCACAGCGGCAGCGGCACCGGCAGTGACACCGACAGCGCCTTCGGGGCCAGAGCAGAGCCCTGCGGGACAGGGGACACTGCAGTGGGACAGGGGACACTGCAGCGGGGCTGGGACACTGCAGTGGGGCTGGGACACTGCAGCGGGACAGGGACACTGCACCCGGTACTGGGGACCCTGCGTGGCTGTGCCCCCCCAGTGCCAGGGCCCCCCCGGGCCCACGGCCGCCCAGCCCCGTGTCCCCGTGTCCCCGTGTCCCCGTGTCCCCCGTACCTGCCGGTGGCTGCCGGGCGCCTCAAGGACGGGCACAGCCCTGGGATCTGGAGGACACAGCTTCAGCTTCACACAGACGTCCCAGGAGTTCTGCGGGTGGCACAGCGTGAGCCGCGTGTCCCCCAGGCCTCGGGGTGGCCCTGGATGCCCTGCTGTCCCCAGAGTGTCCCCCAGTGTCCCCAGAGCCCTGGCGTGTGCCCCGCTGCCACTCACGAGGTGCGCGATGTCCCAGAGGAGGTCATGGGCAAACAACTGAGCCAGTTTCCTGCATGAGTTCTCCTCATAACGGAGATACGGGCACACCAGCCCCAACATCCGCTCTAGCACCTCCTGCGCCGGGCACCGACAGTGACAGGGACAGGGACAGAGGCACCCACAGTGACAGAGACACCCACAGTGACAGAGACACCCACCGCAACACCCACAGTAACACTGTAACACCCACAGTGACACCCACCGCAACACCCACAGTGACAGTGACACCCACAGTGACACCCACAATGACACCCACCACAATGACACCCACCACAGTGACACCCACCACCGTGACACCCGCAGTGACACCCACAGTGACACCCACCACAATGACACCCACCACAGTGACACCCACAATGACACCCACCGTGACACCCACCACAGTGACACCCACAGTGACACCCACCGTGACACCCACCACAGTGACACCCGCAGTGACACCCGCAGTGACACCCGCAGTGGCAGCCACCACCTCATCAGCCCCCGTGGCACTCCTGGTGGCACCTCCCTGTGTGGCTCTTGCTGGCACCCACCGTGACACCCAGTGGCACCTGTCCCCTGCCCCCAGTGGCACCTGTCACCCACCTCCAGGGACACCTCCGAGGCCGACTGGTTGTAGATTTGTCTGAGGTGGTGTATGACCTCCTGGCACACGGTACAGGCGTCCTGCTGGAGGGGACAGCAGGGACGTGGGACATGGGGACAGAGGGGACAGAGGGGAGTGGGACATGGCAGCAGAGGAGGACAGGGACAGGGACGTGGGGAGCGTGAGGACACGGGGATGTGGCACAGGGATGGTTGGAGGTGGGACACGGGAGCAGGGGGGAATGGGGACATGGGGGAATGGGGATGTGGGGGAATGGGGACATGGGGACCGAGGGGGACGCATGGGGACGTGTCGGGGTGGGACTCTGGTGGCGGCACTGGGACCCCTCTGGAGTTCTGGGGTCACAGGGACAGAGGGAAGGGTGGAGGGACATTAGAGGGGGACAGGGGACAGGGGGGCGTCTCTCACCGTGTCGGAGGGTCCCTGGCTGAGGTGGGGGCAGCGCCCCAGGGCCCCGCAGCGCAGCGCCGTCACCCAGTCCTGGCACCAGGCAGAGGGGGGCACCCCACAGCCCCCCCCCGGCGCCCCCAAACCTGTGGCCACGGTCAGCACCCAGCCAGGGGGACCTGGCAATTCAGGGCCCCCCAAATACACCCCCCTCCAGTCACGCCCCCCAACACCAGCCCTCTTGGGGGGACCCCCTCAATGAATCCTCCCACTCCAGTACCCCATCCCGGGGGGCTCCAGCACTGTGACCCCCCCCACCCACACAGCGCCCCCAAACCCCACTCCTGCCCTCATGGGGGACCCGGGTGGAAGGGACCCCCCCCCCCAGTGACACCCCCATACCCCAAGAGGGGTCCCAGGGCTCCAGACCCCCACCCAAGGGCCCCCTTCCCCCGTGTCAGGCGTCTGTGCCCCCATCACTTCAGCACAGGGTCCTTGAGGGGGGCCCCCGGCTCTGGGGGTGCCCAACTTTGGGGGTGCCCAGCTCTGGGGTTGCCCGGCTCTGGGGGCACCCCCGGCTCCGGGGCTGTCCTACCTGCGGCGGTCCCGAGCAGGGCGAGGAGCAGCGGCAGTGGCAGGGCCATGGCGGGGGACACGGGGACGGCGCTGGCCGGGCCGAGCCCGCGGCCTCTTAAAGCCCCGCGGGCGGGATGTGGCGCTGGGACCGTGCCAGTCTCGGGGACAGGTGTGCCACACCCGCGGGGACAGGTGTGCCACACTGCGGGGACCCCGCGGGACCTGCCACCCCGCCCTGCACCCACTCCTGGCTGGGGTCCCCATCCCGGCCCCCTGTCCCCAGCAGGATCCCTGGTGATGTCTCCATGTCCCCACCGAGTCCCCACTGCTGTCCCCGTGTTCCCACCGGGGCTCACACTGGGGTCCCCCTGTCCCCCTCAGCCCCCCATGTCCCCCCACCACGTCCCCACACCCCCACGTTCCCTTTGTGCCACCACAGTCCCACACCCCACTGTTCCCCCCATGTCCCTCCTGCCACCCTCCAATCCCCCCAGCCCCCTCTGCTCCCCTGTTCCTTCATGTCCCCCCAAAATCCCCAATGTCCCCATGGCTCTAAACCCCCATGTCCTCCCTTGTTCCTGTGTCCCCCACGTCCCCCGTGTCCCCTGTGTCCCTCATGTCCCCCATGTTTCTCATGTCCCCCAAGTCCCTCAAGTCCCCCATGTCCCCCGTGTCCCTCATGTTTCTCATGTCCCCCATGTCCCCTGTGTCCCCCAAGTCCCTCAAGTCCCATCCCATCCCCCAGCCCTGTGCCACCCCCTGCCTGTGCCCCCGTCCCCCCCCGCTCCCCTTCCCGGCAGGTCCCTCCCTGGTCACCACCGTGACCCCACTTGTCACTCGAGGGCCCTCAGGGCAGGTGTGGCCCCGCGGGTGGGGCACCTGCCCCAGGTGTGGCACCGGGCTGGGTCCAGGTGCCCGCGCCCCTCTGTCACCCCCACGTCCCTCTGTCACCCCATGTGCCCCCCCGTGCCACCCTCCCACCCTGGCTGCCCTGTCCTTGTCCCCCCCGTGCCACCCCCGTGTCCTTCTGCCACCTGCAGCCCCCTCCCCTCCCCTCCCGCAGCGATTCCGGCTCTTTCGTAACGAAATAATTTATTTCCTAACAATCAAACAAGACAGAAATATCCATGGACACAGCAAAGATCTCCTAAAACACGGAATTCCTAAAAAAAAAAGAAGAAAAGCACCATTCTATTGGCTTGACACGGGGGTTCAGCCCTGCAAAATGGGATTTTTGGATATTTACAGCAGGAACGGCTGGAATTGGATCCGTGTCCGCTCCCAGCTGCCCAACGGAGCCTGGCTGGGAGCAAAAAGAACAGAAAAAATGAGGGGAGAAGCACAAAGAAGAGGTGCCCCAAAGAATAATAAAGGAAAGCTTGAGTGGAGACGGGATGGCTCCGCTGGAAAAATGAAGGATAAACAAACATTTTGGTGCTTCCCGGAGCTGGCGGTTCGGGATCTGCCTTCCCTAAGGAAAAAGAAAGGAAAAACAGCCCAAAAATGGGAGTTTGTGATTCCCACCCATCCGTGCCCCAACCCCACTCCCCCCACTCCCTGGATTTATTTTTTTTTTGTCACAACCTATAAAAAAGTCCTTCCTGCAGCTTATTTCACAGGAATGCTGGTGGATCAGTGAATTCCAGGAAAAGGCTGGCACCAGCACTGGGGACCCGGGCATTCCGGGTTAGTGCAGCGTTTTGGGGTTCCCGGAGCACAGCCCCACAGTGCAAAGGGCCCGGAAGGGTCAGGCTGGGACAGGAGGGGGCAAAACTGGGATAGAAAAGGCTTTGGGAGCTCAGAAAGGCACAAACCTGCCAAAACCCCTCATTTGTCCTGAGGCCAAACCTTCAAAATGTCCAAAACCAACCAAAAATCAACGTTTTGTACCTCTGGAAGGGCCTTCCCAGCGCTGGGAATCACCTGCCCAGAGGGATTCCCCAGGTGGAGGCAAAAGCCACCTGAGCCATGGCCCCAGGGGCTGGTATTTCTCTTTTTCTCTCTGTTTTCCATCTTTTTGCCTTTTTCCCCTCTTTTTGATGGTGCAGGGGGTTGAGCTCAGGTGCCCACAGTCTGTGACAATGCCAGAGGGTGGAAAATTCCAGCAGCTTCAAAGGAAAATTCTTTGTGGTTTGGGTTCTTTTTTTTTTTTTTTTTTTTTTCCTCTTAAGAGCCAGCACATGGAAAAAAGAGACAGAACCTGGGGGATTTGGGCAACTTGTGGGGCCTGTGGGCGGCTTCCCACTTCCCCATGTGAGCCAGGAATGGGATTGGGGTGTTAAAAAGGAAAGGAAAAGGGGAAAATGAGAATGGGGGAAAGGAGAATAGAAAAGGGAGAAAGAAGGAAAGGAAAAGAAGGAGGAGGGGGAGAAAAGAGAAACAAGAAAAGGAAAGGGGGAGAGGGGTAAGGAGGAAAGGAAAAGGAAAAAAAGGGGAAAGGAAAAAGGAAGGGAAAGGGGAAAGGACAAAGGAAAAGCAAAAGCACTGGAGTCTCCTGCTGCTCATCCCCTTGCACTCCATGGAGCCTCTCGATGCCTTTCAGCACCTGCATTTCCTGAAAGGGACGGGCAGAGGGTCAGGGTTTTATCCCAGCGCTGGGAAAAGCCCTGGGAAGGCTCCAGGGGCTGGAAAAGCCCTGGGAAGGCTCCAGGGGCTGGAAAAGCCCTGGCACCAGCTCCAGGGGAAAAGGAAGGTGCTGGAAGCAGAGCTCTCCAGGTGCCAACATTCCCAGAGCATCTCCAGGAGCGGGAAGTGGTGGGAATGCTCCCGGCAGTGCACTGGGAAGCGAATCCTCACCGCGGCTGGGAACCTGCCCTGCCCCGGCCTTCCCTCCCTGCGGTGGCTTCTGGAACCTTCCAGGAGCCGGGAGCAGCCCCGGGGAGGCACAGCCTGGGGAGGCCGTGGGGTTATTGCTGAGCAGAGGCATCACCTTTGTGCTGAAGGGGTGGAGAGAGGCCCTGGGCTCCCTCCGAGGTAGAAAAAACTGTCCCCGAGACTGAAGCGTGGGAAGGGAACTCCAGGAGCCTGGAACGCCACATTCCAGAGTGGGGATGGCTCTGAGCTGTGCTGGGCCGGGAATGCTCCGGGGGGGCTGGGATGGGGTCCCTGAATATTTAGAGTCGGGGAAGGGAGCCCCGACTGAGGCTGATCCCTGTGCCCGAAACGCTCCGTGCTCCCGGCTCTGCCACGGATGGAAACTGCACAAAGCATCGGATGTGCTCCCAGAGAGCTCAGCCCTGCGGCTCCTGAGATCGGGAACACCCAGAGGCGGAGAAGGTCGGGAATACCGGGCAGTGACAGCCGGGGAAGGAGCCGGGGAGGCTCCTGCAGCCGCTGTTATTGCGGGATATTCCCGGCTCCGTGCGGGGAAGGCTGCGGGGCGCTGTGCTGGCTAACGGGATCCCCAGGGCCGCCGGGCAGCGCTCCCTACATCCCGGCGGTGGGAATCCTCCTGCTGCTGCCCAGCTTGGCCCCGGTCCCGCCGGAGCTGCCGTAGCCCTCGTCGCTGCCCAGGCTCTGCAGGCTGCCGCGCTCGTCCGAGTCGCTGGGGCTGCTGCTGCTCCAGTCCAGCTCGGCCGGGAGGTCGTCCGTGCTCTCCACGTCCACGTCCACGTCCATCTCCTCTGTGGGACAACGGGAGCGGTTCGGTGGGGCTCGGGCAGGGCCTGGCCTCCCGCCGGCCGGGCCCAGCGCGGGCGCTCACCTTGGTCCGACTCGGAGCGCTCGGAGCAGAGGCTGGAGCCGATGCTGTCTATCCTGACCCGCTCCATCCCCAGCTTCTCCAGCTGCCGCTGCAGGTGCCGCTGCTCCCGCTGCAGCTGCTCGATCTGGTGCAGGGCCCGGTGCTCCTGGTCCTCCAGCTTCTGCGGGGGACACGGCAGCGTGAGCCCGGGATTCCCTGGGAGCCACCCGGGATTGCCTGGAACCACCCGGGATTGCCTTGGAACCACCCGGGACAGGGACCCCGAGGCCAGGATTCACTGGAAGCCACCCTGGATTCCCTGGGAAGCACCCAGGACACAGCACCCTGAGCCCGGCATTCCCACCCAATCCAGCCCGGCACACCCACGGCCGGCTCCCATCTCCAGCACGTTTGGGATGTGGAGCTGCAGGGATTCCAGCCCTCCCAGTCATCCCAGCCCAATTCAGACCCCCCCAGTTACCCCAGCCCCATCCCAGTGCTGCCCCCGTTATCCCATCACGATCCCAGTGCTCTCTCTCCCAGTTCTCCCAGCCCGTGCCCGGCTCTGGGGTGCCGCTCTCGGCTCCCAGCCCGGTGCTGGGCGCTGTTTGGGCTGACCTGGATGTGGAGCCGGGCCCTGGTGAGGAGGCTGAGCGTGGTGTGGCGCCCGGCCGCCGTGCCCAGCGGCACCAGCCCCTTCAGCCTCTCCAGGCACCGCCGGAGCTGGGCACGCCTGCAACGGGAGCACAGAGCGGCCTCAGGGGCACTGCTGCTGGCAGCCAAACCCCACCAGCACCTGCCCAGCCCCCACGGGCTCCAGGAACCGGGAGGGAACCTTGGGAAAACCTCCTGGGAAAACCCTGCTGGCACCCCGGGCTGCTGGGGCCACCCCAGGCAATGAGATGCCAGTGACCTCGGGATTCTGGGTGGGAATGTCCACTTTTGGTCATTCTCTTCCATCTCAGGAGTGCTGTGTGGCTCCTGCTGACAGCTGAAGCTGCCCAGGCCAACACCCGGCTGCAAATCCCTTGGGAGTGCTTCCTTTCCCTGTTTTCAGTAGGAACGGGGCGGTTTTGGGTACAAAACCCACAGATCCCACTCCAGGAATCCTCCCCCTTCCTCTGACATCTGGGTTTTCTCTGCCTTAACAGGTTAATGCAGGAGGGAGGCTCCAGCTCCTGGAGGAAATCCCTTTTCCTGCTGGAAAAAGCTGGGGTGCTCCCAGCACAGCCCAGTTTCCCTGGGCCCATTCCCAATCCCGACATGTAGGTCAGATCCTCGGGAAGGGGTTGTAACACCCATCCTGGGCAGCTCCAAAGGGATTTTGCAATGACCTGCTGGTCTTGTTTGGGACACGCTGGGAGTCAACAGGGATTTCCTCACCCAAAGGGCCTCGGGATGACAACACAGGCAAAAAAAGTGGGATTTACTCGCGATAAATCCCAGACTGGCTCAAAGATGAGCCTGTGAAAAGATAATTTTCCCGAATAAGCAGGGCTGTGGGGATTCCCAACAACCAGGGACGGGGAATGCTTTAATCCTTGGTGTCCTTTATCCCATTCCTTCCCTGCCAAGCCATCTCAGGATGGTGGAACAGCCCCGGGGAAGCAGAAATCCCCCCCAGCCCAGCTCCTGACAACCTCTGGCACTCACCTGTTCTTTTCCATCTCATTGTGTGTCGACCTGGAAAAGAAGGAAGAAGTTATTAATTCCTCTGGCTGATTAGGGATTACCAGTTGGGATTAACGTGTGGGAATTAGCAAAGGCTCCCTGGAAGAGCTGCAGACCCGGGGGGCTCCCAGGGATGGTGAGTGGCAGGATGCAGACGGGCACGTGGCAACAAAAGGGTCAGGAAAACCACGAAATGGGATTTTAAACCAGACACCCAAGTTTTAGAGCTGGGATTGGGATCAGCAGCCCAACCCTGACCCTCAACCCAGGAACACAAACTGGAAAAAGCCTTCCCCGTGTCCAACAGCTGAGAGCAGCTCTGGAGTGAACCCCAAACTCATTGAACCCACAACAAATCCCCCTGAAGCTCCCAGCTTCCACTGAGCTGGGAAAAGGTGGGAAGCACAAGCTGGGGCTGATTTTCCCTCCACTGAAATCCAGGGAGAAGCCACAGGAGGCCAATTCCCAGGAATGGTGCTCAGGGAAGAGCTGCTTCCCTGCCCACTGACTCCCTAAAACCCCCAGAGGCCTCAAGAAGCTCCACTCCAATTTGGTAAAAAATGTTGTTATGTGCCTGAAAACTGAAATGTGGGAATAACCCAGAGGTTTTTTGGATAGGACGTAAACTGGGATGGCCCCACGGGATCTGGGAGTGCTGGAAAACCAGGGGTGTCACCAAAGGAAAACCAGGGGTGTCACCAAAGGGAAGCCAGGGGTGTCACCAAAGGAAAACCAGGGGTGTCACCAAAGGAAAACCAGGGGTGTCACCAAAGGGAAACCAGGGGTGTCACCAAAGGAAAACCAGGGATGCCACCCCACAGCAGTGGGAGATGCTCTCTGAGGTCTCCCTGCCCTTTCCTGATGGATCACCCTGCTCCCGTGGCTCTGTTGGCATTTTGGCCACATCTCCCACCACGTCCCCAGCAATGTCCCCTCCAGCAGAGACACTTCCCACTCCAGGGGGATTATCCAGGCCCATGGAGGACTCAGCTCCTCGGCTCCTGGGCAGTGGCTCCACTCAGTTTCTCCCTGGATCAATCTGCACGTCTCACCCAGCCCTGCACCAAGGGGCTGCAGCTTCACGAGCTTTTCCCTGGATTCTACATTATCCAAACACTTGCTGAGCACAGGTACAGACATGGGTGAGGCTCCCATCACCTCCACAACCCTGAACTACAAATCCATCCTCTTTTCTGCCTGGATCCTCCCTGGAAGGGCTGTTTTCCCTTCTGGACTTGCATTCCCCATCACCAATATTTAGAGGAAAAAAAAAAAAAAAAGGAATGAATTGATGGGTTTAAATTCTGGATAAAATAAACAGGGACAGAGGGGATGGCAGCTTCACCCCAGGGCAGGTGGAGCTCCCACATCCTCTCCAGAGCCACAGAGCCCCTGGTTTGGATTCCCACTGTCTGATCACCAGCTGTGCCCCTGGAATGGGCTTTTTATTCCTGAAAACAGCAACAAAATTCTGTGTGGGAATTCAGGAGCCAGAGGTGGGCGCTGGGAGCAACTCCAGCTGGGAGGAAAGTGGTGCAGGATTTAACAGCAGCCAGGAGCCAGAGGGAGGAAGGAGCCAGAGGGAGGAAGGAGCAGGCAGGGCCGAGGGGAGGCTCTGGGTGGGTTTTGGGGTACGTTGGAATTTGGGGGGTGACAGGAGGGTCCCCCCCAGCCCTGCCAGGGCCTCTCCGGGCCGGTCACCCCGGGACAGAACGGTCCCACCCACGGTGTCACACCCGCTGACAGGTGGACTTTGGTGACAGCAGAGCCGCACCCAGCCCTGTCACCCGCCCGGTGACAGCAGGAGAGCCGTGACAGCCTCCCGGGCCGGGACACCGGGGACACCGGGGACAGCCGTGACAGCCTCCCGGGGCCGGGACACCGGGGACACCGGGGACAGCCGTGACAGCCTCCCGGGCCGGGACACCGGGGACAGCCGTGACAGCCTCCCGGGCCGGGACACCGGGGACAGCCGTGACAGCCTCCCGGGCCGGGACACCGGGGACAGCAGGGTCCCCAGCCTGTCACCCCCCGGGGACACGAGCAGCGCCCTGTGCCGCACACACCCGGGGACAGGAGGTGCCCCCGGCCTTGTGACACCGCAGGGACGGCGGGGGCCCCACCGGAGCCCGGCACCGGGAAACCGGCCCGGTGCCCGGCCCGGTGCCAGCTGGGCACAGGAGCCCCGGGCCTGTCACCACCGGGGCACACGGGGACCTCGGCAGCGCCACGACCGGAGGGAGCCCCGGCCCCGCCGCACCCCCGGGCCCGTCCGGGCGCGGGCAGCGGGACGGTCCCGAGGCCCAGGAACGGCGGCCCCGGACCGGTCACCCCGCCCCGGGGCTCAGCGGGCCGGGCCGCGCGGGGCCGGAGCCGCCCCGGCCGGGCCCCCCCGGGCCGGTCCCCCCCGCCCCGCCCGGTGCCGCCGTCACCTGCCGCCGGCGCCGCCGCTCCTCCGGGCCTTGGCGCGGCGCCGCGGGGCCTCGCCGTCCTTCCCGCCGGGCCACAGCGAGGCGTAACCGTGCTCGGCTTCTGAGGAGACACAACGGCGGGCGCGGGTCACCGCGGGGCCCGGCCGGGGGCACCGGCGGCACCGGGAACGGGGGGGGGGGCGCGGGGGGTACCTCGCTCCCGCCGCTCCAGGAACTCGGCGGCCTCCAGCAGCATCTGGATGCCGAGGCGGGGGCGGCGGCCATGGCGGGGCCGGGGCCAGGGCCGGGGGCGGCGGCGGCCGTGGCGGGGCCGGGACGGGACCGGCGCCGGGGGGGGAGCGGCGGCCTCTGCCCGCCCCGAGCGCCGCTCCGCCAGACCCCGCGCGCGCCACGCCCCCGCCGCCGCTCATTGGCCCGGCCGGGGACAGGCCCCGCCCCGCCCCGCCGCTGATTGGCCGGAGAGGGGAGGCCGCGCCCACCGCCTCCACGAGCGGCGGAGAGGGAGCGTGGACGCGCCTGAGGACACGCCCCCCGCCCGCTGCTATTGGACGGCAGCGCCACGCCCTCCTGCTATTGGCCCGGCCCCCCTGCGGCGCCCCGCCCACGCAGCCGGCCCCGCCCCCCGGCCGCACGCTCTGCCCTGACTCACTTCCTGCCGCTCAGCCAATGGCGAGGCCGGACCGGAGAGAGGGCGGGGCCTCGGCTACGTCAGGCAACGTACGCACGGACCGGAACCGGGACCGGGACCGGGACCCCGGGATGGGAACCGGGACCGGGACCGGGACCGGGACCCCGGGATGGGAACCGGGATGGGGACACGGACCCCGGGATGGGGACCGGGACCCGGGACCCCGGGACGGGAACCGGGACTGGGACCCCGGGATGGGAACCGGAACCGGGACCGGGACCCCGGGATGGGGACCGGGAACCGGGATGGGGACACGGACCCCGGGATGGGGACCGGGACCCAGGACCACGGGATGGGAACCGGGAACCGGGACCGGGACGGGAACCGGGATCGGGACCGGGACCCCGGAATGGGGACCGGGAACCGGGACCGGGAACCGGGACCCCGGGATGGGGACCAGGACCGGGACCGGGACCCCGGGATGGGGACAGGGACCCCAGGGCTCACACGGGATTGAGCTGCTCTGTGGCATTTCCAAGGATTTTGGGAGGGGGACTGGAGGCCCTGCTTTATCTCTGAATGATAAAAATTAAAGGAAAAAATACATCCGGGGTTTTATTAACAGGGAAACAAGCCAAACCCAGGGAGAACACAGCAAAATCCCAGCCACAAACTGACCTCTGTTGTAAAAACAAACAACAACAACAAACATCTGGGAAACAGAAACTGGCGGCAGCTCTGGCTGTGGGATTTGTTGGGAATAACCCGAATTCTGCTGGAATCCAGCACGGGAGCCAGCCAGGAGAGTGCAGGGAAGCGAAATCCTCGTGGAGCCGTGTGGCAGCGTCAGGCGATGAAATCCAGGGGCCTGTTGAATCCTCCTTTTCTGTTCATGTACTGCCTGCGCCAGGATGGAGCCAGGCTCAGCCCCGGACCAGGGAAATGGGGACAAAACCACCCAGGGAGGCTGGGAGCGGGGCCCAGCGCCTCCAATTCCCCGTGGATTTGACCCAAAGAAGGCTCCCAGCGAGGAGCTGCCCCAGAGGAGCCCAGGCTGCCGTCAGAAAGGGAGCAGAATTGACAATCTGGGTGTTTTTTGGGAACAAACCAGGTGAGCAGTGTCATTCCCGCTGCTCTGATCCTGTCCAGGCCTCGCTGGGCACATCCCACCTGTTCCTAAGCTGCTCCTCACTGCTCATCTCCTGATTTCCCGTTCCCAGGGGGATCTGCAGAACTCTCACCTCTGCTTTTGAGTCCAAACCTCACTGAACTGCCGTTTTCCCCCGGCCTGGAAGCCGGATCATGGTGAGACCGTGGCCACAGCTGCCCCACAGACCAAACTCCTCTTCCCACCCCAACAGGGACACACCTGTACTTCCTCTTCTGGGACACGTTGATGGCGTAGGCATTGGCAGCGCCGTCCACCTTCTTCCCCTGGGGAGAGACGTCCCAAAATCCCCTGGATTATCCCCAAACAGGGCAGCCGACACCGCAGAGCCCCCGGAGCGGCGCTCACCTTGGTGGTATCGAAGGAGGCAAAACCCATCATCTTCATCATCTCGATCTCCTCCTCTGTCTTGCCCTGCAAATCCTCCTCTGGGGGAAGAAAATTGGGGATTGAGCAAACGCGGATGTTGGAATGCCCAAAAATCCAGTGGCCCTGGGCTGGTCCTGGCCCCACGGGGCACCTGGGGGTGCTCCAGGAGGAAAATCCTCCCTCACCTGTGATCTGCCGCTCCTTCTTGGAGTCCTTGAGCTCCTTCTTCTCCTCATCCCGGCGCTCCTTGGGCCGTGCTGGCGACGAGGAGCTGGAGCGGTGCCGGCGTGGAGACCTGCTGGGGCACACGAGCTGGGGCTGCAATTCCCACCTGGAATCCCCACCTGGAGCTCCTGCTGTCCCTGGGTCACCCAGGGTGCCCTCACCTAGCTGTCCCCATGCCACGGTGGTGTCCCTGCCATCACCTGGATCACCCCTGCCCTCACCTGGATCACCCCTGCCCTCACCTGGATCACCCCTGCCATCACCTGGATGTCTCTCCCCTCACCTGGATCACCCCTGCCATCACCTGGATAGTCCCACCCTCACCTCCAAGGTCCCTGCCCTCACCTGGATGTCTCTTCTCTCACCTTGAATCATCCCTAATCTCACCTGGATGTCCCTGCCATCACTGGGATCATTCCTGCCATCACCTGGATGTCCCCACCCTCACCTGGACAGTCCCACCCTCACCTCCACGGCCGCTGCCCTCACCTGGATCGTCTCCGGTGCGGGGAGCGGGACCGGCTCCTCCTCCTGTCCCTGTCCCGGGACCGGGATCGCTCCCGCCGCCGCCTGTCCCTGTCCCGGGACGTGGAACGCGAGCGCCGGCGCTCTGCCCGGGGAAGGGTCTCAGCTGCTGCTCCCTGCCCGCTTCCCCACGGAAATCCCACAGAAAATCCCACAGAAAATCCCGGGACAGCCCTTCCCACCCCTCCGGGACAGTTCTGGGCTCACCGACCCCTCTGGGCACCCCCAGGAGATGGGGAAGGAAAAATCTCCAGCTGGAGCTGGGGGGGAATCACCCGGGGGGCTCAGGAGGAGGGGGTGACCATCCCCAAAAACCTGAGCAAGGTGGAGAGGGGCGGCAGGAGGAGAGGAAGAGAAGGAGAGGAAGAGAAGGAGAGGAAGAGGAGAAGGAGAGGAAGAGGAGAAGGAGAGGAAGAGGAGAAGGAGAGGAAGAGGAGAAGGAGAGGAAGAGGAGAAGGAGAGGAAGAGGAGAAGGAGAGGAAGAGAAGGAGAGGAGGAGAAGAAGGAGAGGAAGAGGAGAGGAAGAGGAGAAGGAGAGGAAGAGGAGAAGGAGAGGAAGAGGAGAAGGAGAGGAAGAGGAGAAGGAGAGGAAGAGGAGAAGGAGAGGAAGAGAAGGAGAGGAAGAGAAGGAGAGGAGGAGGAGAAGATAAGGATGGGGAGGGGGAGGAGGAAAAGGAGAGAAGGAAGAGAAGAAAGCGGAGGAGAGGAAGGAAAAGAGGATGAGGAGGAAGAAGAGGATGAGGGACCCACTCCCTGCTCTGCCCCAGAGCACAGAACCGGGGCCTGCCCGCCCTGGAGGGTCTCAGCGCCCCCTGCCCCGTCCCGCTGAGCTCCGCGGTGCCCCCGGTCCCTGCCGGTCCCTCGGTCCCTGCCGGTGTCCCCGGTCCCTGCCGGTGCCCCGGTGCCCCCGGTCCCTGCCGGTGCCCCGGTCCCTGCCGGTGCCCCGGTCCCTGCCGGTGTCCCCGGTCCCTGCCGGTGCCCCGGTGCCCCTCACCCCGCCGCGGCGGTGACCGGGAGCGGCTGCGGCCCATGGGCTCCGCTCAGCGCCGCTGCTGCTCCCGCGGCGGGGCCGTTCCGGGCACCGGGGCCGAGGGACCCGGCCCGGGATCGCTCAGCGCCGCATCGGGACACACCGGCCCGGTCCCGCCGCTCGCCCCGACAGCCCGCCCCGGCCGGGAGGAAGAGGAGGGCCGGGAGGAAGAGGAGGGGCGGAAGGGAAGGGAGGAAGGCGGGGAGGAAGGCGGGGCCGGCCCCGGTACCCGCCGCTCGCGCTGGGCCCGGCCCGGCCCGGCCCGGTCCTTCCCGGCCTGGTCCTTCCCGGCCCGGTCCGGCCTGATCCTTCCCGGCCCGGCCCTTCCCGGCCCGAGCCCCGTCCCTGTCCCATCCCCACAATCCCCTTCCCATCCCATCCCCACTGGAATCCAAATCATCATTCCATTCCCATTCCATCCCCATTTGAATCGAAATCATCATTCCATCCCCATCTCCAACTGCATCCCCGTCCCCACCATCCATCCCCACCACACACCATCCCCATTCCCATCCCATTCTCATCTGAGTCCCAATCCCCCCGTTCCATCCCCATCATCCCTCATCCCTCAGCCTCCAGGTGCCAAACACGGGGTTTATTGTTATTTACACCGGCGTTCCACGCGCTCCCGGCCGCGATTGTCACACGCGGGGCCCGTGCCAGAGCCCGGCCTCCTCCCGGTGCCACCGGGGCCGGAGGAGAGGTCCGAGCCCAGCTGGACTCACCTTTCCCCGCTGCCAAGGGGGGCTCAGCCTGTTTTCCATGGAGGAGGAAAATCAGATCAGGGGTTTGCCCCCACCCTGAGCCTCGCTGGAGCGAGGACAGGGGGAGGTGGGCTGGGGGAATCAGCCCAGGGATGGGATCTGGGCTCTGCTGCCCTTCAGCGTGGCGATGATGGTGGCACTGGAGCCTTCATCCCTTTCAGAGAGGGGAAGCTCAATCCTGGGGTCCCCTGCAAAGCCAGTGGCCCTTGGGAAAAGGGGTGACAAAGAGACAGACCCCTGGGGACAAAAGAGGTGACAAAAGCCCCAGGGACAGACCTTTGGGGAGAAAAGGGGTGACAAAAGCCCCACAGACATACCCTTGGGGAGAAGAGGGGTGACAAAGGCCCTGGGACAGACCCTTGGGGACAAAAGGGGTGACAAAGGCCCTGGGACAGACCTTTAGGGACAAAAGCCCTGGGGGAGCCCCTGGGTGGGGCTGGGGGTGGCAGTGCTGTCATTCAGGAATTCCCCCAGGTGTGACAGTGCTGCCCCAGGGAGGTGACAGGGCTGTCTCTGTTCACCCAGGGGGAACAGGCCCAGGGACAAAAATGGCCTCAAAGAGCCTTAAAGTCAGTGGCAGTGAGGAACAGCCCCCCCGGGACAGGGTTTAGGGGCTCAGAGTCCCCTCGGTGCCCCCCATCCTGCAGGAGTGGGGTGGGGACCTCTGGGGGACACCGGGCAGGGAGGGCAAAGGCTCTTCCCAAAATCCAGGCTCTGGCAAGATCCCTGCCTGGGCTCTCTGCTGTTTTCTGCACCCCCCACGGGCTTCCTGCTCTTCCAGAGGGGTTCCAACCCCCAGGAGCTGTGAGAAGGTTCGAAACCACAGCGATGGCACGTGGGGAAACCCTGCTGGGGCGGGGGCACCCCAAAAAAAGTGTTCTGGGGCATTCCAGACCCCTCCTGGGCAGGGCACCATGGGGCAGGAAGGCTCAGGGCGAGCAGCCCAGGAAATGGGGGAGGATGTGGGGCTGATGCCGGGGATTTGTCCCCAAATGCCGGTGATTTGTCCCCAAATGCCGGCGCTGGAAGGGCTGTGGGGAGCCTGGGCATGGCTGGGGCTGCTCCCGGGAAGGGGTGGCCAGGAGGGAAGGGAACGCCGGAGGGATGGAAGCTGTGCTGGGAATCCAGAGCTGGGAAAAGCAGGGCCCGGCGTGGCCGGCGGGAACTGGCAGCGCGTGTTCATCCCGAAGTAGCACTTAGTGAGTGAGTTTTGCTCAGTTTTAAATAACACAGACAATTCCCGGAGGTTTGTTTTTCCGTTTTCCCAGGTGTGGGTCGTGCAGTGAGGTGGGGCTTTTCCAGCGGTGGGAAATCCTGCTGCTCTTCCTTGGGTGGGGAAAACACGGGCTGGGGGTAGCAGGAGAAGGGGATGAAGCGGTTCTTGAGCCCGAGGAGAGGAAGATTGCAATCCAGGGAGGAAAAACCTCAGGAACAGTGATCCCCCCCTTCAGCTCGGTCCCGTTCTCCTGGTGAAGCCATGGACAGCTTTCCCTGGGGATGAAGCCAGCGCCATTCCAGCAGAGCTTGAAACAGGAGGTGAAGAAAACAACCACAAAACACCCTTTTCTTCCTCAAATCAAGCAGATCTGGGCTCTGGTGGAGAAAATTCAACCCTGGGCCCGCGGTGGGAAGGGGCTGGAGCCCAGGAGGGAGAGGGGAGGGAGAAGCAGCGGGAGTTCCCCAAACGGGGAGCACTGAGCGGGGTGGCCGCCCCCAGAGACGGGTGACAAGGGGACGAGGTGCCCGGTGCCAGGAGCACAGCCGGGTGCCGGGGTTTGGGCCGCCTCGGGCTCTCGGAGATCCGGGGATCCCACGCGCCAGGCCTCGGGACACTCAGGATTCGATCTTCTCCTTCTTTTTGCCTTTTTTCAGGAAAGACGGGGTCCGGAATTTCTTCTTCTTCTTGGAGGGTGATTTGGAGGGTGAACCGTCGGGGGACACGGGGTTGCTGGTCACCGTCTCCTTCTCCTTGGGGGCATCCTGCTCAGCGTTGGTGGTTGTCCGCTCTGTGCCCCCTTTCCCAAGGTTTTCCTCGGTGCTTTGCTCCTCCTCCTTCCCGTTCACCACCGCTGGCGGCTCCTTCTTGGCAGTGGAGTCAGGGGGGGCTTGGCCACCATCGCCCTTCTTGTCACCTTGGGAAGGGGAGAGGGAACTGGGAATTGGGGCAGCAGCACGGGGTCGTGGGGGGGTTTAAATCCCCCTAAATGTCCAGTGGGGCCTGGGCAGGAGCAGGATTGTCCTCCACGAGCGGAGAGCGTCAGGATTTGATCCTGTCCTGCCACAGGCACCACTTCCCTGAGCCCCAGAGCCGCCCCCCTCCCTGCGGGACAAGCGATGTGGGATGGAGAGCCGGGAAGAGGCAGCAGGAGAAGCGGGAGCGACAAAGGAGGGATTCCCCAGGGGAGTTCCTAAGGGGTTTGGAGACCGAAGATCCCCCCGAGCCCGTGTCCCTCGTCCGGGGTGGCCTCTCCGTACTTACTACGGCGCCAGGGATTCGGGGGTAACTCCTTGGGTGACAGGCACACGGGGAGGAAAGAGAAAGGAGACGTTGTGGAGACAGACAGACAGACAGACAGACGGACACCACGAGACACCATGGCAGAGCCAGCAGCCCCCGAGCCCCGGAACAGTGGGAACGGCGCAGCCGCCGGAGCGTGGGGACTGGGGGGCACGGGGTGTCCCCTGCACCCCACAGAGGGGAGCACAGGGTGTCCCCAGCACCCCACAGAGGGGAGCACAGGGGTGTCCCCTGCACCCCATAAAACTGGGCACAGGGGTGTCCCCTGCACCCCACAAAGGTGAGCACAGGGTGTCCCCTGCACCCCACAATGCTGGGCACAGAGTGTCCCCTGCACCCCACAATGCTGGGCACAGGGTGTCCCCTGCACCCCACAAAGCCACCGGCAGACGCTCACGTCCTCCTGCCACGATCCCCATCCATCCCCAGCCCCTCTGGAGCAGGGGACAGCACGAGGTGACACGAGGTGACAGCGAGCTGCGTTTGGCCACAGCCGCCCTCGTCCCCCAGTCCTGCTGCTCACCGGGACCCCCGCCCTCATTTTGGGGTGCTTGTCACCCCACTCACCCTCCGTGGGCTCCGTGGGCTCCGCGGGCTCCGGCTCTGGGGGGGGAGCCCCGCTGTCCTCTGCTGCCGCGTCCTTCTCGCCTGCCACACAGAGACACGCTGGCCAGGGTCCCCTCAGTGCCACCGGGGCTCTCCGGGGCTTTGGGGGCCCCTCCTACCCTGCAGGCGCTTCTTCCTCTCCACCTCCTGCTTGTACTCCTCCAGCTCCTGGTCCGTGAGCTGGCTGAAGGGGTTGGGGGGCTCCGGCTCGGGGGGAGCCTCTTCCCCACCCTCCTTGGCCTCGGCATCCCCCAGGTGGCTCTCGGTGGACTGGAACAGAGCCCAGAGTGGTGTCACCTACCCCAGAGAGATGCCACCCCCCTGGGGCAGTGTCACCCCACCTGGAGAGATGTCACCCCCCTGGGGCAGTGTCACCCCTTCTGGAACTGCGTCAACAGCCCCACCCCAAGCAATGTCAGTCCCACTGGAGCAGTGTCCCCACCCCAGCAGTGTCCCCACCCCAGCACTGTCCCCTGTGCCCTCGGGGTGCTGTCTCTGTCTGCCTGGTGTCACCTGTGCAGTGCTGGGGACACAGGGTGACACAGGGTGACATGGGGTGTCTGTCCCAGGGCTGGGGACACCAGGGGACACCAGGGGCACGGGGTGACAGGGGGTGTCTGTCCCAGGGCTGGGGACACCAGGGGACACCAGGGGACACCAGGGGACACCAGGGGACACCAGGGGACACGGGGTGTCTGTCCCAGGGCTGGGGACACCAGGGACACCAGGGGACCCCAGGGGACCCCAGGGGACCCCAGGGGACCCCAGGGACACGGTGCCGTACGGGGCTGCGGCTGCTCTCGCCGATGACGCTGGCCAGCAGCTGCGACTGGGGCCCGGCTGACTTCACGTCCTGGCGGTTTTGCTCGCGGATCTGTGGGGAGGACGGGGCTCAATCCCCCTGCCAGGACAGGACAGGACCAGCCCCCCCAGCCCCCCCAGCCCCCCCCGTCCCACCTTGTTGCGCATCTCCAGCACCTCCTGCGGGTCCGTGTAGAGCGGCACGAACTGGTTGGGGTTCTCGATGCGGATGGGGGTCCCGCTGCTGCCCTTCTCCACCTCGTCTGCCCGCAGCCACTGCACAGCCAGGACAGGGTTGGGGAGCAGGAGACCCCCAGGAGAGAAAGGGGACCCCCACAAATGCAACTTGTACCAGGGAAGTTACAGCCAGACCAGTGCTGCACGTCAGAACCCTCAGGTGGGATGATCACTCCTGGTTATTTATTTATTTATCTGTTAGTAGCTGGGCTGACATTTTCTTTATTCTTTGTACAGAGGGAAGACCCCGATGGTAGAGGGGAAGCACCAGAAATGCAGGGAGACCCCAATAAACACTCCCTGCATAGAAGGAAGGCCTGACTAAATACATCATACATAGGAGGAGGACCCCAAAAAAAGCATCTTGTGTAGATGGGAGACCTTGATAAACAGGTGTTACATGGAGGAAAGACCCCAATAAATGCATCTTGCACAGGGAGAGACCCCAATCATAGAGGGGAGACCCTTATAAATAGGTCTTGTGTAGAAGGGAGACCCCAATAAAAGCATTTTATGTAGAGGGGAGACCCTGATGAATGTGGGGAGAGCCCAAACAACGCATCTTGTCTAGAGAGGAGACTGCAATAAATAAACATCTTACGTAGGCTAGAGACCCTGATAATAAAGTGGAGACCCCAATAAATGCATTTTGTACAGAGGGAAGACCCCGACAAAGCCAACGTCACTCACCCCCACGAGAATGGGATGGTGGGATCCCAAAATAATCACCATTACAGGATGCGGGTGGTGCCTGGGCCTCCCCACAGCCCTGATTTTATTGGGATCCACCAGCAGGACACCCTCCAGCTGCCTGGCCGTGACCCCCAAGCCCTGCTGCCCCCTCACCGTGGTCTTTGTCCTCTGGGCACCGGCGCTGCCCTGCGCCTCCTCAGCCAGGCTGACCCTGGTGTAGGTGTTGGGGGTGTTGAGCCACCTCGTCTTCTCCTTCTGCTGCTTCTGGGCGTGCTGGCGCAGGGCGGGGGGCCCGGCGGGCTCCTCCTGGAACACGAAGGCCGTCACGGTGGCGGGGATCAGCACGTCGCTCTTGGGCTTGCTCTTCTCCTGCACCAGCGGGTAGCGGTACGTGTAGCCCGTGCGGTAGCCCTGGAACGGCACCGGAGGGGAGTCAGGCACCCAGGGGTGAACCGAGGCCTGGGTGGGGTTTTGGCACAGACAGGGAGAGATTGTGTAAAAGAAAAGGTTCATAAGTTCCCGTAAAGAAGAATTAGAGGGATGAGAACACAGCCAGCGCTGTTTAATAACCTATTTTAGTGAAAGAACCTTTTGCACCTGGATAAACTATGGGTCTGTCCCATGGGGCTCAGTGAACAAGGTATGTAAACATCTCTAGAATGAGAAAATTTGATTGTGTTCAACAGCCCTTAGCAAGCACTGAACTGGGCTTTGCTGCACTGCTGACCAATTCGGTTTAACCAGTGCATTCTGACATTTCCTGTAAATATGTGAATAAAGCAGGGCCTCTCCTGCAGGAAGAAACACGGCTCTCTCTGCTTTCTCACAGCCCTTTTTGGGGTGACTCAGGTGGGTTTTGGTGCTCACCAGGTTGTCCAGCATCCTCATGAGGGCCTCGAACTCGTGCTCGCCCAGGCGGCTCTTGTGCAGGGGCCCGAAGGTGGTGCCGGCGCGGCGCAGGGCGCCCAGCCCGTGGGGCACACGCTGCTGCGCCCGCTCCAGCACGATCAGGTTCTCCGCACCGCCCGCGCTCGCCAGCGCCGACACCTGCGGGCACCGGCACCGCTGGGACACTGGGACCACCCCACCACCGCCCCCGAGCCCGCACACCAGGGAGGAACAGGGCACAGGGCTGGAAATGAGGGGCACAGGGATGGCACAGCTTACTGCCTGGCGCACTCTGGCTCAGCTGAGCCTGGCACAGCTCAGGGCACAGGGCTGGAAATGAGGGGCACAGAGCGGGCACAGCTCACTCTCTGGGGCACTCTGGCTGAGCTGAGCCTGGCACAGCTCAGGGCACAGGGGATGGAAATGAGGGGCACAGGGCTGGCACTGCTCACTCCCTGGGGCACTCTGGCTCAGCTGAGCCTGGCACAGCTCAGGGCACGCTCTCTGGGCTGGCTGCAGAGCCCCAGCCCCGCACTCACCTGCACCTCGCAGGCCGCCTGCAGGTGGAAGATGCTGTAAAACGCCTCCTCGGCCGTGTCCCCCAGCGCCAGCACGCCGTGGTTCCGCAGCACCAGCACCTGCGGCGGGATGTCAGCGGGGCACGGCGGGGCGACCCCCGCGCCCCCCAGGTGTCCCCTCACCTTGCAGGTGGGCCCGAGGCACTTCTGCAGCTCCACGCGGTCGGCCTCGTCCTCCACCTCCCCGCGGAAGTCGAAGTAGGCGACGTCCCCCAGGAGGAGAGCGGCGCGGGAGATGGGCAGGAGCCCGCAGCGCATGGCCGACACCTGGGCACGGGGGGAAGGAGGGCAGGGGGCCAAGGAACCCCAAACACCCCTCCAAAAACACAGCAGCCACAAAAACCCCACCAACAGCCGCCCCAAAAAAACCCCACCAACAGCCGCCCCAAAAAAACCCCACCAACAGCTGCCCCAAAAAAACCCCACCAACAGCCACCCCAAAAAAAACCCCACCAACAGCCGCCCCAAAACAACCCCACCCCTTCCAAAACTTCCCAACCCCAACTCTTCCCAACCCCAAACTCCCCCAAAAGCCTCCACATTCCCCTAAGCCCCAAACCCCCCATCCCTCCCAAACCCAACCTCCACCCAAACCCCAAATTCCTTCAAACACTTTTCCACCCTTCCAAGTTTCCCGAAACCCAAGCTCTCCCAAAATCCCCCAGATTCCCCTAACTCCCAGCCCCCCAAATCACTCCAAACACCTTTCCACCCTCCAAAACCCCTCAAACCCACCCTGCCCCCAAACCCCCCTCGTTCCCCTAACCCCCAGGCCCCTCTCCCGTGCCCCCAGCCCGTTCCCAGCCTACGGCAGCTGCAGCCGGGGTGTGCAGCCGCACGATGCAGCGGATGTCGGGCCGCGCGGCGTAGATGGCGGCGTGCAGGCTGAAGCTGCGCGCGTCGGGGGCGAAGCCGGTGCTGCCCTGCTCCACCACGGCCCCCAGCACGTTCACCTTCACCTGGGGGGCACGGGGGGCTCAGGGGCTGCTCCCCGCCCCAGGCAGCCCCGGGGAGGGAGGCGGGGGCTCACCAGGCTGGCCGCTGTCACCTCGCTGCACGCCAGCCCCTGCGGGGCCACCAAGAAGTGCTCCTGCTCCTTGCTGACCCGCAGCTGCCGCGGGGACAGGGTGGGGTGAGAAGCAGCCACAAAAAAACCCCCAAATTAACACCCCTGCGAAAGCTCCACACCTCTTTGATGGCCCCTAAACCATTAAAAAACTTCCAAAACTCCCCCCAACCAAACCCCCAAAGGAACACAACAACAACAACCCCAAAACCCCACAAACCACCCCCCAAAATTACCCACGAACCCTCAAAATCCCAGCACACCTCAAATGTCCAAAACCCAAATCACCGACATCCCTCAAGGAACCCATCAGCTCCCAACCTTCCAAAACCCACCAACCCCCAAAATCCCACCAAAGAACCCCAGGCCCCTTATTTTTCAACTCCCAAAATCCCACCAAAGAACCCCAGGCCCCCTATTTTTCTGGGTCAGTGACATTTTGTCTCAGTGACAGCAGCATGTCCCAGTTGTGCCGGGCCTGTATCAGTCCAGCAGGCACCAAATGCCCCTGAGCAGCCAAAACAAGCCCAAATCCCCCCCAGACAAGCCCAAACCCCCCCTGTGGTGGTTCTGGGGCGCTCACAGTCACGGCGGCGTGTCCCAGCTGTGCCCAGCCGTACAGGTCCAGCAGCCGGTGGATGCTGCCCACCTTGCAGCGCATCAGCCGCTCGCCCTTGGCCAGCGCTGGCCCCTCGGTCCCGTGCAGGTCATTGATGGGGGTGACTGACGCCAGCCCTGGGGATCGGGGACCCCCCAAAACCACGGGGGGTTCAGCGGGGCAGAGGGTTATGGGGATGGGTTTGGTGGCTGCCAAGGTTTGGTGGTTCCCCAGGTTTGATGACCCCAAAGATTTGGTGGGCCTCAAAGGGTTTGGGGGATCCCAGGGGTTTGGTGGCACCCAAAGAGTTGGTTCCAAAGGTTTGGGAGTCCCCAAGATCCCACAATTTGGTGGTCTCAAAGGTTTGATGACCCCAAAGGTTTCCGGGGTCCACAAGGTCCCAAAGGTTTGGTGGTTCCAAAGCATTTAAGGCCCCTGAAGGTTTTTGTGAGATTTGGAGGTTCCAAGGTTGCAAAGATTTGGCGTCCCCCAAGGATTTGGGGTTTTCCCACACCGCCCCTCGTCCCACAGAGCCCCACGTACCCATGGGGGAGGTGGGCAGGGCGGCGGGGGACGTGGTGGCCATGAAGTCGGCGATCTGCCGCAGCGCCCACACGTGCGACGAGTTGTTCCCCTTCTTCATCTGCTCCTGGATGAGGCTCTCCAGCTCCTCCCGGAAGGACTGCGGCACGGGGACAGTGACAACGGGCTGGGTGGCACTGCTGGGCGCATGGGGCAGGGCCAGTGCCGCCGGCTTGGTGGCACCGGCAGGTTGGTGTCGGGGACACCATCGCTCTGGTGGCACTGCCAGCTTGGTCACACTGATAGTGACACCGCCGGCTCGGTGCCACAGGGGTGATGGTGGCACGGTGATGGTGGCACTGCCATCCCGGTGTCGGTGACACCCCTGGAGTGCTGGCACAGCGGCAGCAGTGGCGCTGGCAGCGCAGTGACAGTGGCACCGCGGTGGCACTGCCAGGTGGGGACACGCACGACCGTGTGGTGACATCTTGGGGACAGCAGGGGTGGCGCCAGGGACAAGAAGAGGCTGGGGACAGGAGGGACGGGATTTGGGCCAGGAGGGGTGGGGGACGTGCAGGAAGAGGTTGGGGACACCAAGGACAGGGTTTGGGGGGCGGGACGGGGTTGGGGACAGGAGGGATGCGGTGGGGGATGTAAAGGAAGGGGATGGCACAGCAGGGACGGGGTTGGGGACAGACGGGACGGGGTTGGGGACAGCCGGGACGGGGTTGGGGATATAAAGGAAGGGGATGGCACAGCAGGGACGGGGTTGGGGACAGCAGGGACGGGGATGGCACAGCCGGGACGGGGTTGGGGACAGCAGGGACGGGGTGGGGACAGGCCCAGCGCGGCCGGGGGCTCACCGGGCTCTGCAGGATCATTGTCACCCGCTTCTTCTGCTCCATGAGGTTGAAGTCCTGGCGCAGGTCCCCGGCCCCGCTCCGCGCCCGCAGGAACTCGGGGTCCTCCCGGGGGGCGCAGCGCGGCCCGGGGGGCTCGGGCAGGGGCTCGGGGCTGGCGGCCGTGCTCATCCTGGCGACGCGGGGACACCCACCGGGGACACCCACCGGGGACACGCGGCGTCAGCGCCGGCGGCCCCGGTACAGATTGGGGAGAAAGCACCGAAAACACGGAGCGGCTGCGGCCGGCAGATAAGGGCGGCGGGGACACGCCCTGCCCGGGGCTCGGGGACAGCGTGGGGACACCGCGAGGGGACACTGCCCGGGCTGGGTGGCAGCCGGTCACAGCCGAGAGCGGGCACGGGGCAGGGATGGAGCTGGGAATGGGCACAGGGCACCCATGGGAGCTGAGAATGGGCACGGGGCACCCATGGGCGCTGGGAGCGGGCACAGGGCACCCATAGGAGATGGGAACGGGCACAGGGCACCCATGGGAGATGGGAACGGGCACAGGGCACCCATGGGAGCTGAGAATGGGCACGGGGCACCCATGGGAGCTGGGAACGGGCACAGGGCAGGGATGGAGCTGGGAACGGGCACAGGGCACCCATGGGAGCTGAGAATGGGCACAGGGCAGGGATGGAGCTGGGAACGGGCACAGGGCACCCATGGGAGCTGGGAACGGGCACAGGGCAGGGATGGAGCTGGGAACGGGCACAGGGCACCCATGGGAGCTGGGAACGGGCACAGGGCAGGGCAGGGATGGAGCTGAGAATGGGCACAGCTCAGGGCACCCATGGGCGCTCCCCTACGACCCCAGGCCCGAACTGGGGTCACCCACTCTGGGGGGGCTCGGTGCCACTCTGCCGCCACACGCGGGGGCGATTCCCGGCCCGCGGACCCCAAAAGGGCCCCAAAGACCCCCCAAAAGGACCCTCCCCTCTCTCCCCCAGGTCACCGTCCCCGCTGCCAAGGCCCCCCAAACGCAGGGGGGGCGGCTCCCCAAACCCGGGGGTGACCCCCGTTCCCCCGCTCAGGGCAGAAGGGAACCCCCGGATTTCGGCGCTCGGAGCGCACCTGTCTCACCCGGGCCGGGATAAACCCCGGCTGACCCGGGGCGCGGGGCCCGGGCAGCCCCCGGAGGAGGCCGGGGGGGCTCGGGGGGCTGGGCCGGGACCCCCGCCCCGGTTCCCCCCCCCAGCATCCCCCCCCGCCTCCGCCCGCGCCGCGCCCAGCGCCGCTGCGGCAGCCGCAGGGCGGGGGGGGAGCGAGCACCGGGCTGGAACCGGGCTGGGAACGGCGCCGGGAACCGGGAGGGAACCGGGGTGGGGCGGGGGGGCCGCAGCATCGCCCCCAGCCCGGCGGTGGCCGTGGCGGGAGGGATGGGCTCGGGTACCACCGAGGGATGCAGGCCCAGGAGCGGGGGGAGGGGTGCGATGCAGCCCCCCCACACCTGCATGCAGCAAACTGGGGGGGCGCTGAGGAAAGGGGGGGTCCCCCAGCCTCCCCCCAGCCTCCCCAAATCCCCCCTCCCCCGAGCGCTGCTGCGGCCGGGGGCTGCTGCCATCACCCACCTTCCTCCTCCTCCTCCTCCTCCTCAGAGCATCCTGACAAAGGGCCGCCCCCCCGCACGCCACGCGTGTCCCGCACCTCCCCCCGCCCCGCCCTCCCCCCGCACCCCCGGGACCGCGATCCCGCCGACAAACGGGGGGGGACCCCCAAACCCAGCGCCGCTGCTCCCGCCATCCCTTTTTATTGTGCAATTAACTGTGTCCATATTAACGAGCGTTAATGAGCCCTCACCTTGGGGGGGGGGGGCTAATTACAATTTCATAAAGAAATTAATTACAGCTCTTCCCAGCCCCCCCCCCCCCGCCAACCTCTGCGTTTTAGGGGTGGCAGACCCCCTCCGCCCCCCAGATTTGGGGTGAGGGTTTCTTGGGGTGCAGGGCTCCAGGACAGGAGCGTGACCCCAAAAATTCAACCTGGAGCCTTGAACTCGGCTTCTGGGGGAGACCCCCCCTCCAGAGCCCCCCCGGACTTTTAGGGGCATCAGGAAAAACCTTAAAAAAAAAAAAAAAAGGTTTTTCTCACCTTTGGACTATTTCGGGGGGAAAAGGCGATCCCGAGTATCACCCAGATGCTCCCCCAAACCCAGACCCCATGGGGGACCCCCCCTAAGCTTTCTGTCCCGCCCCCCCTCAGGTGCCCCCAAACCACCAGGGGGTCCCCAAGGTGATCCTTGAGCTGACCCACCCCCAAATTCCCGGGGTGCCCCCCCAAATTCCCGGGGTGCTCTGCCCCCCCAAATTCCCGGGGTGCTCTGCCCCCCACTCACCGTCCCCCTCAGCAGTGCCCCAGGCTGGGGGTGTCCCCAGGGGCAGGGGGGGTCCCGGCCAGGCCAGGCTCAGGGTGTCCCCCCCCTGCAGCGCCCCCCGACTCCTGCTGAGCCTCGAGCTCCTGGGAAAAGGGGAATTTAAAAAATATATATCAGAATTGGGGTGTGCCCCACAATAATAACACCCCCCCCCCAATAATAAATCAATTTAATTATTAAATTAATTCCAATCTCAAGCAGGAAAATCCCCCACCAGCACCCCAAATTGTAGGGGGTTTGTGGGTCAGTTTTGGGGCCTACCCTCAATAATAATTCGATTTTTAAAAAATTTTTAAATTTAAAGGGTCAGTTTAGGGTCAGGTTTGGGGTCACACCTGGCAGTCCTGCAGCACACAGATGTTTCAGGGGTTTAGGGTCAGGTTTAGGGTCAGTTTAGGGTCACACCTGGCAGTCCTGCAGCACACAGATGTTTCAGGGGTTTAGGGTCAGTTTAGGGTCAGGTTTAGGGTCAGTTTAGGGTCACACCTGGCAGTCCTGCAGCAGGCGGATGTGTCAGGGGTTTAGGGTCAGGTTTAGGGTCAGTTTAGGGTCAGGTTTAGGGTCACACCTGGCAGTCCTGCAGCACACCCCGCAGCAGGCAGATGTGTCAGGGGTTTAGGGTCAGTTTAGGGGCAGGTTTTAGGGGCAGGTTTGGGGTCAGACCTGGCAGTCCTGCAGCACACCCCGCAGCAGGCAGATGTGTCAGGGGTTTAGGGTCAGTTTAGGGGCAGGTTTTAGGGGCAGGTTTAGGGTCACACCTGGCAGTCCTGCAGCACACAGATGTTTCAGGGGTTTAGGAGCAGGTTTAGGGTCAGTTTTGGGGTCAGACCTGGCAGTCCTGCAGCACACCCCGCAGCAGGCAGATGTACTGCGCCGCCGCCCGCAGCGTGTCTGCCTTGCTGGGCCGGCGGTCCCGTGGCAGCAGCGGCACCAGGGAACGCAGCTGGGAGAAGCCTCTGTTGAGGTTCCGGATCTGCGGGACACAGGGACCCCAAAGGGACCCGGTCAGAGACCCCAAAGGGGAGACCCCAAAGGGACCCGGTCAGAGACCCCAAAGGGACCCCAGTCCCAGACCCCAAAGGGACCCGGTCAGAGACCCCAAAGGGACCCCAGTCCCAGACCCCCATTAGAGTCCAAAGGGGGACCCCCAGGTTACCCCAAGAGCTGAGTTAGACCAGGATCCCCCCAAGATTAAACTGGAACCACCCCCAAGATTGAACTGGATTAAGCCAGACCCACCCATAACCAAAATTGGGGTCCCCTCCCGAATTAAATCCCACCCTGGGATTGAACTGCCCCCCGAGGATTAACGTGGCTCCCTCACAGAATCAAACTGGGGTCTCCAGGATGAAACCGGGACCTTTAAATTGGGATTAAGCTGGGCTCACCCACAATTAAACCGAGACCTCAGAACTAAACCGACCCCAGGACTGAACTGCCCAACACAGAATTAAACCAGACCCTGCTGAATTCAACCAGCCCCCGGGTTAAACCCACCCCTCAAATGCAAAGTCCCCCCGCTGTGGCCCAGCCTGGGGGGGTTCGGGGGTCGCTCACCCTCTCCCTCTCCTTGGCGTTGGCCGCCTGCCGCCGCTCCAGCACCTTGGCCGGGTCACCCATGGGCTCATAGACCCCGGTGGGGCCGCGCCGCAGGCGGGTGATGGTGGCCAGCTGGGGCAGGGGCCCGAAGCGCTGGGTCAGGATGTCCCCCAGCACCTCGGGGGGCGGCGTCGGCTGCAGGACCCCTGAGGGCTCCAAGGGCTGCGAGACCCCCGGGACCCCCGGGACCCCTGAGGGCTGTGGGACCCCTGAGGGCTCCGAGGGCTGCGGGACCCCTGAGGGCTCCAAGGGCTGCGGGACCCCCGTGACCCCCGGGAGCCCTGAGGGCTGTGGGACCCCTGAGAGCTCCAGGACGTCCGAGGGCTCCAAGGGCTGCAGGACCCCTGAGGGCTCCAAGGGCTGCGAGACCCCTGAGGGCTGCGGGACACCTGAGGGCTCCAAGGGCTGCGAGACCCCCGGGACCCCTGGGAGCCCTGAGGGCTGCGGGACCCCTGAGGGCTGCGGGACCCCTGAGGGCTCCAAGGGCTGTGGGACCCCTGAGGGCTCCAAGGGCTGCGGGACCCCTGAGGGCTCTGAGGGCTGCAGGACCCCCAGGGCCCCCAAGGGCTCTGGGGCTCCCAAAACCTCCAATGGCTTTGGGACCCCTGAGGGCTCTGGGACCCCTGGAGGATCTCGGTCCCTTGAGGGCTCTGGGACCCCCAAGACCCCCGAGGGCTCCAGGACCCCTGAGGGCTCCAAGGGCTCCAGGACCTCCGAGGGCTCCAAGGGCTGCAGGACCCCCAAAGGCTCTGGGGCCACCAAAACCTCTGATGGCTTTGGGACCCCCGAGGGCTCCAGGGCCTCCAGCCACCCCCCAGCCCTGCTGGCCTCACCCATCCCACAGAAAGGCCAAAGCTGCACCCCCTGAGCTGACTCAAAAAAGAGGGGAAACTGAGGGGGAAAGGGCCCTTAAATAGCTGGGAGCAAATGAGGCACAGGTGGGACCTGTTTGGGCCTGACGAGCTCCGGCTGTGCCTCGGTTTCCTCACACACTGTCCTGGCCTGGTACCCCAAAATCTTAATTCCTGGCTGTGCCTCAGTTTCCTCATTCACCATTCAAAAATCCTGATCTCTGCTGTGCCTCAGTTTCCTCATTCACCATCCAAAATCCTGATCCCTGCTGTGCCTCAGTTTCCCCATCCACCATCCCAAAATACTGATCCTGCTGTGCCTCAGTTTTCTTATCCACCATCCCAAAATCCTGATTCCTGTCCCCTCTCGCAGTCCCACCCTGCTATCCAGGGTGAGCCCCCCAGAAGGACCCCCCAAAAGTGGCTGAGGGACATTTGGGGTCCGGGTGGGCTCCTGGATGGGCTCCGGAGAGGAGAGGGCGGGTTTGGGATGCTTGGCGTGTCCCCGGGAGCCCTTTTGGGGGGAAAGCAGAGAGAAGAGGTTTGGTCCCGCCGGGCCGGGCTCGGCAGGTGGCACTGTTAGTCCCTGCCATGCTGCAGAGCTCGGGGAGGCTGGGAATAAAAATAAATATAATAAAATAAAAATGCCCAACCCGCCCTTTTTCCGCCAAAAAAAGGCAGGTCGCTCCGGGTTATCCGCCGTGGGGGGATGCCCACCGCAGCCCCGCATGGATCCCCCCTCCCCGAGCCCTCCGGGGGCTCGTCCCGGTGGTCCCGGGGCAGCCGGGGGCTCCCGCGGGGCACGGACGTGTCCCCTGGGCAGGGCTGGGGCTGCCCTGCCTCAGTTTCCCCAAAGCCGCTGGGGAACACCATCCCCAGCCGCTCCGGGAGGTTCCTGCTGTGCCCATGAGCAGAGTGAGAGTGCAGAGCAAACTCTAAAGACATCCAAAAGTGACCCTAAAATCAGAGGCACCTGGGAGCTGAGGATTTTCCTAAGACCTTAGAAAAAACCCAATTTTCCTCTCTTTAATGCTCCGTAATGAGCTTCCCTGTCCCGCAGCGGGCTCTGGATAATCCCATTATCCCTGCCCCGATCTGGGCATAATTCTGGTGTCTGACAGATTAATCTGAGGGCAGGGAGGTGTAAAGTCACCCCAAAAACGGCCCCGTGCCCCGCTGCTCACCTTTTGGGGTTCTAAGGGGTCACAGTTATTAGTGACCTCGTTTTAGGGGTTGCAGGTATTGGGATTTGGGGTTATTAAGGGACACACTTATTAGGGGTCACGGTGAATAGGGTTTGGGGTTATTAGCTGTTTTAGGGGTTACAATAATTAGCATTTGGGGTTTTTTAGGGATCGTGGTTTTAATGGGTCACAGTTGTTAGGGCTCACATTTTTCATGGGTTGCTATTTTTTGGGGTCACTGTTATTAGGGACCTCATTTCTCAGGGGTTGTGTTTTGGGGCGCTGTGCTGGGAATTGGGAACGCGTTTTCCCACTCCTCCAAGCTCAGTTTTCCCTCCGGTTTCCCCTCTCTGAGCTCGGGCAGCAGCTCCCAGCCCCTGTCCCAGGGTGCTCCCTAAATCCAGGGGTCTCCGCCCCCCACCCCACCCACCCCGACGCCCGTGACCCATCGAGGAGGTGACATTTGACACCCAGACTGGAAAGGCGAGCCCGGGTTTCCACTTTAGTGCTGGGGTGGTCTGGGAAGGTCAGGGAAGGGCAGGGAAAGGGGACGGTGCCAGGGCTAATCTGGGCCCGGGGCAGCTGCTGGCACGGGATTAAACCCATTCTTTCCTGGCACGGTCCCAAATGCCCCGGGAGTGTTCGGTCCCTGCCAGCCTCGTGCCAGCCTCGTGGTGCCCAGATAAAATAATAAAATATTTTATGGGGAGTAAGATATTCCAAGGGTCCCAAAGGCCCCGGGAGTGTTCGGTCCCTGCCAGGGCTGCCAGCCTCGTGGTGCCCGGATGAAATGATAAAATATTTTATGGGGCAAAATATTCCAATGGGATTTATGGGGACGTGGCAATGCCTGTGGCCTCTTCCACCTCTCCATCCTCCTCCTCTTCCACGTGCTGCCAGGCACATTCCAGGGCACCTGCTCTGCTGGCATGTGTCCTGGCACCCCGGGCATGGTTCACAGCCTGTCCCTGAGCTCCCCAAGGGCCTGGCTGGGTTGGCACTGGGATCCCATCCCGTTTCCAGCGGGTTCTGGGTGCCCAGGGGCGGGAAATGCGGGAGAGCAGCTATCCCCGTGGACAGGGGGACTCCTGGAAAACTTTTGTCCTGTCCCTAAAGTCCCGAAATGCTCTCCTGCTGCTGTCCGTGCTGCTGGTGGCATCAGCTCCGCAGTGTCCCGGTGCCCTGATGTGGGACAGAGACATCTCTCCTGCCTCAGTTTCCCCAGCTCACCCAGACGGGTGTAGGGATATTTGGGAGGGAATTCCAGAGGTGCTTTCGCCCCTAAACCCAACCCTGGGGTTGGTGCTGTAGGATTTGTGGTCTGGTTCCCAGTGCAAGGCCTGGGGGTCCAAGGGACACTCTGGGGACATCCCAGGGACATCCCGGGGGACATCCCAGGGACATCCCGGGGACATCCCGGGGACATCCCAAGGACATCCCGGGGGACATCCCGAGGGACATCCCAGGGACATCCTGGGGGACATCCCGGGGACATCCCAGGGACATCCCGGGGACATCCCGGGGGACATCCCGGGGGACATCCCGGGGGACATCCCGGGGACATCCCGGGGGACATCCCAGGGGACATCCCGGGGACATCCCGGGGGACATCCCGGGGACATCCCGGGGAGCATCCCAGGGACATCCCAGGGACATCCCAGGGACATCCCGGGGGACATCGCCATCCTGCCGGAGCCAGGCGCAGCCCTCCTTGTGAAGGGATTCTCTGTCCCCCTTCCGTGCTGAAGAGCCGGGGGTGCGGAGCTGGGGTGGAATTGTCCCGGCCACCCACGCAGATTCCCGGGGGTCGCCACGCCCGGGTTATCCCTCGGGCGGGAGGCACAATAAAGGGATTTATTGGCCGGGCATCGCTTGGATCCCCTCCACCCCACCCATCACCCGGGGGGATATTAAACAATCCTGGCTCGGTTAAATCCAAATAACGACTCAAACCCCCCCGGGGCCGGCGGGAGGGAGTAAATCCGGACAGGCAGCGATGCTCCGGCGCTCATCTCCCACCAGCAGCGCTCGCTTTCCCGGCTTTTCTCCTCCCGGAGGTTCCCGGGACGGGGACCCGGGCCGGGGCCGCCGCTGCCCGGCCGGAGCGGGGAACAAAGGCGGCTCTGTCCGGGCGGCTGAAGGAGCCTTTGTGCCCGCCGAGCTGCGGGCGGCACAGCGGCCATCCCAGCAGGAGCAGCCCGACTTTCCCCGTCCGACAGCAGAGGAATTTCGGAGATAAAAGGACTTTCCACCGTCTGAAGGCGCTGCCAAAGCCCTGTCGTGAGGCAGGTGGATGCGGGGACAGCTCGGGCGGGGGTCCCCTGTGAGCCCCGGGCTGACCCCGGTGGCCATGGGCCCTGGGAATGGGGTGGGATGGGAAGGGGACAGCGCTCAGGATGGGGACAGGGATGGGACCAAGGCTGGAGCTCAGCCTTGCCCTGCCAGCTCTCACAGCGCTCAACCAAGGGCTGGGCTCAGCATCTGGATGAAGATTTAGGTCTGGTCTTAACCTTTAGCCCGTCCAGGTGGTGCCTAAATCCAGCCTGGAGCCTGCTGCTCCCAAATCTGGGCTGTACCCCTTCTCTCAAGCCCGTCCCTCTGTGTGAGGGGAAAACCTGGGGCTGCAGCTCCATCCTCTTCCTCCCTGACAGCAATTCCTGCCTTTCCCATCCCAGATAACCCTCGGCACCGGCTGCTGCTGCTGCTGCTGGGCCCTCCGAGCCGGATGATCTCCGTTAGAATTAATAAATCAATCGACCTTAACCCTCTTTGCCGGCAGCTCCTCTGCAGCAGCAGGGACAGGGCCCTGCGTGCCCACGGTCACGTAGGGATGGACCCACGGAGCCGGGGGGGGAGGGAGGAGCCAGGCAGCTCTTTTCCCCCTTTTTTATCCCCCATCCCGGTTTTCGGGGCTCTCCGGGGCTCTCCGAGCTCCTCCTGAGCACGGGAGCCGCCGCTGCTGCTGTGGCAGATGCTGCAGATCCCAATTAGGCCTTTGCCGGGTCAGAGCCGTGGGGGAGGCCACGTGTGCCTGTGCCACGTGTGTCCTCACACGCGGCACACATTTGCACACGCATGAGGAGTCTCGGCAGGCCTCGTTCCACCTCGGGGCTCCCAGCCCCTCACACGCATCCAGCCCACCCCAGCGGGGGCTTCTCCATTTATTTCCCCTCTCCGGGAGGGGGAAGGAGACAGAGTTCCTCACTCAGACTCTGCCCTGGGACTGGCGAGGTCACCCCCAGGGGCACAGAGCCATGCGGGGCTGATCCATGATCTGGCTGCTCCTTCTCGCCGTGCCCGGGGGTCGCGAGCGGAGGGGTCCGGAGCAGAGGGGGACTCCGTGGGGCTGCCAGTGTGGGGCAGGAGCAGCCCAGACCTTCCAGAGAGCATCTCAGCCCAGACAGCTCCGTCACTGCCGTGCCAGGGCTCCGGGATTACAGCGCTGCTGCTCAAATCCCGTCTCCATCCGCGCCGTGCCCAGCCAATGACCTCGGCGCTGGCACGCAGGGCCTTCCTCCGCAGGGATCAGAGATGATAAAGCCCTCCCAGACCCAGACCCAGACCCAGACCCAGCTCAGCACAGCCAGGGCTCGCTCTCTGTCTCAGCAAACCACCCTGGATGCTCCGAGGATGATGTCCACGCACACGGAGAACGGGATGGATGAGGAGAGCTTCGCCCGGGTAAGGGGATTCTCACCCTGGGTTCGGGGTCGGGAGGGGGTTTGTGCTCCCTGCGCCTGCACTGGGACCGGCGGTGGATGGAGCACAAAGGGGCGAGAGGGGAGCAGCTGTGGGTGTCCAGGGACGGCGGGGTGGGCACTGGGGAATAGCTGATGGCAGGGTGCAGGGCAGCTGCTGCTCCACTCTCCGGCCTCGACCAGGGGGGGTGATGTTGGAGCAAGGTGGGATGTAACATTTGGGGTGGTTTTCTGCCATCAGAGTGAATTGGTGGAGATACACGTGCCTGGGGTCTGCGAGCCGTGACTTTCTGCCAGGGAGTGGGGAGACGCTGCCTGTGATGAGCAGGGGTCCCGGGAGAGCCCACTCTGCTCCTGTATCCCAGAGAGAGCTCTGGGTGCACTTAGGAACCCTTCTGGACGTGGGGGACGGGGGGTTTCAGTCCTTCTCTGCCCCCAGCATTGCCGTGCCTTTGGGCTGGGACTGGGCAGGGGCAGCAGGGGGGCTCCCAGCCCCTCGCCCCCTCTTCCCTGTGCCTCACCCAGAGCCCAGGATGGGCTGGCAGGCACATCCACCCGCACGTGGCTTTGCCACGCTGGTGTGGACACTGCCAGGACAGCACAGGACTGAGGGGAGGGGTTCTGTCACGGCTGTGCGCCCGTGCCGTCCCCAAATCCGAGTTCCGGGCCATTCCCTGCCATGGGGTGGGAAGGATTCCACGGGGTCGGTGCAAGCGGGACGTGGCCGTGGCACAGGAGCCCCAGGGTGGTTATCCCACCCCACGAGACCCCCGGGATCCGGCTTGCCCACATCCACAGTGCTGGGAGAAAGGAGGAGGCAGAGGGGAGGGAAAAGCCCCCGGTGCTGCTCGTGTCCCTGCTCCGGTTTGGTGGCATCAGGGACGTGGCATGTCCCACGCCGTGGGACGTGGCGGTGCCCACGGAAAGCGCCCCAGGGATGCAGAGAAACCTCCCCTTTCCGCTAGGATTGGGAAAGTGCTGCACATGGGAGTTGCTCATGCCAGGGCACGGTGACTCAGGGTCCTGCGTCCTGACCGGGACTTTTGACCTCGGAGCCGTGCCAGCTTTGGTGGCACCTGGCACGGCCCCTCTGGGATGCAGGATGGTCCTCAGCTCTCCCTGCATGTGGCCCTGCTGGCTTTTGGGGACACTTTGTTCTTGCCACAGCTCCTGCCAGCTCCAGCCTCCAGGCTTTGGGTACTGGGCTGGGACTTTTGGGACCTTCCTGGGATGTTGGGGACAGTGTGGCTCCTGGGAATGGAAGGGACCAGACATCTCCTCTCGCTGTGGTGTCACGGGGCCGATCCCGTGAAGCATCCCATGGATCAGGAGATGTTTGATGGAGCTGGCGGGCTCCTGCACAGCTGGCTGAGCTGGCACTGCCCCGAGGGAGCTCTGGTCAGGCCAAGGTCATCTTCACAGTGTGGTGACTCGGGAGGAGGCAGCAGGACGTGCAGGGCAGGAGCTGGGAGTGCCAGAGTGGAGTGTCCCCCTGCAGAGTCCCCCTGGCAGAGGGGGCTGCCTGCGGGAGGAGATGATCCCAGGGCTGAGGGTCACCATCCCCAGTGGACAGTGGCCACTGCAAGGGGATGGTGGCCACAAGGGAGGAATGGTGACCTTCGCTGGAGGCTGATGGTTGCCAATGATAGAGTGGCCGTCACTAACGGAGGGTGGCCAGCACCACTCCAGGGTGGCCATCACCAGCCAAGGATGGCCATGGCCAGTGGGAGGTGGCTTCCACCCCCTGTCCCCTCCTGGCACAGGTCTAGTGACCCCCGTGCCCGCCCGCTCTGGGTGCCACCACCCAGCCAAACCCCTCGGGACACCTCCTGGCCTGCCTGGTGGCTTTGGGGGTCACGCAGGGCTGGGGGAGCGAGGGAAGGGCTGGAGCAGTGCGTCAGCGACACGTGAGGACGCTAAAAGCTAAAATTAGGCGGCTCCAGCTAATCTAATTGAATCTCCCCTTTTCCTTCCGTCCGTTCCCGGGGATTAGCCCGAGCAGCGGGGTGGGAAGCCGGGCTGGGGCTGTGGGGCAGCCCGACCCCCGGGGAACCCCCTGGCAGTTTGGGGAGGGTCTGTGGGGCCACCCCGGGGTGCGGCGGGGTTTGGGATGGGCTGGATGAGATCCGCGGGACGGACGGGAGGATGCGCTCCCACCGGCCCCGGGACCGGCAGGGCACGGTGCTCCATCCCGGGCCGGTGGCAGGGGAGCGGGGCCGGGGAAGGGCTGCTCCGCCCGGGCCGGCCCGGCTCACGCGTTCCTCCTGCGGCTGCGAGCGGAGAAACTTCTCGGACCGGTTTCCCCCCGCCGGCCCGGGGGAGGACCGGGACCAGCCCGCTCCGGGTTTCCGGGGCGGCGGGGGCGAATCAGCGGCGGGTCACCGGTGTCACGGCGGGTCCGTGGGGCTGCGAGCGCCCGTGTCCAATGAAAGCCCGCTGGGAACTATGCGGGGCAGCCGTGAATCACCGGGCAGGTGATCCCAGCGGAGCTCACGCCTCTCCTGGAGCAGCTCCAGGGCCATCCCGGCCCCTCTGTGCCCACCGTGCCTCAGTTTCCCCATATAAAAGCGGGTTCTGACCCTCGGTGGGGTCCCGGGGGTCTCCTGGGGGTCTCCAGGAGCAGCGGCTCGGCTGCTCCAGCCCTGTCTGGCCGCTGGGCACGGCTCTTCCTCCTGCTGCCACATGCTGTTATTACCGCACCACTCGTCCTTAAGGAATCACATGAGAGAAATTAGAGCCGGTTCCATCTCCAATCCCTACAATCAGCTGCTTCCTTTGCCTAAGGAACGCGCTGTTAAATGCCGATAGATTATTACAAGTCCATGTGGGGTCAGGAAGCAGCTGGGATGCCTTGAAAGGATTTCCATTTGAGAGCTTTATTCCATGAAAGGAATTCCAAAACCAACTCAAAAACCTCAAATTAAAAAAAAAAATTACTTTATTTAGAGGAGCTGGCTGGCAGAGCCCAGCTCCTCCTGTCTTTCCTTGACTAGGGTGTTATCTGGCAAATCAATGGAGTCTTGGGGAATGTTTTCCCTGAATAAACTGATTTTACAGGACAGAAGGATGAGACAGGTCCCTCATTTTGCACAGACAGTCGCTTCCTTCATCCAGCCAGGCCGGCGGCAGATGGGGAAGGCGGACAGATGTGTCCAGCTATTTTTAGGCTCAAACGCTGCTTTAATTTCTACATGACCACAGAGAATTTGCCTTTTTAGGGGTAAAAAAAAAAAAGCTGGATCAGAGGGTGACTTGAAATGTAGGGCCAGAGACAGAGATTAATGGAATATCCTGAGTTGGAAGAGATCCACAAGGATCATTGAGTCCAAATCCTGAAATGCATCGGGTCAGGATCTGGGAATGGCTGACAGATCGCTGGGAAAAGGTGTCTGGCAGCAGCGCTGCCTCGCCCCTGCCTTTGGTGGCTTCTCCCCTCTTCCCTTTGGAACGGAGGGCGAAGGCGCGGCGGGCCGGGGCCGCTCGGAACGGCTCGGGACAGCGGCGGGGCGGGCAGACGGGTTGGGTAACTCTGCCCCGGGCGGCCGCGACCGGCTCGGCTGGCAGCGGCACCGGAGCCGGGACGGAGCGCCGGGACGTGCCGCGGCCCTCGTAGGGCTCCGGGCCACCGACACCAGAGCAGCCGGGATGGGGCAGGGATGGAGCAGGGATGGGGCAAGGATGGGGCAGGGATGGAATAATGGAACAGGGATGGAGCAGGGATGGAGCCGGGATGGGGCAGGGATGGAGCAGGGATGGAGCAGGGATGGAACAGGGATGGAGCAGGGATGGAGCGGGGATGGAGCGGGGATGGAGCAGGGATGGAGCAGGGATGGAGCAGGGATGGAGCAGGGATGGAGCAGGGATGGAGCAGGGATGGAGGCGGGATGGAGCAGGGATGGAGCAGGGATGGAGCAGGGATGGAGCGGGGATGGAGCGGGGATGGAGCAGGGATGGAGGCGAGAGGAAGGCGGGGAGCTGGAGGCAGGGCCCAGCCGCGGCGATGCTCCCAAATGACGCTCCCCGAGGTTCTGGGGGCACCCCCCGCCGTCCGTGGCCGCGCACGGGGAGCGGGACACGCGGGCGGTGCAGGGAGCGCCACGGGCCCGGTGATGGATGCGACATGACGGGTGCACAGGGCCCAGCACGCTCACACGCATGTGACGGCCACGGCTGCGGCACCGCGGGGCCGAGCGGCGGCTGCGGCCACAGACACGGACACACGGACACACGGACACACGGACACACAGACACGGACACATGGACACACGGACACACGGACACACAGACACGGACACACGGACACACGGACACACAGACACGGACACACGGACACACGGACACACAGACACACGGACACACAGACACACGGACACACGGCCACGGACACACGGACACACGGACATGGACACACGGACACAGACACAGCCACGCGTGCTGTGGCACACGTGTGATACACCCCAAGTGCAGCCCCCCGCAGACCCCCTGGGACACCCTCACTGCACCCCCCCAATGCAGCCCTGATGCATCCCCCAGTACTCCCCCAACCTCCAGTGTCCCCCTGTGCACCTCCCCAGTATAAACCAGTGCATGACCCCAGAACACGCCCAGCACACCCCAATTCACCCCCCGGTGCAACCCCAACCTCCCTAAAGCAACCCCGAGGCAACCCCAGTACCCCCCAATGCATCCCCCCAGTGCCCACCCGGTGCCCACCCAGTGTGTTCCCCGATGTTCCCCCCAGTGTCCCCCCCAGTGTCCCCCCGTGCACCCCCAGCACCCTCAATATCCCCTCCAATGTCTTCCCACAGTGTGCCCCCCAATGTCCCCCCCGTGTCCCCCCGGTGCCCACCCAATGCACCCCCAGTGCCCCCCCAGTATCACCCCCAATGTCCCCTCAGTGTCCCCCCAGTATCAGCCCAATTCACCCCTAGTGTCCCTCCAGTATCACCTCATTGTCCCCCCAGTATCACACCAATATTCCCC